GGAACTTTTCGTACGAAAAGAGCTTAGGGTGAGGGTATAAAGTAGGAGATGTCGTACGACAACTTTACTCTTCTTATCTTTCTTCTTCTGTATCATAGGTTAATGCATACTCGTTCGAAGGCCTCTTCACCCTTAACAGGGTAGTAGTATAACTATATAGTTTCCTAAACGATCTAAAAATAATCGTATAGTAGGAGAATTAAATATATTATCGCGCTGTTCCCTAATTCTTTCTACTAATTTATTAAGTGTACCTACTTTTATAGCATTAATTTAATTCTATAAGAAAGTAATAATATATAGCTTATAATAGTTAGAGTTAATAGCTAATACTCTTCTTAGAAATTTATAGTATTTAAGAGAAGCCCCTATCCTCTTTATCTTCTTATCTGCCGTAATTTTCTTAATACGCTTAATATAGCCTTTTATGAAGCGTTATAATAGCTTAATGCTGTTGCACGTATCTATAAGCTATGCCTATACCGACTTGAGGTTTTGGAACCCGATCTGATTGCGCCGTTGTCGCGCTAACATCTTGTAGATGATTGTGGAGTTGATTGTAAGAGTGAGCGTCTGGCTCGAATGAGTTTTGGGGGCGTGATGAACCTACGACATGATTGGTCAACAGCTGCACTGCGCTTAGTGACTATGGGGTGGGCGTGCAGTATTGAACATCACGTGTTTTACCAAACGCGGACGCTCAAAAAGATACACAGCTCATCATGCAATATCAAGGTGAAGTCATGGGCTACCTGCCATGGAACGAGGCCAGTCAGTGTTAATGATTAAACGCTGCAATGCCGCTTTAAGGCGATAAGCGCCACCAATACACTAAGGCTCCCAACATGCAAGGGGTGAAACACGAGCTGCTTTAGGACCAAAATGTCTAAAAACAGAAATCGGACTCTCAGGCTTTAGTGACTGAAATGGAGAGATTAACCGATATTGGTAGCCTAAAACAGGAATCTTAACGGATAGTGGTGACCCAGAACGGAAAATTTAACGGACATGTTAACAACCAGCACAGTTACATAGTGGTCAGTATTTCCGCTTGTCAAGCAATTGACAGCTCGCGGGAGACCGGGGTTCAATTCCCCGCTGGAGAGCTTTTTATTTTTGGCGGCGCATCGAAAGTTTTCGCCACGAGGTACACGCGCCCTCGGCCAAGGCAAGGGGTTTTTTTTCAATTAACGAGTCTGATAAACGATTGAGACTATTGTACGTATATAATATTTAGCTCTAGATACTGCCAATACAGTATACTATGCCTTCTTAGAGCACGTAGTGGCCTAGGTGGTGTAACGGACTGGACGCCCTTTAGATAGATCCTCGATGGTATCTTGGTTACCTAAGCGACGGATGCCTAGGCTATTGCTTACTGTCTCTACTAACAGTATTTATTCTTATTGAACTAGTAGCTAGCCCTTTATTGAATATAATCTTGGTTACCCCTCGTGATTGCTCCCTGAGCACAGCCTCTTACAGGTGCAGTTGAGCTAGGTATTGTTATAGATATAATTTGGAATAGAGTTATAACTTTAGATTACTATAGCTGAAATAGAAAAAAAACTATAGCTATTATAGTGATGGCGTAGTAACGCAGCTACTGACATTGAATAGCTCATTCACAAGAGAATAACCTTTTTGAACAAAGGGATAAGCTAAATAAATGATTTATATGAGAAGAATGCAAAGATACCAAGTTTCTTCATTTCACTACCTATTCTTCTTTAATGGTGCTATTCTAGTTATTCACTAGACAGTTTAACGAACGGGGAACGTTGCAATAGCTGATTAGCTAGACAGGCCAGCGAGTTCGGACTTAGGATCTCAAAAACAGATACATCGCACTTGAGCTGGCGGAAGATTTGATTACGAACTTCCACGGCCTTGAATGAGTTCACTAGCAAGATAGTTAGCATTTCTGTGTCCTGGTATGAAGAAGAGCAAAAGGAGAGAACAACGAGTGCCGACTTACCTCCAAGCTCAAATAGTGGCGTCCAGCATCAATCTCAGCACTTTGTACACCCATTCCTGGCGCCAAAAGCTTCTTCAATACATTCTGAACGATGAGCTGCGCATCTTCAATTGTAGCCGCCGCAGCGAGCATGGCGTTCACGTCGACTTCTTGTCCAGCACCAACTTCGCCTGATTGGTCATTGCCGCTCTTGCGGAGACTGCGATGCATGAATTTGGCGTCGCTCGCCCAAAAGTCTACACCACTTGGCTGCAGGGAGTCCGTCATGCAAAAGACAAATTAGGGAGATGTTGCCTGGTCGCGATTTCCAGCAAAACGGCGCATCGAGGCAGCCACTGCAATATCCAGCTCAGACAGAGTTGTACTGACACTGGCGATGTGTTTGGAACGATCCAGGTAGTCCTCCATACTGGTTCCGTCAATCGTGTGATCCGAGTCCGCAACGAGACCAGCATTGATAGACGTGCCAGCCATGCCGAGTGAGCGACGGTGTTGCGCCAGAGCATCCATGTACGAGTTTCCCGCCGTATAGTTGGTCTGCGACACGTTTCCGATCACGGAAACAACAGAAGGAAACATGACGAAGAAGTCCAAGTTGTCTGGAAGAGCCATGTGCAAATTCCAGCTGCCGGCAACCTTGGGATTGAATGCCGTCTGCCACTGGTCGTAAGTCATCTTCTCAAACAAGCTATCCTGAAGTTTGAGTTAGCAAATTGGCACTAAATACGTTTGAGGTTCAACATACTTGAAGGACCATGGCACATTGGAACAAGCCCTTGATGGACCGACCAGTCTGTGCAACTTCGTTCACCATGTTTGCGACACTTTGCTGAGACGTGACATCGCATGCAAGCACCAAGGTATCACACCCAAGTTCATGAAGCTTCTTGAGCTTGCCTTTGTGTCGGTTGTTGCCTGAACGAGAAAGAAAGACGAGATGCGTAGCCCCGTTCCTTGCCATGAACTCGGCTACCCTCAGACCCAGCGATCCCAAACCACCAGCCAGGATATAGGTAGCATCTCTGTCAAAATTGGGCAATTCCGGGGCTGTTGGCATTACAAGAACTTCAGGTAGGGTGTCCTCAGATGCAGGTAGCAAGCTGACGGAAATAATATCATTCGAATCCGAGGTATGCGCAGTCCGGATAGCCTCATCAAGATCGCATACGTCGAAGGCAGTGCCAGAAATCACGTCTGCCATCTTCAAAGAGGCTTTTCTCATCCGTTTGAGAAGCGTGGATACTAGACGTGGCTGCTCTGCTAGAATACGCAGAGGATCTACTGTGGCAAAGCTCACATTGCCTTCGAACGGAGGCAACGAGGTCAGTGGTTGACCGGGTGCAACAACTGCAGCAACACGGGAAAGATCCGACAGACACAAAGCAACTTCTTCGTGAAGCGGAACACCAGTTCCGGCATAAACAACGACATCGATTCCGGTACCACCAGTCTTGTGTGCCAAGTACGAGAAAAGTGCACTGGGGCTCTCAGCACCGGAACTGACAATCACAAAGTCCCGGCTTAGCCCTGTCTGGTTGATGAGTTGATACTTTTGCTCTTTACTAGTGACAGTCGCTTGAACATGAGCGCTGAATTCGTTCACTGCTCTCCTGATGATAGCTTTTCCAAGAGCCGTTTCACCTTCCTGGACAAGAATCTTCTCTCCAGCAGCAATATGGGTGATGTTTTCAAGAATATAAGAGGTCATTAATTCAACCCAAACTTGCGCCGCGGATCCTGGGGCAGTGCAGTCAATCCTAGCCACTAGGGACTGGTGCTGCTTGATGACAGTTTTGCAGTGCGGAAGACCGGGGACAACAACGGTATCGCCCTTCGTCAAGTCGCTCACATTTGCGTCATACTGGGTGACGGTTCCGGTAATCAAGCTTCCGACTAGGCTATGCGCAGTCCTAGAACCGGACTCAATTGGGCACATAGAAATGTCTGTGACAGCGGCTTCGACCCCGTCTGCGTTAGGCTTCTTGTCTGAATCTTCATCCAACTGCCAGTGTGTCTCAACGTCTTCGGTATCAAGTCCAACCAGCTGCAGTGGCCTACCCGGACCAACACCTTGTCGTAACAGCTGCGCCTTTCTGGTAGATAGAGCAATCTCCATATCCATACCATCATCAGGAATGATACGAGGGATTAATATGTGGTTGTTGATCTCTGCCAATTCCAAATCAGGCTGATCATTCTCGGCCAAGGGAGCGACGGATTGGAAGAAGGCCTTAGAAATAAGTTCGAGACTATTGGTATCCGCGGCGTCTAGCTCATAGGACAGATCAAGGTGGAAAAGGGTAACCTGAGGGAGCTCATTATGCAGTACAGGGAGAAGGCCTGGTACACCGGCACCCATAAGACCTCGTTGGGATGGTTGTAGCATTTGCGTACCATGGGTGATACAGAAGATGGTTTTGGCCGAAGAAACCATAGCTTTAAAGAAGCCGAACTCCTCAGATGTCCATGTGCTCACAAAGGACCCGTCAAGCAGACAGATGATTGTTTTGTCTTGCAAGCTCGCAGCTTCTTTCAAACCAACAAAACATGTCCGAACGCTGTTCTTGTGGGGTTGTTCTGCGAGTAACTTACTACCTCGAGAAGGATCACTAATCGATGAGATAGCCAGGAAGACTTCATCTTCGTACAACGCTTTCTCAAAGCGGCTCATGAAAACCTTGAAATTCGGAGAGCTACCCAGCTGAACCTTTAGAACGTCTTCGTCCCGGAGTGAATGTCCATTGCTGTACCCATTGACTTTGGGTGAAGATTCACTACTTTCATGATTTGTGCTGTTCGTGAGCGAGTCTTTGAGGGGTGTATCCAAAATAATCAGTCGGCCCTTCAGTTCCATCTTGGTTCGACAGAGACGCATCTCGTCAACAGCGTCTCTATAACATTTGCCGGCAATGATGAGATAGTATCGGGATTCAGACATAGCCCGAGTCTCTTGGAGTAGATAGCTGACAGGTACTTCGGCTGCGGTCACCTGAGACCTCCATGTCTCTAGTGCATCTTCAGAGATATCGATAATACCGAAGTGAGAGAAGCCCCTATATGGAGATTTTTCCGGATGAACGGTAGTATACCTTCCAGAATATCTCCATTTAGAGTCTGGCTAAGAAGGGCGACCTTGAGCTGAGAGCTCTTATGGCACTCAAGAGTTAGCCAATCTGTGAGGTTGGAGATGTCTCTCTCTTTCGCCATTTTGGCTCAAATCTTTTGCGCTAGAATCGGATGAAACACGCGTCATAATGAGGCCCTTGACAGCAATTTTGGGCGCCGACCATCCGCCATCTGAAACAACGAGATTGGTGCAGAGCTTTTTGCCACGGCGTTCAACACGCTCGGAATAGTCAATGAACTCATATATATGTCCATGCGGCAAGTCAAATGAAATATACAGCTTCTCCAGCATAGAAGGTACTGCGGATTCAGCCAGACTCTCGCCACCAGCGACGACTACAACTATAAGATGAAAGATTGTGGAATGCAGAGACGCGAAAAAAAAGAAAAGGGGGGGGGGGGTCATTCAATATTGTAGTTAGTAGAACACAAACCCGCTTGTGTTGAATCACGTGCCTTACTGGCGTCACTTTTGTAATCCTGACCCATGAATGCCAATGTATTTCTAATATAGTGTCACGTGAAATTGTATATAACCGAGAGGTCTCTTCCCCTCAGCCTCCTGAGTGTTGGTACACACACTTGACACGAACGTACGATTAGTGTAAGCCTCATCTCGACACGGCCCGTAACGTCAGGCACTACTCCGCCATGGCTTACATACAAAGATTGAATGTATATAGGCAAAACGAATTGGGTTCAAAGTCCCGATTTGGACATTTCCTGATTGGGATTAATCCAAAATTGGCTAGGCTTTATCCCAGGAGAGAGACGCGATTGGCAGGCGAGTAGGCTAAACAAAATTTGTGCCTTTTCGCATTGTAATGTTTTGTGGATCGAAGTGGAGCCCATCCGCATTCTGAATAGGAAAGCGAGCTTCACGCTTTGTCATCTCTGCACACCCATCACATCTCTTATTCAAGTTGTTGTTGTTGCTATTGTTCATATTTAGGAGCTGGATCCGCAGAGCCGAGCCTCGTTTTCCATCGTCCTTCAAAAACATTCGCATGGTTGGCAACCCAACCTTTACGTCTCGTCCATCCCTTGCTTTTTCTTTACATTGTTAGCCTATTGGTGGTCTGCCTTTAGCAACAACTATGACGACTCGTGGTATCGATACCAGTGCTACGAACGATCCACCCGCTATGGCGGCGACCGAAAGAGATGGCAACTCAGTTCCAGAGATGCTCGTTGGTGACCCAGCGCAGCGAAATCCTGAAAACATGGACAAGAACACATCTCCAAGACCAGTCCACGGAGTCAAGGTATGTGAACAGCACCTTTGCGAAACCTATCGAGTTCAGATCATCTGATCAGTTCAATTGCAGTGGGTCCTTATCGTCATCTCTCTCCTGGCGTCCTTTTTGCTCTACGCCCTCGACACCACCATTGTGGCCACCATCCAGCCCGCCATTGTCAACACGTTTGGCCATGTTGATCTTGTCCCCTGGCTTAGCGTCGCCTTTGCCCTTGCCTCGGCCGCAAGCACGCTACCCTGGTCCAAGGCATTTGGCCTCTTCTCTGCCAAAAAGCTGTTCCTCGGTTCAACGGCGCTATTCATGGGTGCGTCAGTCCTCTGTGGCGGCGCTCCAGACATTACTGCCTTCATTGTTGGTCGTGCCCTTGCAGGTATTGGCGGTACTGGCATGTATATGGGACTTTTGACCATCCTTTCGGTCAACACCTCTAAAGTCGAGCGCCCCTGATATCTCAGCCTCACTGGCTTCTGGTGGGGCATCGGCACCGTCTTGGGCCCCGTCATTGGAGGTGGGCCTTTTACCTTAACCCCTGCGTTGGTGGTGTTGTTGCGCCCATTTACTTCCTCATCTTGCCAGACTACCAACCTGTACCTGGTGTGCCGTTGCGCTCGCGCCTCGCCAAGCTAGACCACATTGGATTCGTTCTCTCTTCCGGCGTGTTTCTCTGTATCATGATGGCAATGGAGTTTGGAGGCGTTCTCTGGACTTGGGGCGATGGCAGGAGCATTGCTCTATTCGTACTGTCCGGCGTCTTGCTTGTTCTATTCTGCGCCAAGCAAACCCTCTCTTTCATGATTTCCAAGGAAGATCGCATCTTCCCCATACATTTCTTCCGCAGCTACGAGATGGTCATCCTCTTCATCACCATGAGTACGTATTGCCTTTTGGCTTCAGATCGGCAACGAAGTTCCGGATCACTAACAGTCTGCAGTGTTTTCCGCGTTTGGAACATTCATCACAATCTATTATCTCCCACTGTACTTCCAGTTTACTCGCGGCGCCACCGCCCTGGAGACGTCGGTGCACATCTTGCCCTATATTCTATTTCTCTCCACCTGCGTCCTAATCAACGGACATTACTTGTCAAAGACTGGATTTTATTATTCATGGTATGTCTTTGGCTCTGCACTGCAACTCATCGGCGGTGCTTTGCTCTGTAGGTCCAACTCACCCTGCGCGAACTGCCTTTGTATTCGCATTTTGCTAACGGACGCGATATAGATACCGCCGATGAGACGACCAGCAACGCCAAAGTCTACGGTTACACGATTCTTCTCGGAACCGGTGTCGGTTGTTACTGCCAGGCCGGCTTCCCCGTTGCGCAGGTAAAGGTTACCGCCTCCGACATTGCCTACAGCGTTGGCTTCATGACTGTAAGCCAAATGCTTGGTATTGCCTTCGGTACTGGTATATCTGGCGCTGTTTTTGCCAACCAGGCGCATAGTGGCCTTGAACGCCTTTTCCCCGACGCATCTGCTGAGCAAATTTCTGCCGCGGTTGCTGGTGTGGGAAGCGATCTCATCAATAAGGCAAGCAAAGAAACTGCTGCTGCAGCCATTCACATTATCGCTTTGGCAATCCAGGATGCATTTATCCCTGTCTTTGTCACGGGCGCCATCTCGTTCCTGTGCAGCTGGGCTATGAAGAGGGAAAAGCTCTTTCAAGAGAGTGACACGACAGGCCATTAGTTGACGTGGGATCAGATATCAGTATCCCCACCCCGATTTCAGCGTGCCCGTACTTTCTAACCCGTCGTTACTTTACAATCAGGCCAGCCCTGAATAAACGCCATGTTGTCTTGGCAACCTACATATATTCAGCCTGGCTAGCATAACGTCCTTCACTATCCACATACGGAAACTCAAATATGCCGGCTCTCTCAAATTTGAGCCTAATAACCGAAGCCGTTTTCCCTGAACCATACGAACAAGAAGTCAAGGTAGCACATCATGACTCAAAGCCGATTTCTTGACACATGTCTCAGTCTCATCTGCAGACTGATAGCTTTCCACCCATATGTATTTTTCCTGTTCGTCTTGATTTCACTGGTCTGAGCCCAAGCACTCGTCTCGGATCTTACGAAATATTCTAGTGGTTTAGTTATCATCGCAATATTGCACCACCAAACTATTGCTACCAATAAAGATAATCTTCCCTGTCGAAGACGAATGGTGGGCTTCGAAGCGGAGAACCTCACGAGAAACCCGGCACATGAACCGAGGATTAAGAGGGATGTGAAGATCAAGGGAATCCACCTTTACGAGGAAGAAGAGTGTAGGTCAGAGGGACTGCGTGGCCGGTTGGGGTGTGGGAGGTACCAGGTGTGACCCAGAGAAAACCAGGCAGCGGAAGTCCGCATGGTAAGAACGGGTAGTCGGATTCAATGTGCGTCGTCTCGAGTCGGGCGTTCTTGTCTTGGGTAGAAGGAATATACTATACAACTATGTGGCGATTTTCGGGAATCCATCCGAGGGAGTTCAAGAGGACATGCAATCCCGGTCCGGTTCTGGAGACAAAGGCATCTGACTTGTAACAGCGGCAGCGTTCCAGCGAGCTGTCAGTGCGCTTGAGGGCATTGAAGCTTCCTTAAAGCGCTACAGTAGCTGCAGGAATGGTGCGCTCGAGATATGGACGAAAAATGAGGAGCTGAAGCTATTCATTATGGGACTGACCAACGACGGCGAAATGCTGGATACTGTTGAGAAACATATGTCTCGGGTTGGAAAGCCTGAATTTGACAGCCAACATGTGGGAAGATGGTAGAAAGGCCGGCGCAGATCAGTCGGGCTCAATTTATCAAAGTTTTCGGTTATTCTGTTGGGGGTGTTGTTGTGGTGAGCTGCTGCCAGCAGCTCATTACCAGATCCGAGAAAGTTGTTGCTCAGGATATTAGTATGTTAGATTCCTCGAGGAAATCAGATAAGACCTTGATTTAGGATTTGTTAGTTCGGCTGTCTTCGTGGCTGAATATCCTCTCCGGTCCACACTTGATTTCGATCCGTTCGCTCTAGGTTTGGGTTACGTGGCTGGACTGGGATCACCTGTACCGAAGTAACGGGATTTACACCACTATTCATTGACATCGTCTGGAGATATTAGGGCCACGCTCTCCAAATCGACTTATCTGACTCTAATTGGAGCTGTCAGATAGCTCCAACTTTCATCTCAGCGATTTGTCGTTCGCGGGGTAGATTGCTAACCGAGCAGGGGGTTTATCAACTGCTCGACGTGCCGCTTTCGGCAGCTGCATCCCTACCTCAAATATGACATCACGACCCTAGCAACAAGCATCTCAGCGGCAGGCCTACCGCGAGCATGTTTCTTATCTCGAATTGACGAACAGGTATTGTAGATGACGTCGCGTTGGAATCGTTTCACGCGGCCCAAGTACGCCGCACCGCTAGGTAATCTAATTGGACACACCATTCGTCATGGTCTCGTACATGCAGGTATTTCTCGATTCTGGCTTATCGTACGGGGCGTCCATGTCGTACCGTTGAATCGTCGCTGCAACTACGGTTTTGCAACCCATTTTGCCTATCACACCAATCGAGGTTGAGCATCATGTTGTACTATCGCCGCGGAAACACCGTAGGCGGCGAACTGCTCCTCGAGTACAACGGCAGTATCTCTACCAACCCTGGCCGGTATTTGGAGTCGGTATGGCTGTAGAGAATCTGTTAATATAATCGCTTTCCTAGAAACAGAGAACCTGCGGAGTTTTCCAGCCTCTACATTCCACTTGTTGAAGCCTTCACAATGGCAGACACGACTAAGATACCTCTCCCAGTGGGAGCCGGCTATGGTACGTTCCCTACAATTTCATCTAATGATCACAGCTGAACCTTCCAGGCGTCGTCGTTGGAATCGGCTTCTTTTTTGCCTTTCTCATGATGGGCATCTCCTATCTCCAAAACAGATACACACGTTACTCAACACAATCATCCGAAGAGTTCAACACTGCGTCGCGCTCAGTCAAACCCGGTCTCATCGCTTCTGGTATCGTTTCGGCATGGACCTGGGCTGCCACTCTGCTCCAATCCTCTACCGTAGCATACCAATATGGTGTCGCAGGGCCGTTCTGGTACGCTGCTGGGGCTACAGTTCAGATTCTCATGTTTTCGATCCTGGCTTGCAAGGTCAAGCAGAATGCGCCAAGATGTCATACATACCTTGAAATTGTGAAAGCGAGATATGGGTCGGTTGCACATCTAGTGTTTATGGTCTTCGCGTTTGTGACGAACATTTTGGTGGGCAGTCAGCTCTTATTGGGAGGAAGTGCGGTCGTTACTAGCTTGACGGGCATGCCAGTGTATGCTGCTGCATTCTTGATCCCAGTTGGTGAGTAACATCTGAGAAGTCTATTCCAGAGATGTGTTAATAGAGACAGGTGTCTGCGCCTACGTTATCCTCGGTGGTCTGCGAGCGACTTTTATCTGTGACTACAGTCACACCTTGATCCTTATGATCATCATCCTTTATTTCATGTTCAACGCATACGCTATCAGTCCTTTGATCGGCTCACCCAGCGAGATGTACGAGCTGCTCAAAAAAGCTGGGACTCAACGGCCTGTCAGTGGGAACCAGGACGGCTCATACGTCACTTTGAAGTCGAACTTTGGTTTGATATTCGGTGTCATCCAACTATGCTCTGGATCCGGAACCGTTTTCCTAGATCAGGCATACTGGCAGCGTGCGATCGCTTCCAAACCCTCTACTGCCGTACGAGCGTATCTCCTAGGAGGGATTGCCTGGTTCGCTATCCCATTTGGCTTTTCGACAACGCTTGGTCTTGCGGCTGTAGCGCTCACCGATAACCCACGCTTTCCTACTTACCCAGAGGTACCTACCTCTGGCCAAATCTCGTCCGGTCTAGCAGCGGCCTTCGCTACGGAGACATTGATGGGGCAGGAAGGTGCTGTTGCACTGCTGGTGGTTCTATTCATGGCAGTTACGTCATGCGCGTCTGCAGAACTCATCGCCGTCTCTTCGTTGCTAACATTCGATGTTTACAAGGAATACGTTTCGCCCAAAGCTTCACCAAAACAGTTGGTCTTTGTTTCGCACATGATGATTTGCGTTTTCGGATTGATCATGTCTGTGTTCGCCTGCATCTGGAATGCGGCATCGATCGATCTTGGATGGCTTTTCCTGTACGTTTACCCCTATCCCATGGCTACTATATCAATATTTACTGACATGTTGAAGTGTTATGGGTTTGCTAATCGGCGGCGCTGTGTTCCCGACCGCCTTCGCCATAACATGGCGGAAGCAAAGCAAAGTTGCCGCTATATCTGGTTGTCTCTCTGGTCTTGCCGCAGGTCTCACTGCATGGCTAGCGACCGCAAAGAGCTATTACGACGAAATCACTGTAGAGACTACTGGCATGTCATATCCAACCCTCGCAGGCAATCTGGCAGCTATCATGACTGGACTCATTGTAACAACCACAATCACTTTGATCAAACCGGACAACTTCGATTGGGATATTACTCGTGCCATCAACGCCGTCGTTACCGACGGTGTAGACAACGCTGCAACGCCTAGAGATGCTTCCATACCTGAACTCTCTGATGCTGGCGAAAAGAAGATTGCAGCCAATGCCACCACACAACCCGAAGCAGCCGCAACAGCAGAGCTTCCACATCATTTGGCTCCCCCACTGGAGGAGGAAGACGATCCCTCCACACTCCATCGCGCTTTCAAGCTCGCCTGCATCTCCGCATTCCTGTTGACCTTCATCTTGGACTTCCTTCTCCCCATGCCCATTTTCTTCTCGCATTACATCTTTTCTCAGGGCTTCTTCACTGCATGGGTGGTGGTAAGCTTTATTTGGGTATTTGCCAGTAGTGCTATTAGTTGTCTATTGCCAGTCTGGGAGACCCGAGGGAGTTTTGCGAAACTATTTAGGAAGATTGGTGAGGATCTTAGGAAGAAAAATTGAAATGTGAATTGCAGACTTTAGAGAAGGCTTTTCTTAATTTAGTTAATGTGAATAGAAATAATATCCAGAAAAATAGTCAAAAGTATGTATAGATTCGTGTCTTGACATGAGACTGAACGCAGATGTCGCACTTGTCATAAAAAGCTATGGATCGAATGACATAGCGTTCAACAAGACAATGACTATGATATCTTCCACGCTACTGAGAAAGATCTGCTACGTAGCCCGTAGTTAAAACATTTTCATCGAAAAATTCGCAGGCAGATCAAAGCAAGGTAGGTCGCCCTTACGCCCTTTTCAAACCATGGTACTACTAGCTTATGTGTCAATGAGACTCATCGCCATATGCTCTACCACTTATCTTTCAGAAACGCAGACACCTCTATTTTATGTTCACCAAGCAACACGAATGTATCCTGAGCGTATAGAATGGGTAAGCGCAAACCCTACGCTTCAGGTCAACCCCTAAGTAGCCCTACCCTAGCCGAGCTCATAGTAGGGCCAGCCCAGCCCCGACCCAAGTCTTAGCATAGGTGTGGCTGCCAAGACTGGGGTGGGTGCCCCTGGTCCAAATACCACCCTAAGTGGGCCACGAACCCGTGTATACCACTAACCCGTGAGGTACGTTATATAGCTACTTTAGTGTTACAAGTAACAAGAAGAATTCTCTTCTTAACAAGGGACGACGATGTTGAGGGCCAACCACGTCCACGTCAGAAGGTAATGGCTATTGCAGGGCTTAGAGTCACGTGACGTACCGTCCCGCCAAGGCTAGCCATTCGGGATGGCAGTGCATAAAGGGATGGCAGCGCCATCCTAAACCTCCCGCCAAGATAGTATAGAGGGGATAGCAGGACCTTAAGGTAATGGGTACAAGAATAGGTTGGATTTCGTTATTACACTTGATATAGTTAACTCTTATAAGTTCTTCTCTTATATATATCAATACTTGATTATTTCATCTTAGTACAGAATTAATTAATATTACTTTAGTTATATCCATTACTCTATTCTAATGAATCGCCAGAAAACGATCGCACCGTTCACCTTGTTAACCGTCTCCCCCTAAGCCGGAGCGAGACCAGGGAAGTATAGCGAACCCCCGTGTAACATTTAAGCGCCACTAATATACTAAAGCAGAGTATACAAGAGGTTGAAACACCAGCAATCTTAAAAGTTAGTATACCTAAGAACAGAAACCTGCCCTTAGGTTTCCGTGACCGAAAGTAGAAGCATTAACGGATATCTGTCACCCAAAACAGTAAATTTAACGGATACAATGGCAGACGATATAGTGACATAGTGGTTAGTATTTCCGCTTGTCAAGCAATTAACAGATCGCGGGAGACCGGGATTCAATCCAATTCCCCGCTCGAGAGATCCTTGTTTTTTGCCCTCAGTTCTTTTTAACTCAACCATAGTGCGCAGCCGTAACCTTAATCCACCGTAGGCCCATACCTAGAAATACGTTCTTTTGAATCACTAGAAAGAAGGGCTGGTATTTTCAACATCACCATTCTATTGCATAAAGATACATAAGTCCGAGCACAACGAAAGTCTAGGGTAGTAATGACAAAGAAATAACCAAGGCCTCAGAACATGCTAACGGATCATGTCCTGTTGGATCAAACCCTAAGTGAGGATTAGTTTTAGACACAAGACTGCTTTTAACACTAGCCTAGGTCTACACTTACTTTTCTAATTATGCTTCCTCTGCCTCTGATGCTTCTCTTGATTCTCTTGCTTTTCCAGTCTCTCTAGTCTCTCCAGTCTCTCTAATCTCTCCAGCTTCTCCTTTTCCTGCTTCTCTTGTTTCTCTAGTTTTTCTAGTTTTTCCAGCTTCTCTAGCTTCTCCTTCTCCTGCTTCTCCTGCTTCTCTTGCTTTTCTTGCTTCTCTAGCTTCTCCAACTTCTCGAGCTTCTCCTGCTTTTCCTTTTCCTGATTCTCTTGTTTCTCCAGCTTCTCTTGTTTCTCCAGCTTCTCTTGTTTCTCCAGCTTCTCTTGTTTCTCCAGCTTCTCTTGCTTCTCTAGCTTCTCCTTTTCCAGCTTCTCTTGCTTCTCTAGTTTTTCTAGTTTTTCTAACTTCTCTAGCTTCTCCTTCTCCTGCTTTTCTAGCTTTTCCAGCTTTTCCAGCTTCTCCTGCTTTTCTAGCTTCTCCTGCTTCTCTTGCTTCTTGCTTCTCCTTGTCTTCATCAGCGCACTACTATAATTAGGCTCCAGTCGTTGTATGATTTAAGCCGTCTATCAACTCACGTAGCGTACAACCTACAGCGTACATTAATTTTGATTAATATTAAATACATTGCAATGTGCTGTACTTACACCAACCGGACCCTGTTTCACATCAGTTGTTTCAAGATTAGCTAATGCATGTAGTATAAAGTAAAGCTTACAACAGGTATAGCTTGGCAAATTTCAGAACAACAGTCACTGTCATAAAAACAGGTGGCCTTGCCCTACAGGAAAACATAAGTCTGTCTTCATTTGTTGTGGATAGATTACAGGTTTCTCACTGCAGAGCATTGCCGAGCTATAAGTTTAGTGCCCTGTGTGAGGCCACGCTCAGGGTGTGGAGCAGCATTGGCTAAGGAAACCATAAGAGTGCTGGCGATGGTGAACAACTTCATATTGCAGAGTTACGTGACGCTCAATGAGGAATACAGATCTTTTCAATGAGTAGGATGTATGCTAGGTAGGTGCCATACACAATATAAATATATAGTGAAAAGGGTAGGGAGAAGTAATTATTAGATTAGCTTGGTGTCGAAATGTTGAACCCCTATTTTTAGTTTTCAAAGACATTGTGATTGTTAAGGTGTTTGTTTGTAGCCTAGTTGTTGAGATGTTGAGGATGTGACTTTAATTGCTTTTTCCCATCAAAGTGCTAAATGCTGAAGACAATTCGTGTATGATTCAGTAGCTCGGGAGTAAGACACACGTGCAGTCAGTACGTATTTATGGTAGCCGATCGCAGATATGTGGTAGCGTAGGAGCTGTAAATATCGTCTGCTCCTGAGCATGGTTGGTGATGTACCTTATAGGTTGACGGATCGCTTTTGCCAAACCCTTGCCAAGACTACCAAACTTTGGTGCGAAATGGCTTACCTTGATCCTGTATAGCGCGGTGTGTTATGGCGATTAACAAGAAGCATTACTTCCCTGCACAAGGACAAGTGGTTGGGGGCTCAACACCTGTCCACGTTGGAGGGGAATAATCATCGCGGGGCGATAACCACCATATGATGTCCGGGACGGGCGAATGTCCAGAACGGGTAGTTTAGCAAATGGGTAAAAGGTATTTAGTATGGATTGAGGTAGGTTTAGAGTTACTGAAAGCTGAGTATAGGTATGCTTAGTGCTAGATAGGCGTGTAGCATAGGACATTGTATGTTTTACTCTAAGCGAGCGCTCAGAAAGATACAAATCTTAGCTACTACAATAAGGTCGCTATACCCAAAAACAAAAACCCGGCTTTACACAGTAGATCGTTATACTCAAGAGTAGAAAAGTTCACGCATTCGTAACCTAGAACGGGAAATTCAGCAGATGTTATGGCAGACGGCACAGTAATGTAGTGGTTAGTATCTCCGCTTGTCAAGCAGCAATTAACAGATTGAGGGAGACTGGGGTAAGTACTTCCTACTTATCTTATTAGATGTTCTCTTACTAACATTCACTCTAGGTTTAATTCCCCGCTGGAGAGCATCTTCTTTTCTGTCTTTCACTCACAATAATCTTTTATAATCTGGTGCGAGGCGGTCGGGGTAAGCCAATGCTAGCTTAGATGTCCAAGCACTATTCGTTTTTATTAGCTCCGGCCTTCTGATGTACGTTTGTTTAAGAAAAGGTTGTAAGATGATTGATCTAATACGCTATATAGCAAATAGATAGAAAAGAAATCAAGTAATAAACGTAAATACAAGAGCTGATGCATTACTCGCGCCTAATACGCCGTTTGAAAACAAAATAAAGGCATTCCCTCCGTATCATCCCAATCCACATTTCAAAGCACTCTCATAATCAAGTAAAGAGCCTCATCACTATCACTATATCTACGACTCTGCCTCAGCCATAATCTGCTCACCCTCATCCAACATCTCCACCACCTTCTTCAATCCACCCACCATATCATTCGCCTGGCCCACAAGCAGCAACTTCTCCGCATTAGCCGGGAGACCCAAGTATGTCGGTGGCTCGCGCTCAGGCAGATCATTGACCCAGCCCATGAAGTCCTTCCAGCTAGTCGAGGTAGGTAGCTCAAGACCCTCACTGTGCTCCGTCTCCTTGACAATCTTGAAGTTGTCCTCAAACGCCGCGGGAGTCATGCACGAGTCGACAAGAGATGAGAGGATGTGCCAATCCTCCGTGTTGTCGATCTTGCCACCGTACATTTCCGTGATGAGATAGCGCAGCATCTCCCATGGGATCTTGGTTGGGGCAATGTTGGAACGGCCTTGGGCAACGGTGTCGATCCAGGTGTCGATGATGAAGCTGCAGCATTCGTACTGGATATGGTTAGTATACATATTGCAAGAGAATATACAAAGGCACTTACATCGCTGTCGTTGAATTCCCAGAAGCCCTTCCATCCCAACGTGGGTGCATATCGCAGACGCTCTTGGATAACCGCATGCAAGAAAGACAATAGGAGATAGACACGGGCCTTCTCCACAGGTGGCTTGATTGCCTTCTCTGCCAAGGATGACAAGGAATCCTTCATGTTGGCGCGCACACCAGCGGGCTGCTCGTATGACAGAACACGCGACGCTCGGAGCAAGTTGACGGGAATCTTCGGACTAGACTCCATGGAAAGGAAGAGACGGAAGTCAGGGTTGGGCTTGAGTGCCTCAAGACGCTTCTCGAGCGATTGTAGCCACTGAGGTGTGAGATGGACGTTCTTGACAAGTACCCAGTTACCGGTAGTAGCGGCATTGGCGATAGCCTTATCTGCTGCGGCGGCACCTTCGTTGGAACCCATTGCAATATTGGAGCAGCTGACTTGCTCTCTTTCGACAAGGTTGTCGACCTTGTAACTGGCGTCGAAGCCAGGACTGGAGCTGAGAGCAACTGGGGTGACGGCGTTGACTTGCTTGACAATATCACCCAAGTCACCGCTGGCATCGAGAATACCCTTGCCAAAGACCTCAGTGACAAATCGCTCCACAGCGGGAACAAAGCGGTCAACACGGAACAGCTTGACGAGAATGAGAGCTCGCAGGAGCTGGTCGAACTTGGTAAGATCTTCCGGCCAAGCCTGCGGCACATGTCGCTCTCCCATTTCTTCGTTGAGGAATGCATCCCACGCGCTCTCGTCAATCTTCTCGAGCACATCCTTGAAAATCGGAATCTTGCTTGCACGCTCCATGGCCTCTGCTTTGCGGTCTATTTCGGTCGACACATCAATGCCCTTAAGATCGGGGTCGAGAACCTGGTCAATGTGCGTCTTGTCCATCTTGTAGGGTGCTGCTTGTACAAGCAACATGGCGAACGTAACACGGTCTTTCTGGAGCAAAGACAGAGAAGTACGACGGTAAGCATCAACAAAGAGCTCAGTAACGATCTGCTCAATTCGGGCTGCATGTCCAGTGATGGAAGAGTTGCGAATCTTGCGCAACACCGCCTCGAAGATCTGTGTAAAGTACTGAAGTGAGAACTGGTAGAAGTGATTGAGGTGGTGAAGTTGCTCTAGCACAGCAAAGATTGCCGAGCAAGAACGAGCAACAACAGTGTACTCCTTTGTAATATTCTCAACCTCAGTCATAACGCCGGCGGTCTCGGAGACCTTCTCAGAAATCTCCTTGGCTTCCTTCTTGAGTGTCTCGAGAGTTTCGATGACGCGGTCGTCGTCGAGAATGTTACCGCGCGACTCATTGAGAGCCTGCAACAAGCGCTTTTCGAGTTGACGAAGGTGGACTGCGAACTCTCCCTGCATCTTGATGAGATTCGAGCGTCGCTCATCGACATCAGGCCTCTCAGACTTGAGAACCTCGTTAAGGGTCTGGGTTTGCAAGCTGCTCTGCGTGACTGTAAAGTTGACAAAGGTGGTACGACTGCAAATATCGGGAGCGAAGTTGGCAGAAGGATCGCGAGTAGACAAGTATAAGCGGAAAGACGGCGAAAAGTCAATCTCTTGCTTGCCAAGTTGGATGAGGACACGACCTCCAGTCTTCTGATACTCCTTGTTGAGAACATGGTTGAGGATAGGGTCCAGATGTTCGGCATCTTGAATCAAGATAGGGTTACCGAAACGCAGAGAACTCTCGAGCTGCTTGGTGAACGAATCATCCAAGAAGCTGGTGACCGTGAGGCGGCGCTCCTTGCATTCGTTCTGCAAGAACTCGGTAGTCCTGCCAGACGGATCGATGATAAGTGGGTAACGGTTGAAACGCTGCAGGACGATGGCGTTCTCAGTGCAAAGGTCATCAACAGGTAAACCGTTGTGTTGCCAATTGAGTCGATCATCAGCTGTAGATAGATATTCCGTGAATGGATTTGTTGGCTTGAAGCTGATGCCAGACTGCTTCAGATGATCATACCAGTCCTCGGTAAGCGCCTTTCGGTATTGCTGGTCGTAGTAACCAGCATATGCGATGAAAGCCGCGGCAACCAAAACGTCACCAACAATGGTATCGATTTGAGAATCGAACGACTTGCTGCTCTCCTCCCATCGAGTACGCTCAGATGACAAACTGTCAAGAAGTCGCACACTGCGGTCAACCTTGAACTGGACAGTCGACATTTCGGTCTTGATGGCTTGTGTTTCGCTGATCAAGGCTGCATACTCGGTCTTGTAACGTCCGATACTCTCCTCGAGGTTTTGGATAAGGATTTGGGTCTCTTTGGCGCCCTCTTCCGTCTTCTGTAGTTCAACCTGCAAGTTGTCGACCTCAGCACGTAGGGGTCCGACACGGTCGAGAATGTCGGAGTAGGTAACTTGCGCGGATACCCATTGCACGAGGGGACCGCAAGCCTTGGAAGCGCGGTTAACTTTCTCGAATGTAAACTCCTCCTTGGATAAGTACTCGTTCTGCATCTTCCTCCGGTGTGCAGCAGTCATCTGCCTCTCGTTGTCGAATGTCACGATACTGGCGATAAAATCGTCGCGCCTGACAATGGAGACAATGGTCTTCCAGCTGTCGGGCTTGTGGCCAAGAATCGTGCACACAGCTTCAAGCGCAAGCTTGACACCAGCGGGAGGGTTCTGCATGGATCTGACTTCGGTAAGATGCTGGCGCTTGATGTTCTGCACACTCTTCTGCGCCTCAATGACAGCGGGTTCAGCTGCCGCCAAATCAGTATTGACCACCTCTTGTCGCTTTTGAATCTCCTCCTTGTCCTTGGCAAGTCTAGCTTGCATCTTGATCGACCCTGCCTTCTTTTGCTCTGCTTCGTTTTGGTCAGCAATCATACGCTGCAGCTTCTCGTTTGCTTCAGCATCCTTCTTGGTCAATTGCGTTTGTTTCTCTGCCAGGCTTGCTCGGAGTTCCTTGACCTTGTCAAATGTCTCGCGAAGTTTCTCTAGACCGACGTTAAGATGACGTTGTTGTTCTTCTAGATCTTCACGCTTCTCGTTGTACAGCTTGACGTATTGAGCGACGAAGTCTAGGAAGTGTCGTGGTGTGAGATACATCTTGCGATTTTGCGTCTTCTGCAACTTCGCGTTCTTGCTTCGGAGCGAGTGGTGTACAGCGACCATGGCATTAACCACACTCTCCCTGTGAGATGGTGGTAGAGTAAGTCCGCGGTAGGCAACAGGGATACTATCCGGAGCGGTGTAGTTTGTGCGATCCAAGTCAACAGACTGTGTGAGTTCGGAGCCAACCTGGTAGAGTGCTTGATCGGACCAGTCTCCGAACCAGTTGAGCACGCAACGGTTGAAAAGCGCAGGACTCGTTGCAGCCTTTGAAGACAGACTTCCTTCTGGAGGGTTCATGGTGAAAACAACGTGGAGGTTCTTGACAATCTGCTCCGTGAACCATTTGTACAATTCGTCCTGAGAGTCGAGAATGATACCCTGGCGCTGGGCACCTTCCTTAATGGCGGTAAGCAAAGAGGCGTACTCATCACCCTCAAACAAACCAGGAACCTCGGCGTTGGCAAGAAGTGTATTCATGCGTTCGAGGAAACCAGAGTCAAGGACATTAGCTTCGTCCATGATGAAGCAAATCTTCTCGCCCTTGCAACCGCAGCGTCGGAGCACAGTACGCAAATCTTCGTCGAAATCATCGCCAGAGTATTTGCCGTGAACCTTGATCTGGTAGACACTCAGACCGTTCATCCAGGCGACGAAACGTGATAGAGTGGTCTTACCAGATCCACTAACACCGATAAGGATAAGATGACCCTGTGGTTGACGGAAAACACGATCAATGCGTAGTACGTGCTCAAGCACATCGTTGAAGAGAATGAGAGGAACATCGACTTCTTCCTCACAGAAAGTACGCAATCGGGCCTTGACAAACTCACGGAGTTGTTCACGCTCAACTGGCACGTAGTTCTTAGAAAGCCAGTTGGAGAACAGAATGGGGCCTCCGAGAGCCTTCTCCTCGTCGATTGTGGGGAAATGCTCGGTAGCAACGCGGTGGACACACTCTTCAGTCCATTTCCTCTCTTCTTCTGCGATAAGACGATCCTGGAACAAGCGCAAGGCTTCGTGTGCCCAGATCCTAACAAGGCCCTCTACAGGGAGAGTCTCGAGTGGTCGAAGTGCCTCATAGATACCACGAACCCATCGAGTAAGCTCACGAGGTGAGTAAACATAATGAGGTTGGATATCGGGCGTAAAGCGCTTTTGAGACTCGCTATAGAGCTGAACCATTGCCTTAGTGAGGGCGTCGGCATAACCACGCAGTGTGGGAATGATCTTAAGCACCGCAGTGTTGAAGGTACCGTAAATTTGAAGAAGTGACTGCTCTCCTGGATAATCAACCATGATGAGGGGAGCGTGGCGCAGGAAGCGGAGACCCATGGGCGTACGACCAGCGTCGGTTGGAGGGTTACAAGCACCGACGAATTGGATGCGATCAAGAGTAACCCAGGTCTTGTCTGAAGTCCTCCAGAAACCATTGTGCTCAACAAGCTGCCGGAGGAAAGAAATAGCTCGCTGCGTACCATACTTATCTGGCGCAGGCAAGTTGATCTCGTCGCAGAAAATGACCAGCCAACGACCAACTTGGGTAGGAGTAAGCTGAACACCATTGAGAGTCTTCTTGTACTCGCAGTACTGCTCGAACGTCTTGATAAGGAGATCTGGTGTGGTCGCACTGGAGAAGTTGAGACCCACGACCTGCATATTGGGGAGCTTGCGGAGTGCACTGAATAAGGTCATAGTCTTTCCGGAACCTGGAGGACCACAAAGCAGCAATGGCTTGTGTTCTGCGAGCCAGGAGTAAAGAACATCCTCGTGACGAACAGTATCAAGGGTAGGAATAACCACATCCGTCTGAGTAACAGAGTGAGTGTTGACTTCGACGTTGGGTACCTGGCTCTGCCATGTGTCCCACTCGGGTCTGTCAGGCTTGACATCATAGTCGATGAGCGAAGTGGTCTCGTTAAGAGTAGGAAGCTCGACATCGGTAAGACCAGCGATAAGGTCACCGAACTCTTTACGCTCCCTGAGAGGACAGTCACCAACCAATGCCCAGACCAGAGCGACAAGCAGCTTCTTGGCGAGATATGTCTCCATCTTGTCGTCTTCAAGAGAGAAGTCTGGGTGCTGCACATTGTACTCAAGCACATTGCGGCAAGCCTTGTTGAGTAACGAGAACAGCGTGTTGAGTGCACGGATGTCAGTGTACTCCATGATGTGCTTGAATTTCCTGGCCATACTGAGAGCCTTTTCAATGAAGCGGTCTTGAGTAAGCTTGATGTGTAGGAAGTCGGCGATGACTCCTTGTGTGGTAAGAGTCTTCTGCGACATCTGTCCAGGCGCAACCGAGTCATCCTCGATATCCTCAAACGGCACAGTCTTGAGATGCTCAATGTAGTTCTTGATCATCATGTCTACCTCGACAGTGTCGTCACTGAACCAGACCATACCGCAACGAGAGACTGTAGCAAGCGTAGCGTACTTGAGAGTCTCGACTTCGAACATGATGCGGACATTGGACGGAAGGTTTAGACGTTCTCCGTTCGGCAGCGTGAGAAGCTTGTTGTCATCGAGCACGGAGTTCAAGTTCTCAACCCATTCTGGGTCAACATCACCGTCGAATACGATCCAGTGACGCTTGCTGTCTTCACCACGAAGGTTGTCTACGATCTTGCGGAGAATGCTAGTGAAAAGACCGTCTGTCCACTCACGCGTGGTACTGTCGAGCGTTCCATAAAGCTGCTCCTTGGACATGACCTTGGGGTCAATAACGTGGCAGACACCCTCAACGCCCTCTACAGCCTGCAGAGCGGAGAGAAGTGTCCTCCAAGCTGCAGACTTTCCAGAACCGGAAGATCCGACCATCATGACACCGTGATGCAATTTCTGGATCTGGTACAATTGGACAATCTTTGTCATCCATGCGTCACTGACAACAAGCTTGGACTCGGCAGCGCACTTGTGGATCGCTTCAGTCAGCTTGTCGAGAGGAGCAGGAATGTACTGAACACCAGGGAATGACTCTTCCTGGATCGCCATCAAAAGCTCGACATCAGAACGGATGAGCTTTGGTGCAATGGTCTCGCGCAAACTCTGAATGATAATCTGGGGCTCCATGCCTTCTTCATCCAGTGTTGTAGTATCTTGTTGATGAGCGAGGCGAGCACGCTTCAGCCCACCAGAGCTGACAAGCACACTCTTGAGCGCACGGAGACCAAAATCATAGTGAGCCTGCTTGGAAAGTCCTGACGAACACCTGTCGAAGAATGGTACAACTTGTTTCGACAGCTCCTTGGCTTGGGAGAAACCCTGGGAGTACAGCATAACTTCAGCAATAAGCTCCTTGTCAGGCTTGGACATGGCAACGCTTCGGAAAAGCTTCTTGAGATTGTCGGGCAAGTTGGAACGACCCGCATAGCCAGGATTCATGGTAATGAAAACTCCAGTGTTACCATTGACCTTCAGCTGGCGGCCAATGAGTTCAATCTGTGACTTTTCATCCTCGGCACCCTTCTTGAGACCGAGTTGAATGTTCTGAATTTGTTGAGACACGGCTGAGAGAATACGCTCTTCCAGACGGTTGAACTCGTCGAAACATCCCCAAGCACCAACCTGGCAAATACCAAGGAAGATACGACCCATGGCCTGGAAATCGAATGTGTCATCACAGCAGAAGACTAGAGTAAATCGTCCAAGCTGCACACCAAGAGCCTTGACTGATTCAGTCTTACCGGTACCAGCTGGACCATAGGGAGAGCCACCAAGTCGTTGACAAAGCGCTTGAGTAAGAGTAAGGAAACAGCGGTCGGTAAGAGGCGTGCGCACAAGGCGATCAGCGACACCCAAGTATTCGAAACCGTAGTCGAGAACAGCGTTTGCCATCTTAATCCTCAGTCGTTGGAGCAGATCATTGCCAGGCTCGTATACATATCGCATACAAAGTAGCCACATGTGATGCGTTGGTGAGCGTGCGCCAACCTTGTCAAGCCTATGAATGACATCGCGCTGATGGACAAACTCGGTGATAAGATCCTCGCACTTGCGGCGCTGAATGGGTTCAAGGTCGCCCAAGACAGCGGTAGCGAGCAGCTTCAGAACGTTGACTTGCTTCTCGTAAAGCTTGGGCAAGGTAGCCCCCTCTTCAGCGAGCGACCTCTCCACAGCATGAGTCCAGGCAATCTGCGTTCCCAGAACGACAACTTGAGCAGGGTACTTGGAAATGTACTCCGTAAAAGCGTCCGGATCTATTGTATCAGGCTCGGCGAGTTGAGCAAACTCTTCGTAGGCCTCATATGTAAGCTCGGCGAGAGTGGTCTTCATGTTGGCCTCGAGAGCACCGAGCCATTCATTGATCCTGGGTGTTTTGACGAGCGAGATTTCCTTGCGAAGTTGGACCTCCTCTCCCTCCTTAGAAGTGAACCCTTGAATGACGCCATCCTCGTCAGTGATAAGTCCAGAGATACCAGCAAACATCTTCCGCAGGTGTTTAGCGATGCGCAGAACGTCGTTGCTGTTACCGATAATCTCCAGCAAATCTTCGTCACCAACAAAGTAGAAGCGAGGGAACGAAACACGCTCGCGCTCCAGGTACTCTCCAAGCGCCTTTTGGATCTTGTTAAGAAGCTCAGCGAGGCGCTCAAGCGACTTTTGGACTCCCGAGATGTTGAGAACCTCGAGTACAAAGGGCTGGCGCGAAACCTTCTTCATAACGGACAAGAACTCAGAGTTGATGTTTTGGAAACGAGCTGATTCCATGGGGAGAAGGTGCTTGATATCAGCGTTGCCTGTGAACACGCCCTCAAGGTAAACCCATTGACGCTGTACATCAATCCAGACATCGAAAAGGACGTGCACACGGTTGAGCTTGTCTTCCCAAGACGACGCCTCTTCCTCAAACTCTTTGTAGTACGGTGAATGGCGCATAGCCTGGAGGGAGTTGAGGTTCTCACTGCACTTCGCAAACAAGTCGTCCCAACCCCTGATGAGACGGCACTTGTTCTGGTAGTTGACAAGTTCCAAAGCGTAGTTTTGCCAGGTCTCACGGACCTGCTTCAAGAACTCTTCAAGCGCCATTTCACCTGCAGCTTGAGTGATGACATCGCGAATAATCTTCTCGCTAGGGCCAAGCTTGAGATCCCACACATCACCGAGAGTCATGGAAATAGCAGAGTATCGCTTGTGCGGCCTCAGGTTCTTGAAGATCCTCGTCCAGTGGCGTTCCTTCACAGCGTCGGAGCGCAATTCTGCTAGGATAGCGTTCTCCTTGAGCAGCTGCTTGAGGGTCGTCTGAACGTACTCGAAAGCCTGGTATTGTCGCATGCGGCTGGGCATATCTTTAGTCATCTTGAGTAGGTTGTCGAGGTTTTGTCGCAGTTTACGAGGCTGGATGCTAGTCCACAAGACCTCACGAAGATCATCAATGCTGGCCCAGATCGTGCCAAGTGCAGACCAGACCGACTTGAAATCTTGCACTTCTTCCAATAGAGTCTCAAGTGCATTCTCTGGAGAAGGTGGCAAGCTAAGAGCCTCCTTGGCTTTTGAGATATTAGTAGACTCATTCTGAAGTTGGCTGAGCTTCTGATCGAATTTAGCCAAAATGGCTGAAGCATCTGCAGGTGCAAGATTTCCAGCCACAGGCTTCTCCTCAGCCCACTCTCCTGTGATATCAATGATCTTCTGGTTGACGACCTTGTCTTCCGCAGCGATCTTAGCTTTCAATGCGTCAGCTTGGTCATTCGCGATCTTGTTTTTCCTCTCCAAGACCTCATTCAGTGTCTGCCATTCGTGGTCGATTTGCTCCATCTGCAGCCAGTCAGATGGGAATTGGTAGCGCTGACGAGCTAACGTGGCTTGACCCTGACGGAACGTAGAAATCTCTGGTTCCCATTCCATAACCTTTCTCTTGCACTGCTGAACAGTGGTAATGAAGGAGACAGCCTGAGCAGTTGAGGACGCCTCGAGTGTCTGCATCTCAAGGTCCTTGCGAGCCTTCTCAATTTGCACATATACGTCAGTCATGCGCTGACCGAGCCTGCTAGCAAACTTGGTAAGGATCTCTTGTTGCCACTGATCATACTTGGCATTGACCTTGACCTGCACTTGCTCGTAGTCGACTGTGACATAGCCAAATTGGCGACTGATGTCCGAGTTGTCGAAGGTGGCACGAGTCTTGCGAATCTCCTGGAGAAGTTGCAACCATCGGGAAAGATCCTCACCAAGGATATCATAGACGTGGTCGGACTGCAGATCCCATAGGGATTGGAACTGGAGCCACTCATCGACGTAAGAGGAAATGTCGCGGAGCTTTCCCTCCACAGCACCATAAACCTCAATAAGTGAGTCGGTACATCGGCTTGGTAGGTCGGAGAATTGATTGACGGAAGTATCGTTGGTTGCTTCAAGTCTGATTTCATATCGCGAGGCCTTGATCTTCTGGAGGGTGCAAACAATGGCGAGCCATTGCTGAAGCTGCTCAAGCCAACTTGCTCGAGCGTACTCCACAGGAGGGCTGAGGTAGATGACCTGATTCCGCATGGTAATCTCGAGCGTCAACCGAGCCAAGGTCGGCTTCACCTCTGGGATCTCGGTAGACGCAGGCTCGCTGACTGGACGGCGGTCTTGATTTTCTTCATCAATGTTGTTGAAGATCTCAATCCACAAAGCAATAGCCCTGCTGAGTCGGATTAGTAAGATAGACTCGATGCGGGCGTTCATGTCCGAGACCCAAGAAGCAAGGTTGGCGTAATTCTCGAGGTTAAGCTGATCAATAGACTTTTGAATGGTTTCGAGGTTTTGTTGGAACGCATCCTTGGTGTACGAGCATGTTTCCAGATCCTTCAATGCCTTCTCAACTGCAGCATTGATGTTTACCAAAGTGGCAACCTTCAGCTGAAGTAGGGATGTCGCTGCAGCGAAGTCGCGAACAAACTGGACGTGCTTGCTCTCGCTGCGGACGCTACCACCACCAACAGGGAAACCAGACTGTCGAACATGGAGGTCATAGGCATGAACAAATGACTCCCACTTGAGCGGTACACCCTTGCCAACAAGTGCTTGAACATCGTTTACATAATTGTTAAGGAGCAGAGCAACACTGCCCATCTCGGTGATTGAACGCACAGTCTGAGTGTATGTACGGACACTCTCCATAAGGCTGACTGCGTAAGGGTAGACACGCTTCGCCTCCTTCGAGATGTTGTTGATGCCGTGTGGGACCTGATAACCACGCCATGTCAGGTTGCGAACCTCCTTGAAAAGCGCAATGACTTGCGCATCAAAGTTGACATTCAGCTCAAGGATGTTACCAGCAGCACGATTTCTGTTGACAAGAAAAAGTCGTCCAGAGATGGACAGCTTTCTCCTCGCGACCTCCTGGAGCCACGACTCAAAGATGGGCCTGGTGTCGAGCTTCTTCTTGAACATACTACTTTCAGCTTGAAGCTTTTGACCTTCCGCATGGAGCGCCCAGTCTTTGCCGAGGATGTCTTCGACCTTTCCCATATAAGTCTCCAGTTGGGTTTCAATCTGACGGGCCCAGATGACGGCACCAGATACAGGAGGGAAATCGCGAAGCTGTGCCATGGCATGAGCTTCGGAGTTGCCGTACTGTCGCTTGAAGCGCTCATGAAGGGCCAAGATGTCTTGTTTGACATTCTCGATAAGCTGCGTTTGGTACTCGGAGATAGCACCCCGAATCTTTGGTCGCACAAACAGCGGGTTGAACTTGGAGAAGACGCGGAACATCTCACTCGCCGTCTTGGCGGTACCGAGGCGGTCTCTCAGCCTGGCAATGATAGAGTTTTCAACACGCGACGTACGCTCGTTGTACTTTTGCTCTGCTTGCTCAAACAGTCGTGTGCCCTCGGGTGACACGTCCAGAACATCCACATCTTTCAGAACGTCATACGCTTCCTTGACCTCCTTGACAGCATCCACGTCACCAATCTCTTCGATAATGACCGCCTCCTTGGCTGGTGCACTCTCAGCCAAGGACGACTGGGTTCCGAGGACATTGACAATGGTTCGCTGGAGCTGCTCATGGTTCTTGCGGAAAGTAGTAATGTAACGAATGCGCTCCTCCGTCTCCTTGTGTCGCGCAGCAATCTTGATGGGAATAAACTTCTCGTTCCTTCGCCTCGTCACTTCACGCGCAACGTTAGTGAACTCCTTGACATTCTCCTCCCAAGTGCGCCAGATGCTCTCAGCAACCGCCATGATGGCCTGGAATTCGGGGTAATCCATGTGCATGAGCGTCTTGCCATGGAGCAGATTATGCAATTGTTTGTCGAGATCACCAGAAATCGCCTCTACGAGGGGCAAGGCGCGACGGACAGGGTAGGGGCAAATGCGGAGTTTCTTGTTCATATGGCTGAAGATGGATTGAATTGCTTCCTGAACTGCCTGGAGTGAAGTTGAAGACAGTAGCTGATCGAGCGGGAATTCGCGCATAAGCTGGTTGTACTTTTGCACAAGATCCGTACTCTCCTTCAGACCAGTGTCTGCGCTGAAACTGACAGTTGCTTGGAAACGCTTTGCATTTTTCAACACGTCCAGCGTGAGCCTGACACCAGGGCTTCCAAGCTGCGTCTCGATATCGTGCAGCCTTGACTCCATGGAAATCCAGAAATTGATCTCCTGCGCAGCTGTTCCGGTCGACACGTCGCGAGAAGTCTTTGTAATGGTCTGTATCGACTTAATCCATCCATTGACCGTCGCCTGCAATCCGTTGAGAAAACTGCTGTCCTGCACAATGGCAGCGGGGATAAGCTCTGGAGAGGGCTTCACACCGCGCTGATTGGCCTCGTCCAAAGCACTCTGGATAAGTGGATGCAGAGGCAGAAGCAGTTCAGGAATCTCGACATTCTGCTCAAGGTTGCCCAAGCTCACAGCCAACTCTGCAATCTTCTTCCTTGTTGCTGAAATACCCGTCCTCGCATCATTGTCACCCTTGCTGTATTTTCCCGCCAAGTCACGCTGACTCTTTGTGTACGTGTCAAAGTAGGGCTCGACGGCCGACTGTATGAGCGAACGAAGGAATTCGTAGGGCGTGCCGTCGGGCGAAGAAGCATTATTAGAAAGTATAAAGCCGGGCAGGGTCTGAATAAGGACCTGCTGGCTAAGGGGTATCGCGGGGTCTATGGGTATCGGTCGCTTGGAAATAACAACAAAGGCGGCACAAGTGGGAGAAGCGGTAATCTCACTCGAGAGGGTGTAGGTAAAATGTTGGGTGGCGCCTGCATTTTCAGTCAGTGTGGATGCTCCATCATCCGCAGTAGAGGGGAACTTGCTATTCGCGCTTTCCAAGCCATCGATACGAGGCTCATCTGCCCGGTCCTTAACTACATACAGCACCGATTGCCCCTCGGAGGCGAAGCGGGCGCATCGTTGCAGTGTATCCGGGAGTTTGGCCGACGACAGCAGACTGCCGGGGGCATACAGGTCCTCCTTGGAGGCGCCCAGGCTGACATCGAGCACCTTTTCCAGGTGGTCTACAATGAGCTGGGGATCTATCGAGGGCGGTGAGGGACTGGGAGTGCGTATGCTGCCATTGCCATTCGGGGCCCCTGGGTTCAATGGTCCCTCCATGGTCAAGTGTTGGTCGGGTGTCGGTCGCTAGGAAGACATGTGGCTCCGGGCTCGGAGGGCGGGGTAGTGAGGGAACAGTGGTTTGGAGGGGGCAATCGCTAGTTGCAAAGGGGCGCTTGGGGAGGCGACCGGGTGGTGGTGATGATGTGTTGTCGGTCTGATAATTCACAGTAGGCGTACGCGAAGTACGCGCGCACGGTCGTCACACGCTTACCCTGCCTGCCTAGTGTCACCGCCGCCCCTGCAGCCGCACAACCCCGCCCGTTGATTCGTCCCTCCATGTCTGGCACGGGCAGTGGGAGCACAAGAACATACGATTATTCTACTCGCAGTCAGCACATGCTTTGGGCGGCTAGTATTGTCTTGATTACTCCTGTTGTCCTGTCACTATGTCTTTGACGACTCTGACATGCCAGACATGGCCACGGCTAGACCAGCAAGTAACAATTCTCCACGTGAAAGTGCGACGTTGACAGGCCCACTTTTCCAAACTAGCCTTCCCGCTCCTCCAATTCAATCTCTAACTCTACCATACTACGCCGGTTGGGCTACCACAAAAAAGAGAGCATCCATCATTGGCGCAGCATTAGCTTTGTTGGTACACGAAGATTGACTATCCACTCCTACCAGCCCTCCTATCATCAAGTTCCGTGCCCTGGTCCTCGCTGTCATCGTCGCTCTCCTCATCATCCGCGCCAATAGCAAAAGCTTCACCGTGCCTCCCCCCCGTCCCCTGCTCAGGCATCGGACTAGCAAGCCTCAACTCCCCAACCTCCTTCATCCCCACTTTCCTCCGTCCCCAGTTGATGATACGCTTTCCAAATGCCGCCAATTTCTCCATACCCTCGTCACCATTGGTACCACCAGCACCACCATGCCCCGCCTCGACCTTGAACTGGTATTTCAAGCAGTCTTTGATAGTAATGAGCCCGGTAAGCTGGCCACGATACTCGACCAAGATGACTCGCGGTCCTACTTTTTTGAAAATTTCCATAACCGTCTCTAGGGGCAGGCGGGGATGAACAGACAACGGAGTGGGATCAACAAATCGTGTAAAGTCGAGATTGGTCTGCGACGAGGTACTAGGAATAGACTCAAACGTCGTGTTTGGCGATGCTCCAGCTCCCCCACGTGTTTGCATGGTACCCTGAGTAGATGCAGATGGATGCGTGAAATAGCACTTGGCATGGGGTGGGGCGTGCTGCTCTATCTTCGCGCGTTCAATGGCATACCGAAGCTCGGTGCGCCCAATGTATCCAACCAGTATCTTCGTCTTCAAGTCTTCGACGATAGGGTAACCTTGGTATTGGTTTTCATTCATCAGGCGCTCCATCTGTCGTAGCTTCATTCCAGTAGCCGATATGCACACGACACGGCTCTCCATGACCTGAGAGACTGGCACGCCAAATGTGTGCTCTTCCTTACTATCCAGAAATGGGTAGCCATTGAGATAGATCATGCGATCCGCGATACCGCCATGTCCAAATCGCTCGCTCACTGCCTTTGTGACACCGACGACAATCATGGTGGGTAGAATGTAAGTCAGCGCGCCTGTAATCTCAAACATGATGACAACCACCGAAACGGTAATGTGCATGATGCCACTCAGTGATGCAGCGGCTCCAAGGAAAGCATATGTACCCGGCGTAATGCATGGTCCATCTGGTCCACAGGCCGAAAAGAATGCTGAAGTAGGAAAGGATTCGTGAAGGGCCTGAACGCAGATGCCCACCATACGGCCAAACGCCGCGCCAATCGCCATACTGGGCACAAAGATACCGGCTGGCACCTTGCATCCGAACGATATGATGACCAGCAAGGTTCTGATGGTAGTTGCAATAGCAAGCGTCGCGACATTATGCCACCTCTGTGCCGCATCACACAACCTGTCGTAATCCTTGCCCTGCTTGCACTCTCGAAACAAGATTTCCATGCTCTCAGTCATGTCAATTCGCAGAAACATGTTAGGGAAGCATATAACACCTGTGATGACGGCCAGAGTGACAGCCTCAGTAATAGGGTACGCAGCAAGGTACTTTTTGCGAAAGACCTGCACCTTGAGATTCCACTTGATGACAAAAGCGCCATAGAGACCGCCGAAAACACCGATGATGAGGTAGAAGACAATCTCGAAAAAGTGCCAGGAACGATCATACGAAACGTTGAACATGACGAGCTGGCCGGTACGGAAGGGGTTCATGGCCTATAGCAGCTTCAGTCAGTCTTGTTTTTCTGACAAGATAGGAAAAAACAGGGGTGCTTACAGCGAGAACAGCCGTAGCAACCAAAGCACAAAAGTAGCTTCTCCAGAGCGTCTTGAGCGGAAACTGATTGCTCATCTCCTCCAAGCTGAACAGTACGCCTCCAATGGGACTTCCAAATGCCACGCCGACACCCGCCGCAGCACTCGCACTCAGTATCTCCCTTGTCTTTGCCGCGTTCCTCCTGTACTTGTCGAAGAACCTGCTAATCACATTTCCTGTGCAGACAGCATAGTGCACGCTAGGTCCCTCCTTTCCGACCGACAAGCCCGAGCCAATAGCCAGGGGCAGCCCAATCGACTTAATAGAGAGCGTCGTGAAACCCAGGAAGCCCTTCATGACGAACCCCGCAATGATGCACTTCATCTCCGAGATACCGGATCCCGCCGCATACGGCGCGAAGCTCTTGACCAGCCTCGCCGAAGTGAAAGAGAAGAGGGCTGCGAAGAGGATGTAGAGAAAGTAATTCGCAGGCCAGAACCCCGTCCAGTGTTTCCACTCGGCACATCCTCCCTCAGCGCCCCAACAGCAAAAATGCTCGTTGAGGTAAAAGGCCGTGGTGCAATGTCCCAGCTTGATATCGCTCAGCCACTCAGTCACGATATTCAAGCACGCAGCATTGAGTCCAATCGCCGCGCCCACCAGCGTAACGACAATCCAGGCCTGACCCGCATCGTACATCTCCGCAATCTTTCTCCTCCACTTGCCTCTTCCACGGCCCCAAAACACTTTATTGGCACCCCCATCCTTTCGCACGCCAATACTATCTCGTTTCCGCTGCCGCGCTTTCCGCCGCAGCTGTTCGCGCGCAGCATCCTGCACCCAATCTATCGTCGTAAAGTCCTCGTATCGCTTGATCTCGGCAATCTCCTCGACAATCGCAGCCTCGACATGCGTGCTCTCTGCAGCCTCGGGGTCCTCATCGCCGGCATCGAGCGAGAGCAGAGAGTGGCTGGCTGTGCGTCGCCGCAGCGAGGGTGCATACGAAGAGGAGTGCGAAGCTGGGCCTGGGCGTGACGACTGGCGGCGCGTCGAGGGCGGTCGGCCGGCCGGCCGTGAGTAGGACGAGTCTACATGGAGCGAGGAGGACTGCGAGGCTGATGATACATGGCCGCTTTCGCCACTGAATCCGGTCCCATTCATCGCATTCTCGTGGTTCGTCCTGATTCTTCGTGTCGGCGCAGAAAAGGAATGAATGTATAGGAGAGTTTAAAGATACGACGTTGCGAGACGGAATGCCCGCCTCGCCTGGGCTTATGCAAGGGTCCAGCACCTTGACCCAGCGCCCACTGTCTCGGGGGTCCGATGTTGTCATTGCACAGCCCTGCCAAGCCTACATAGACTGCGCAATCGAGCAGATGGTATTCTCATGTATGTGGATTTTTTTCCATTCTCCTCTTCTGCTTTGATCCTATCTATCGCGTCGTGCCCATGTATGCTCAATGATCCTGTCAATAAGCATGTGAAGATGACACGTGCGAATTTTGTCTGATTTTAGCATCGATCTCCATCTCTGCCACCAACTGATAAGATCACAATCACCCCCAACATCAACACATTCATCCGGCAGCACTTCGGTACATGATTGAAGAAAATATTCATATTCAACTACCTCATAGTAGTCATGCAAGGGTATCATCAAAGAGTCGGTCTATCATCCATCGTCTATTCGTATCCAAATCCAATCATCTTCCTATCCAAGTGTGTCCATGCTGTACAAAAATATCTGGCAAAGCAACCAGAGCCGAAAAAACACACAGGGCTCCTACTCCATCTCGATGGTGCCAGGAGGCTTGCTAGTGACTAGTAAAAGTTAGCAGATATTCTTCCTTTATGAGGACGAAAGAAAAACTCACTATCGTAAACCACACGGCAAACGCCATTGACCTCGTTTACAATCCTCCTACTCACCCTCTTGAGGAACTCGCCATCAAAGGGATACCAGTCTGCCGTCATGAAGTCTGATGTCTCAACAGCCCTCAGTGCAATAACCTGATCGTGCACACGCTTGTCGCCCATAACACCAACTGCCTTGACAGGGAGAAGCGCCGCAAATGCTTGACTGATGTTCCTGTACAGACCGGCAGCCTTGATTTCCTCAATGAAGATGTGGTCTGCCTCACGCGCAATGCGGACTTGCTCACGAGTGACCTCGCCCAAGATACGGATGGCGATACCTGGGCCAGGGAATGGATGGCGCCAGACGAGATCCTCTGGAATGCCAAGCTCCTTGCCCAGTTCACGAACCTCGTCCTTGAAGAGCTCACGGAGAGGCTCAATGACCTTGAGCTTCATGTCTTTGGGAAGACCGCCGACATTGTGGTGCGTCTTGATGGTCTGCGAGGGGCCCTTGAATGAGAGAGATTCAATGACGTCAGGGTAGAGGGTACCCTGGAGGAGCCATTCAATGTCACCAGCCTCGCTGGACGCGTGAGCCTCTGCCTTGATCTTCTCGGCTTGCTTCTGGAACACTTCAATGAAGGTGTTACCAATAATCTTGCGCTTCTTCTCTGGGTCATCAGTCACACCCTTCAGACGGTCGAGGAACAGGTCGGATGCGTCAATGACTGTGAGGTTGATACCCAGACCTTCATCTAGGGTCTTCTTAACCTGTACAGCCTCGTTGAGCCTCAATACACCATTGTCGACCATGACGGCATGGAAGCGATCGCCAATAGCCTCCTTCATCAGCTTAGCGGCAACAGTTGAGTCGACGCCACCACTGACAGCGCCAATGACTTGCCCCTTGTCGCCTACGAGTTTCCTGATGCGCGTAATCTCCTGGTCTACGAACTTGCTCATGGTCCAGTTTGTGTTCGCTTGGCAGATATCGACGGCAAAGTTCTTCAAAACCGTGGTTCCCTTCTTTGTGTGGGTGACTTCAGGGTGGAACTGAATGCCATAGTACTTGCTGGTCGTGTGCGCAATGCCCGCAAATGGCGCATTGTTCGTAGTCGCAACAGTCACAAAGCCCTCGGGCATATGGCTGAGCTTGTCGCCGTGACTCATCCAGACCTCGAGGTCATTGCCCAAATCCTTGAACAGCTCGTCCATGTGTCCGCCGTGGTTCTCAACCTTGAGGTTTGCATGTCCGTATTCCCTCTTCTCGCCGGCGGCTACTCCGGCGTTCTTGCCAAAGTGCCATGCCATCTCTTGTAATCCATAGCATATGCCCAAAATTGGGACGCCGAGATCAAAGACGGCGTGGTCGACGTGGGGTGCGCCCTCCTCATAGACTGAGTATGGGCCACCGGAGAGGATGATACCCTTTGGTGTGAAGGGAAGATCGGCAATTTTAGTGGTACATGGCAACATCTCAGAGTATATGTTGAGCTCACGCAGCCGGCGTGTGATCAAATGTGTGTACTGCGAGCCAAAGTCGAGTACCAAGATGGTATCGAACGTCTTGTGGGGAGGAATTGGGTCGGAGTTGTCGGTCGCCATTTTGAAAGAAGACGTACACTTGAAAAGTGTGAAACTTGAGTCTGAAAGAAAGTGTTGACAAGAAGAGGAAAAAAAGTTGAAAGAAAGAGGACGGGGTATCTGGGGACGGAAAGCAGGCGCAGGAGGGGCTCCGTGACTCTCGCAAATTTTGGCGGGGCCCAAAATTTCGCTATCGATAGCGCCGCCGACGCAGCGCGAAAGTCGCGTCGCTCGAATTCTCCACTCGCCTCAGCTCAGTTGGTAGCGATTTTTGTATACTGCACACCCAGAACATCCAATGGCCAAGAGAAAGTCTGAGAGAGATCCCGAGGATCTGCCTGATGCGCCTGAAAAGCGCACGCAGCAAGATGGCGACGACTCTGGCAGCGACGAGGTATGCGCTTCGGTCGATTTCTCTTCTTGCAATATGGCGAGCTGACCGCTGCATGCTAGGAAATGGACATAGTCAATGTAGATTTCGAGTGGTTTGATCCGCAGCCAGCTGTTGACTTCCACGGACTTAAAAACCTGTTGCGTCAACTCCTCGACGTCGATGCGCAATTATTCAATCTCTCAGAACTCGCCGATCTTATATTATCGCAACCACTCCTAGGAAGTACGGTCAAGGTTGACGGCAATGAGACGGATCCATACGCTTTCCTTACCATCTTGAACATGCAGACACATAAGGTGCGCATGCGCCTTGTCAATTTAGTGGAATCGGCCTGTCTAACAAGCACCTGTAGGACAAGAAAGTAATTAGCGACCTGACATCCTACCTCTCGAAAAAAGCCTCCTCAATCCCCACTCTCGCACCACTGCTCGCCGAATCTTCTGAAGCTCAAGTTGGTCTTGTTTTGACCGAACGCTTTATCAACATGCCACACGAGGTCGTGCCCCCAATGTACACCATGCTCCTTGAGGAGATCCAATGGGCGGTCGAGGAAAAGGAACCTTATACATTCACCCACTATCTCGTGCTCTCAAAATGCTATTCCGAAATCCAATCGCAATTACCGAGCGGGGATGCGCCACCGAGCAAGAAGAAGAACAAGAAGGCCGACGTTGGACAGGAGACATTTTACTTCCATCCCGAGGACGAGGTACTACACAAGCATGCGGTGGGCTTCACGGACTTTGATTACGATACCCCGGTAGACGAGGGTGCGAGCGACAGCAAGAGAGCATTTCAAGAATTAGGAGTAAAACCGAAGGGACACATGGTGCTAATCGAGGCGGATAAGTTCAAGAGCGCTGTTGAGGCTGTCAAGACCTATCTAAGCGGTCAATGATATCTTTGATGCTCATGCAGGATGCATCCAATGAGAGCCGTAGAGCGAAAGATGCCGTGATTGTCGTGACATGTACCAGTAATAGAATCGCAGCAACACCTGCAACCAACACAAACAAAGGGTGACTCTAACTAGTGTTACATTGCAAGGACACAAGCCGAATCTATGTGAATCAAACCGTAGGAAATTGTTGATGCTCGCTCCTATACACACAAGTCTCGACATCCGTGCGCCTCCCCTTCAAAAGTTACTCCGCTTAACCAATGACGACCTTGCCCTCCTCAGGGAAGTCGTACGAGGGAACCTCGAGGTTGAGCGGGGCAGGTCCCTTTCTTATGCGGCCAGAGATATCGTAGTGGGATCCGTGGCAAGGGCAGAACCAGCCTCCAAAGTCACCAGCCTCGCCAATGGGGACACAACCAAGATGAGTGCAGACACCTGTTGCTGTTAATTCCAATCTTCATCTGTGTGGTTCGCGGTGCAACGTACCCAACATGATCAACCATTCGGGCTTCTGGACACGGGCAGAGTCGGGCTGGGGGTCACGGAGAGACTCCCACTTGGTATCTTCAGCCTCCTTGATCTCGTCCTCGGTGCGGTGTCGGATAAAGACGGGCTTGCCTCGCCACTTGATAATGACCTGCGCTCATCAGCTTCCGATCGTCGGGTAATACATGTGATGTTGCAAAACATACGTTCTTGCCCTCAGGAATGGCAGCGAGGTCGATTTCAACCTTGGCTTGGGCCAAAACATCGGCGGAGGCAGACATGTTGACAAGGAAGTCTGTTGAACGATTGCGTCAGCCGTTCGGTTCTCCATCAATTCGCGGACGCATGTCATCCGAAAAATGGCCAATTGCTCTCCCCCAACTCCAAGTATTCCATATCAATTCCTCCGAGCAATTTCCATCCCTCCGTTGGATTGTCGCGGTGCTGGTGACCTACCCTGTACGGTCGCCTTCGCGCCAAGCGCACTCAGCGCACCCATGGTTCCGACCATGAAGTACTGGAAGACCTTAGGTCCGGTCTCGCCACCCTTATTCCTGTACGCAGCAAACGAGGGGATCTTGGTCGTCTCCGGGGTGCCCTTGAAGGGACTATCGAACGAGGAAGCCGAGGCGTTGCGGGTCTGCATGGCGGTGCAACCGGCCGCCCGGGCAACGGGCAATTGGTGAGCGGTCCATGAGCGTGCGACGGCACGGGCGGTGTTGGCGAGAGCGGGCATCGTGGACGCGAGTGGGCGGGGGTTGTGGTCGTTGATGGAGAGGAGCTTGGATTGACGATGTTGAAGTTTTGGCTGGTTTGGCAGGGAGCGTTATGTCAGGTGTTGTCTGATTGGCCAGAAGGTCTTGTGGCCGACGAACACCATCCAAGCGTCATCGCCCGAACACCACCACGGCATTGTAACAGCGTGAGTCTCGTCTGGGCTTGCTTAATACACAACATTGCACATTACGACTTCGTCTTTGCTCACCATCGGATCAATAATGTGATCCTCTGGGAAAGCACGTTTTGATATTGCCATTTAATCTACCCGGCTTCCGAACTGTCAGGTCGCTTCTCTTAGAAATCGTATATTCATTCCCGCTGCTACAATTGAGTTGTAGATTATATGCACAGACTGTTGACTCACCCAAGGTGAGAGAGAGCCTTGGCGGCTGCCTGACCTCTAGTTTGTGATATCAATTCACGGAATCATGCCTTTGCTCCATTACTACCTTCCTCCTCACTGACAATTCCTTACTTTTTATTATTTTCCACAGGGTCTTCGTCAGTAAACCCTTCTTATTTAGCACCTCTCTGACTTACCCTATGCAACATCACTTAAGAACTCTCAAACACCTCGCAACAATGTCCAGCAACGAAGCCGCTTCCATCACTTCCTACCCCAAGCCAAAAACCACAGACCGCAATCAAGCAACTCTTAAGAAACCCGGCAAAGATGAACCCGAGAACCAACGAGTACCAGACACCTCAGCGCCCCAAGACACAGGCAATGGCAAAGGCAAAGGCAAAAGATCACTATCCACATCCTCCCCCATCCTCCCCTCAAAAAGACAAGACACCAAAACGACACCTACCCCTACCCCTCTTTCCTACAAAGACCTTCCCCCAACCCTTCCCGCCACAGCCTCCACGACCCTCTCCCTAACCGACCACACGGGCTCCCTCTTCACCGCACCCCCCAGCACCTTGCTCCTCCACGCCTGCAACACCCAAGGCTCCTGGGGCTCCGGCATCGCACTCGCCTTCAAGAAGCAGTACCCCAACGCCTACACCATCTACCATGCCTTCTGCACCAAAGAGCATTCCATAAAAACCGGTAACCCGGTGCCAGCCGGTACGACGCTGTTGATTCCTCCGGTGGACGGCGACAAGGGGCATTGGATTGGTTGTCTGTTTACGAGTCGGAGGTATGGGAAGGGGAAGGATAAGGCAGAGGAGATTCTGAGGAATACAGGGAGGGCGGTCGAGGGGTGCTTGGGGTTGCTGGGTTTGGTTGGGGAGGAGGTGGGGAGGGTGAGGATGTGTAGGATTAATAGTGGGAAGTTTGGGGTGCCGTGGGAGAGGACAGAGGATGTGTTGAAGGGGGTTGTGGTGAGGGAAGGGTGGGTGGGGAGGGTGGAGGTGTGGAATACGGAGGGTAGTTAGGGGGATGCATCTGAAAAGGTTGCGTGGTAGTTTGTTAGTAGGTAGTATTGAATTTCGGGTGCATGGAGTGGTAGAAAGTGGGTTGATGAAGTCGGCGGAGATTCAAGTCATACTACTATTCAATTTTCTTCAAGTAGGTGGTTCTAATCTAGCATCATGCCCAGGCCACGCAGATGATGCAATCTGAAGTTGTTTAATTTATGTTGCGATCCGGTAGAACGGATCCTTTCATGTTCGTCCGGGCATAGTCAAACCCCCCATATCGAATTCCGTCAACTCGTCAAGTACTCTCGGCATGGTATATCCTGCTGAACGCCAAATGCAATGCAAACAATTCTTCTTCCCCAAGCCCTGAATCAGCGCATGTTACTTGTTGCCATTAATAGCCGTGAACCCTCCTGTCGGCCGCCTAACTACTGGACTGGCAGGCTTGTTCTCGGCCGGTACGGGCTGGCTTGGTGGACCGCGCATCTCCATCTCGATTTGCATGGCCGCAGCGTCTTCCTCTGGCTCACTGTCCGCAACACGGTCTACTCCCTGATCGACTTCCATAGCGTCGGGTGTCTCCTCTGGCTTGTCTGGTGACTGCGAAACAGTAGCGGCGCCAGTCTCAGGTGTTTGGATCTTGTCTGCAATATCTCCTTCCACCGTCTCTACAGGCGCACCCAGTTTTGCCTGGCCATTTGCTAGAGTATCTTTCTTCCCCTCCTTCTCCTTCCTCTTTGCGTCTTCCTTCTCCTTTTCCTCGATCCTCTTCCTTACAGTGCCCCATGTGCTTGTCTTGGGTGCGACATCGACGAGAAACTCGAGATTATCCGTCTTTGCTACGGCGCTGCTGACATCACGGTACTGGATGTTGCGACGAGGCTTGCGCTCGGCTTTTACGACATTGTAGGTTGTAGTTGCGAGGTGCTGGATGAACATTTCTGTGGCGAGTGCGATGGCAAAGGCTGCGTTCTTGGAAGTTGTGATGCGCTCTGGGTCCGCTTGAATGATCTTCTGCACGCGTGCCACTGGTGAGAGAGTTAGTCAATGAAGCCATTTGAATGGCGGCCAGATATCCCACTTACATGGAAGCGACACATGGCCGGTAATTTCCTTGTTGGGCGCAATCGGAGTGTTATTGTAGGGCATAGTGGAGGAGGGTGTCTTGCTCTGGCGGTATGTGCTGCGGATTGTTAGGTGGTTACTTGTAGGTTGATGCGCGATTCCAGCAGAGGTTCGAGATTGCGGAGGAGGCGAATCGTATTCAAGGGTTTGATTGACGCGGTCAAGTCGCGCGAAATCGTCGGGTTGAGAATACAGTCGCGTACAGTGGTGGTTTCGAGGTGCGGGTGAAGACCAATCCCCACACCCCTGTCTAACTTTGGACGATCGTTTACTGGGGCCCGGGGTGACGCGGACACCAACCTTCCTCACCTGTGTTCTCTGGGGATATCTGTCATTCTCCAGATCCATACAGCTGCTCTATCTCTTGCAATACTGATTTGTCACGTGTCGTTGCTCTGTTGTCATTCTGTGCTGAATCTAGCATCCATCGCAGTCCCGCGAGGGTGTACATCAATCATGAAGCTTTCTATTGCTAGTTTGCTTGCAGCGACTGTCCCTGCCTCCTCATTTTCGCAGGTGCCATTCCAAGAGACACCCGATGTTGAAGGTTTCCAGTTGTACCAGAGTCAATTTTCCGAACACCATGCCATCCGCATCAGAGAGCAGCAAGACGACACGATTTGCAACGCTCACGGTAAACAATACACTGGTTGGCTAGATGTCGGCTCAAAACATATATTCTTCTGGTACTTCGAATCACAGAGAAAGCCGTCCGAAGATCCGCTGTTGTTATGGTTGAGTGGAGGCCCAGGTGCGTCTGGCATGCTTGGAATGATGGGTGAGTTGGGACCATGTATGATCAATGAACACGGCAATGGCACTGTCTTCAACGAATATGGGTGGAGCAAGAATGCCAACATCATCTTCGTCGATCAGCCGGCTGGTGTAGGCTTCAGCTATGTTGACCCAGGCGTCCCGCTTCCGGCTACGAGCTTTACAGCAGCTGAAGACATGCATCATTTCCTGCAGCTATTCACCAGCGAAGTCTTCCCAAGTCTTTCCGGAAGAGACTTCCATATTACTGGCGAAAGCTATGCTGTAGGTTTCTTACATCATAGTCAAACGTACAAGCTGATGATTACCAGGGCCACTATGTTCCAGCACTTGGCGCGCAGATTGTGTCTCAGAACCTCCTGTACCCAAAGCGACCGCAAGTCAACCTCAAATCAACTTTCACCGGCAATGCATATGTCTCGCCCAAGGACACTACTTTTGGCTACTGGGAGACCCTTTGCACAACGAATCCCGGTGTTGAGAGCCCCGTGTTCAATCAGACACGCTGCGATATCATGGCAGCAAACTTACCTCGCTGCATGGAGCTCACCCAAATCTGTTACGACCATCCGGATCCAGCCATATGCATCGCTGCTGAGACAGTTTGTGACGAGGGGGTCATCCAATACTACGACGGCGAGTCTGGCGAAGGTGGTCGCAATCGCTACGACATCACAGACGGGTGTGAGACGAAGGACGAATTGTGCTACCCTGAAATCCCGAGGATACAAAAGTATCTCAATCTTCCATCGGTTCGACAAGCTCTTAACGTGCCTAAAGCTGCGGGCAACTATTCGGTCCTATCTCTGGATATTACATGGGCCTTTGCTCTGACTGGAGATGGTGTTCAGAGCACGCAGCCACAGGTTTTGTACCTCCTTGAGCATGGTATCGACGTGCTTTTCTATCAAGGTAATCTTGATCTTGCGTGTAATACTGCGGGTAATCTGCAGTGGGCCAACACGATGCAATGGAAAGGCCAGCCAGCGTTTGTTGCGCAGCCGAAGAGAGCGTGGAAGAATGACGGAGAAGAAGTAGGGTGGTTCAAGGAGGTAAAGACCAAAACTGCGAGCGGTAGAGAAACGACCTTTGCTTTTACAACGGTAGACAGAGCGGGGCATCTTGTTCCATTTGACAAGCCCAAGGAAGCGTTGGCACTCGTGGACAGGTGGTTGGACAAGCGGAGCTTTGCCTGAGTGTCGCGTGTTTTGGTTGTAGCAGTTGACATGTTCCAAATTGCGCTTGCCCAAAAATGTTTGTAATGGCATGTTACAAAATATGCAAATGTGGTAGTGGTCCGTAGCTGGTGACAGACATGGTGGTTAATTGACTCGCAGAGATGGGGTTGATGTGGGTAGAATGACGAAAGTTAGCTCTTTCACCAGTGCGCAATCGCAGCAAGCCCGGGATAAGCACACGACACCTCTAGCTCCGTGATCGCTATGCTGTATGCAAATTTCTATTGCAGACACCGCATCGGCCATTTGTATGTCATCATTCGCATCGATTTGGGTGCCCAAACATGCGGTCCGTCCCCACCGATGATATCACTATAACACTACGTCATCGCTATGTTAGTTTTGTGAGCAGAAGAAACCCTTCATAAGGAGAGGGGAGAACTCACCCTCAACATCATCATTCGCACAACCATTGCAAACTGTCTCTTCTTCATTCAACCAATCTTTCAACTTAAATCTTTTCCCCACGTTTCATAACCCACATACTCAACATGTCTGGAAACTCAAGCGTCGGCAACAGGACCGTCTACGAGGCTGGCGACCAGATCACCAAGTCCAACGCCGAGATTGAGCAGGAGAAGAAGGAGAACAGGTTCCACGAGGGCAAGGAGAACTCCCACAAGGCTCTCGACTCAAGTATGTGCTTCCTTTATTTGTCGCATGTGTTGATGCACACTTGGTCGTGGTGGGCAAGGCTTGGGCCGAACCCAACCATGATTATGTCAATAAACGTATGCTAACAGCTGCTGGCAGAGGACGAGCGAACAATTGCCAACAAGCTTGAGCGTGAGGAGAAGCGCGAGAAGGAGGGTGAGGAGAAGTCTCTCGAGGACCTACAGAGGGAGAAGGATGCTACCCTGCCTGCACGCGCACACGGCAACGAGCCCTCGAAGGGAGCAAAGATCGACCAGGAGCTGAGGGAGGAGGACGAGGCCATTCTCAAGAAGAAGGGCGCTGCCTAAGTTTGTCGCTGTAAAAGACGATTTCGATACCCGCACTTTTTCGCGCGCGTGCCTGGAGTTGGAGGGATATACGCATAATGACTCGGATTGACGATAAAACGTCTCCACGAAAGCCTGGAATATGGCTGAGACATGAATGAAGACATATTCACCACCAGACCATTTACTTTTATATGAAGTTGCGACGTGATGCGGCTCAAGCGATCTCGGTGTGATGCATGCAGAGCTCCCCACATTGCCGTGCTTGACTACCCCTCCATGCACTGTTCCTGACTCGCGCAGCCTCAGGATTGCCGCCGATATCCATGGCCATTATGACTTGCGCCCGCGTTATCAACCCCCAATCGTAGACTCCACATTCTCTTCACTCATCAATTACTGTATTACAAAGCATTGCGACTTACATGCCTGTTCTGCCGTCATCTAAGCTTTTCTTCCGCACTGCAGCCGCCTTTGCCCAAGCCTCATTACGACCCCGCATCGTCCCTTGCAGTACACAACTACCGAACTATCTTCAACATCACGCTGCCAAAATGTCGACTAAGATGGCCGAGCGCCTCAAGGGCAAGACCATTGTCATCACTGGTGCGTCTTCTGGCATTGGCAAATCAACAGCCCTCGAATTCGCCCGGACACAGCCAGATGACTTGAAGCTCATCTTGACTGCACGAAGAGAGGACTCATTGAAAGAGCTTGCGCAAGAGATTGGCGGGTTCGCAAAAGGTGTCAAAGTCCTGCCAGTCAAGATGGATGTCAGTAAGCCTGACGAGGTTCAAAACTTTGTTGGCAACCTTCCTCAAGAGTTCAAGGACATCGATGTACTGGTCAACAACGCGTGAGTTGCCCCATGAATACTGGGGACATTTCTCTGCAGCTAACAACATTGAAGTGGACTCGTCAAGGGCGTTGCCCAGGCCCCTGACATCTCCCCAACAGACATCGATATCATGTTCAGCACAAACGTAACCGGCCTGATCAACATGACGCAAGCTATCCTTCCCATCTTCAAGGCACGCTCCACCCCTTCAGGCGATATCATAAACATTGGTTCTATTGCAGGCCGTGAGCCTTACCAGGGTGGATCCATCTACTGTGCAACCAAGGCTGCAGTTCGAAGCTTCACAGACGCCCTACGCAGGGAGCTGATCGCAACAAGGATAAGAGTCATAGAGATTGATCCAGGCCAGGTAGAAACCGAATTCAGTGTTGTAAGGTTCGGGGGAGATAAGGAAAAGGCAAAGAAGGTATATGAAGGAGTTGAGCCTCTGACACCCGATGACATTGCCGAGGTTGTCGTCTTTGCTGCAGGCCGGAGGGAGAATGTGGTACTTGCTGATAGTTTGATATTTCCAAACCACCAAGTAAGTCGGATTGAAGACTTGAGAGCAAGCGACTGTTTTACTAACACAATATAGGCGGCGGCTACAGTTCTGCACCGGAAAACTGCTGGCCAGTAATCTTGATCGACAGCCTGTACATAGAGATCGATCGTCTGGATATAGACATGACGATATGTCACAATTCGACTATTATTGTGAAGACTAAATGTGCATCCAGTGTGCCATTCGCTACGAGTCAATTGTTTATTAACTCGGTTACAATAAATTTCATTCTAGTCAACGAGTCGCACTTTCGCTTAAGTACTACTTACAGCTTCATCAACCGCCAGCGCTGCGACCACTATCGCGCACGATCAGCACACGATCGAATTTTGAATCCTACAGTGCCGATGATGACGACACTAGAGCATGTAAAGACAAAAAATGGTAAGCTGGGTTTCCTCATCAAGTAGGGAAATCCTGCAGAATGATGTCAGACAGCAGGTAGCAGCACTACTGCAAAGTGAGGCTGGTCACGATTCCTTGAACCTACCCGAACGCTTCAGGCATCCTGGGGAACCACGACGTAATAGAGCGATCGAACCAGATTACCGAGCATTCATCATTTATCAGACCCTGATATGTCATGGCAGCGCTAAACAATTGAAATGCACCATAGCGCGCACATCAAAACTGTCTTGCAAGCACAACATGCGACACATTACCTATTATGTACAGAAACCAAAGCGCTCACCAGCATGATTTGTAGCTTGAATCTATCACCCCAACCGATCACTGTCCACTATCCATGGTCCATGGCCCTATCTGGACTCTTCTGGGGAATCCCGAACCAAGGTTCTCTGTTGCAAACACGACCGGACGCGCGGGCAGCCTCGTCGATCTACGGGGTAGATGCGTGGGCGGAGACAATCATTTGGCGTCGTGCTCGGACCTCACGATCCAGCGCATGGCATTCGCTGCAAGACATATCCCATTGCCTTGATTCGTCGGACGTAGTTCGCGAACGGGCATTTTTGTCGCATGTCACAGCTGTGATTTGCGAGAGTATGTTTAGTCTTGTTTATTCGGCTTGTGCTGCTTGTCGGGCTTCCGAAGCCTGGGTGCACCCGCGTCCTTTCCCACACCAACCGGCACTCACGGGAACTTCATCAAATGTTAATCTTACATCATCCTTCATCATGGTAAGTATGCGAACGGCCTGGTGAGACAAGCCAGTGGCTGAGCCCGTTTGCGAGTCAATTGCTGTTTGCTCTCGTCAGCGTCAAAGTGTTTGCCTCCGCGTCAGAACACAATGCCTTTATTCGCGATAAAGGTGTCATTACTGAACTAACGCGAGACGTCTCCGCACAAACTGTTTGCGCGCGCGCCCAAGACCCAGCCAGTTTCATCTCCCCTGTAGAAAACCTATTGCGCACGTACCATATTTGGTTGAAGCCCAATAGCTTGGGCGCCAAGACCATTAACCGTGGGTTTCCATTTCACTGTCGCACACGTGCGCTCGTGATAAGGGTGGTGAACGTTGGCTTGGGAGGCCGGTTTCATTCATATCTCGGCGCAAGAGCCTTTGTCTTGCTCTCTTGTTGACGGCTTTGTCCAAGTGCCTTCGCTTTCAACACACGCAACCTTCACTAATGCGCGCACACACATCCGAAAAAATTCCTAAATTCAAATATAGCAACATGGCTTCACATGAAATCGCTAGCGGTAACGACCGGAAGTTCAATTGGGACGATGACGACGACGACGACTTTGACCTGGATACGTGGAAAGCCACTGTTGATACTTCTTCACCAAGTGTCGACGAACTGGGCCCACTTCAACTGTCGCGTTGTGAAGAGAGTATGGAAACAACTACATCATATACATCAGCGCGCAACATCTACGGAGACGCACATTCGGAGACTCTAGCCTCGCATGTTGTCAATATGGCTGTTGATCAGTCACCGGATGTTGACCCAGAGGATGGAGATGCAACCGAGGTAGAAGCTTTTGAAGCACCATCAGAAACCATATGCAACAGCTTTCTCAACACTCTCACGGAAGAACAGATTGCTTGCGCACGTCATGAGTATCTCACTCATGCCATTGGCATATACTACGACGGCAAGGACGAGGCTGATGTACCGGCATATCCCGAACTGAGCCCGTACAATGGCCAACGGTACCGATATGCAAAAGCATTCCAAAATGTAAGCCAATTGACTGGACGACGAAGAGCAGAAGTATATCGCCATTCGCCATTGGCTCTTGTGACAGGGATTGAAGAAGCCCATTTGATTGGCAACAGAAGAAGGTACGAAAACATATATAGAGAGGAGGCAACAGAGAGCGAGAACATGGATTTGTATGAGTTGCCAGAGTTGCAGGAGTCGCAGCCGGATTTCAACATCATTTACGAAGAGGGGGAACAGCAGAATACAAATGAGCAAGCTGCGCCGCGCAGAACACCGGCTCAAGAACACTTCTCTAGAGACGAGCTGAAGGAGTTGATTGGAATGTGGAAAGCACAGCAAGAAAGGGATGGCGCCGACGAATCTGAGGAGGAAGGCCAAGAAGAGGACTCAAGTTCCATCGACACATGGGAGAAGAGCGACGGAGACGAAGAAGAGATATTCGAGGCGCCTGAAACCGAGTTCGATGACGACGAGAACATGTTCTCCGTCGTTCGACCCCTAGAACCAAGAGTTTCCACCCACAACGAGGAGCTCGACTTCAACGACATTGTTTTCTGCGCTGAATCTGAAGACGAAACTGGAAGTCGCGATGAAGGATACATGTCTTCGTCTCCACCGATATCACCTGTTATAGGTACGTGCATTGATGGGTGCGAGTGGCAGGCGCAACACGTCGAGGCGGTGGTTCGTCCTAAAAGGGCAGTACGTGTTGACTCTATGGACGCGCTTGATACGCTGGCGGCTGTTGAGGAGTATCGTGTATGGGGTGATGACAGTTGCGACGAAAAGGGGGAGGCGAGAGAGATGGTGGAGAGGAGTCAGGATGAGACCGAAATCGACGGTCACAACGACATTCTACTGGACATGGTCAACCACAGAGAGCTCGTTACAAAATCATTGCTTAACGAGAAAGGAGAGAGCTGCAGCACTTCTGTCATCGAGGCCACCATATGGAAAGAGCTAAGCAAGGACTGCCTCACTGTCACACCTTCAAACCACCCCGAGCAAACAAAACACCACCACCACCACCACCAACAACAACAACAACAACAACAACAACAACAACAACAACAACAACAACAACGACGAACCCTTCCCACCTCCTACATCAGCAGCTTTCTCACCACGAGCCTCCTATACATCACCATTCTAACTGCCGGAACCGTCATTAAAAGCTCCATGAGCGCACCCACCCCTCGTGACACTCGAGCAACCAAGTTGGACTGAAAAAAATCGCGTGAACCTTTCACCTGCAGCGATCCTGTGCATTTTTGGCAACGGCGTTTTATACCCCCTTTTGCTAATTTTTGATCTTATGGTTTCGGTTTTCGATTTTCGGATTTCATGTGCATTCTACTGTACAAGCACACATTGCAAGTCAACCGGCCGCCACACGCATGTTGGGAGGACTTGAACATAATACACATGCTTTTTTATATCAAGAAAAGCGACAGTAGATTTAACATTGAATTGTAATTAACTCATAGCGAGCTTTCCCTCGATACATAAAAAAAGTGAAAAAAAAGAAAAGGATAAAAAGGTATAAAAACATCTGAATCTAAAATGAGTGATTTGGATATTCTCTAGAAACAGACATGGAAGAACAGAGAAAAGAGATAAAGAGAGAGAGAGAGAGAATGTAGCCGTAGTGGTCTTAGTATCCCGCTTCCCTTGATTCTGATTCCCCAAACACATCAAAATAAATTAAGCTTTCCAAGCGGCGGCGGTGGCGGCGGCGCCCAAGACCCACTCCATCCATCCATCCAAGCAAGCAACATGCAGCAACAAAAACATCGCTCTAGCCTAATAGCAGAAGGAAAAGGAAAGGAAAGGTCAAACGAACTCTCCTTCGGCATTCTTACACATGAACCGCAATCTTAGACGTGACATACTGCCTAACGTTGCCAATGAAGAAGCTCAGAATGACGGTAGCACCACCAAACGCAATCGAGACATAAAATGGCAACTTGTACGACTTGGCCCAGGCCTCACGCGAGGCAGCAATGATGATTGGGTAAGCGTCTCGCTGGAGGACTGAGGGGTCCGTAGCCAGAATCCTCTTTACCTCGGCGAATTGGCTGTTGGCGATGTTGACGACGATATTCCTGATGGCCGCGCGACCGGCGGGGATGAGCGGGTTGACAATGGCCTGGAGGGCGATTGTGTTTTGGGCCATGGCGCCCAGGTACTTTGTTGCTTCGCGGGTCATGAGGTTGATGTAGACGGAGTAGCCGACTGCGCCGCCGATGTAGCGGATGCTGAGGGTGAGGGCGGTGACGGTGGCGATGTATTCGTCTGGGGCGGCGATTTGGGCAATGACGGTCGAGGGGATGATGACGGCGCCGATGGCGGTGCAGGCGATGGAGGCGATGGCTACGATGACGCCGACGTTGTGTGGGGTGTTGAGGGAGAGGAGGGCGGTCGCGGCGGTTGCGATGGAGGTGACGAAGATCATGATTTCGCGGAAGCGGTAGCCGGTGAGGGGGATCAGGAGTAGGCCTAAGAAGGCGCCGCCCATGATGCCGAAGCCGATGGGGAGGGAGCGGAGGCCGTTTTCTGTTGGGTCATCGCCTGTGGTTTGTGTTAGCGCCAGATACAACTAGCTGCGGGTTGCGGGTGTCGTTTGCTTACCGTAGACGTTGAGGACTTGGGATGGGTAGATGAGGATCAAGGCGAAGAAAGTGCCACCGCTTATGAAGATGAGGATCATGATGACAATCATGGTTCTCTTGTCTTTGGCAAACATTCCTCGTGGAACCATGGGATGGTCGGCGCGGATCTCCCATACGACAAAGGCGGCTATGAGAACGATTCCAAGGATAAAAGGCACGAGGTTGTGAACGCTGCCCCAGTTATACTAGAAAGGTGTTAGCATCATGTCATGTGCCAAAAACTTCGTTGGACGAACCTGCACTGATCCCCATTGAAGCCCCATCATGAAGAGGGTGATACCGCTGGTACTCAGGAAACCACCGACAAGATCAAGTTTCCCGATGACATCGCGAGCAGTGTAATTTTCTGTAAGGCGAGACGGACTCCTGTAAAAGAAGACGCACAGAAGCAGCCCGACGAAGTTCCACACGCCAACGAAGATGCCGTTGTAGCGCCAGCCGGCCCCATGCTCGGCAATGCTTTGGGACCACAAGACGGCCGGGCAGAAGGGAATAATGGTAATAACGACATAGCCAATATACTTGGCGCGATCCTTGACAGGAACGACTTCTGCTGTACCAGAGAGTGAGACCATCTCGTTGAGACCTGCACCAATGCCTGAGAAGACCTGGCCACCTGGAGTTTGTCAGCGAAAGCCGTTGGAGCATGTGAATGCGCTACTCACCAATGGCGATGTTCATGTTCGAGGCAGTGGATGTAACAATGGCACCGATAACCAATGCCAATTGTCCTGCAATAGCAACTCTTTGTCTTCCAAAGAGGTCGGACAGCGCACCAACAAAAGGCAAGAGCGCAGCAAGCGGAATGAGATAGGCGATCATGAACCATGAGTATCGATCCGTTCCTCCGATGTCTCTGGTAATGAACGAGATGATGGAGCCAAAGATGAGGAGGGGAACCTGTGATCCAACCCAGAGGAACGTCATGCACACCAAAGTCATGAAGAGCCTGAAGTTCATCTGCAACTCTTTGTCAACACCTCATGTCCGCACGACCGGATCCGTCAGACTGACCTTTTCGTGGACGACTGCACCATTATCGCCGTCGCTGCCGACCTGCGACAGTTGAGGTTTGTCTTGTTCATGAACAGGCGTCTGTGAGGTCACCATCTCGAGCGCATTGCCATCGTGCTTCTCATACTCCTGAGAGCGGCCGCTCGATGCAGTTCTTTCGTCCATTTTGTTGAAGGTGTGGGGCCGAGAGAATATCTTGCCACGGCAAAGAGAGGAGGCGTAGGGTAGTTCAAGTAGTCTCAGCTGTCCCCCAAACCTAGACCCTAGTGAGCTGAGGTGTTACCCAAGCGTCGCACTAGCTCCTATGTCATGGCGAAGTTTGTCGCGTGGAAGCCTCTTGAATCGAAGGGCCAATATCACATGTAATACCACCGCAAAGCAGGGGAATGGGCGGGGGGTGCACAGTGGAACAAACAAGGACTCAAGGGCCCCTCAATCCCCCAAAACGCCGAAATCGACCTTGGTATTGCCCGTTCGGCGCCTTCAAGGTCATAGCGGAGTGGATGGCGGGATGCTGGTTGCGGAAACCTTGCACCCCTACCACACTTGCCCCGCTAGCGTCAGGGTCATAAACCTTATTTGCTGAGCCAAAGCCAGATTCCAACTTGTTTAATTTGTTCATTTCTGCCATTACCCTGCGACTCGATGCTCACTGATCCAGACCACGAATGCTTGAATTTTTTTGTTCGTAAAGTCGTTCTTTACAGCCCTGCGCTTACTTGTACGGATGAAGGGAAGCAGGTATAGCAGCATCTCACTTGAGCCGTGTGAAAGAAAACGGGCCGACGCTCTCTGAACAAAGAAGGCTAGGAAGGAAAGGGATGCTATTGCGATTTGGGAATGAGCTGGGTGAGGATCTTGTTGCAGACATGCATGAGGCGCAATCTGCCGGGGGCTGCAGATCATCTCCACAAAGTGTACGCAGTACATACACACTTTTGAGCCACACCGTTTGGTTAACATGAGGCAAAAACGTCCTCGAAAGACCTCACGTAAGTGTGTACATAGAGTTTTACATACCGGACCGTTGGTAACAAACATTTGGGCCACAACAATTGGCGCACATTTGGATGCGACGTTGTTTATTGCTGCTCTAATTATGTCTGGTCATGAAGATACATGGTCTTGATGGAGCCATGGAGCATTCGAATACCGTCGAGAATCCCTCCAAGACCGTGTTCCTTTGTTAAGGGGAGATCGGTGATGGCATCCCGAAGTAGATTTGTATGAGAAGTTTAGCTGGTTGGATTCGTCGTAGCGTTTCCCCTTCAACACGGCTAGATCGACGGTCCGGTCACAGCCGGATTTCCCGGAGTGGCAAGTTGAGGCAACGCACAGAAAGACCTATACTGTGCTGTGTACTGCGCACATAGCCGTAAGTAAGTTCATACGCGCGTATGTACAACTAGCTGTACGGTAGGTGGCAATTGTCTCATGCATTCAAGAACATGTGAGATGGACGTGAGGCCACTAAGACTAGGTGGTTTGTTTGCGGTCCATCGTTTTCACGTCTGCAGCAAGATATGGTGAGAGCAATGGAATGTGCTGTGACAATCTCAATGTAACGCCACAATTGTGAACAACGGCAATCGAAGCCGACGTAAGCCTCGCCGGAACATGTACTTACTACGCACCACGTATGTAAGCAATCCGGAGCTTAGAGAATCAGGTCGAAGGTGTACCAGATCCAGCAGTTGAAAAATGGATGGTCTGGCGTTGAGACTGAATCGCAGCCTGGCCCATTGTGGCTATGGGTTTCTGATGCATGCAGACAACCAAGATATCCGAGTATCGCATTCCAATCAATAGATGACTTTTTCCTATAATTCCTACTGGTCAGATGACGAAGACAACGTACACCGTAGAGCTGTAGATGCTGCAGACATATGGTTGCCAGGTGCATATACTACGTAGTAGTAAAGGATCAGCACGGCATTTCCCGCCATCATCGGGCTGGTACTACCGTCGAAGCTTACATGGGTTGATGCGCATTTAAAAGGCCCTAATATACTTGGTCTAAGTAATACGACTTCCGGCTTACGGCTTACGGCTTACGCGCCCAGACATTTAACTGCCGATTTACAGTCAAGGGTGAGCGTCAGACGCGTCTGGCATGATAGCAGCAGGTCAATCGATGCCCAAAGCGAAGCCTTGAACGCTTTGAACATGGCTTCTCTTCAACTTTGTGATGGGCGTGCTTGGTTTTGGGCTAAGAGTGATGTAGGCTCAATCCATATAGGTCAAGTTGGAGTCGCAGTGTATCTGCATCCGGCATACGAGCCAAAGTTGCCGTGTGCTGGTTCGGAACACTAGGAAATGCGGAACGTGACGGGAAGGTACGAAGCTTGGAGGGTAAGAGTATCAGGATGGCCAAAAATTGGACGAGGCCGTCTCCATAGTTCACCAAGAGCGGATCGAGACTAGTGTCTTGGCATATGTCCGAAGGCGTGGATCATTCATCAAACTGAACCTAAATACTCATATCATCTCTTTACGCGTCCGAAAAACCACATCGGCCATCCTTGACTTTGTAGACGCTTCTCAATTATGTACATCGTACAGGCTCCGCATCATTCTACGATTTGCGGAACGACGACAGGGTCTCTGGTGGGGCTCAATGCTCGATCTCATGGAACCAGGCTTACCGGCTATTGCCCCGTTCATGCCGTACCAAGGCTCTCTTGCGATCATGGCATCGGCACATCATTTGTAACTCAATATGACGACAATTCCACACTACTCAACCGCCAGCGGCCGTTGTTTGTTCATCGTACATCATCGTTATGGTGACATCCTCTCCCATGTCCAAAAGCCTTTCAACCTTGATGTTATCCTTTTCTTCTCCGGAAATGCGAGCGAATTCTTACTGGTGGATATAACTATAGAGCAGATTATTACTCCGATAGGGCTAGAAATAGGCTGTCCATCTTACTCAGCAACCACATTGGTCTAGCCAATTCCAGCGAATCTTCTGACAGCAAGTCCATCATCTGGTACATACGGATCAGCCCGATGAGATTTTTGAAATTGCCGGATTTAATCCCAGCTAGATGCCGTCACCTCAAACGCGGGCCGCTCAGATAAGCCTCCTGATTTATTCGTCCGTACTTGCGCATTCTGCTCGAGCATTGTCTCATCAATACAACATGGCGCAAGCAGACCGCTTGGTCAAGCTTGCTGTGGCGTGGCATGCGATTTGTCCTTGTTGTATTCAAATGGTGACTGTGTCAAGAACCCGGCACGTTGAGCTGACTTCGGGGTAGCTCAAACAACACTGGCACATGTATCGAACGCATTTTCAATGAGTCTTGTAATATCTTTATGATCGTTACTTCTAGAAGTAAACGAACCCTTTTTCTACTCCGACTTTTCAGACGAGGATTTTGGGGGCGGTGAGAGATAGAAGTTCCGATGAGCGTGATTGAGCTTCACCTCCTACCAGACTGAATATACGCTGCAGCACGCATGACCAACTGCCTAAACCTAAAAACTTGGCGGTCCTATTTGAATCAGAGTCGGCTATCGGTTTATCTTTTTTGCTTGCCCCTCAGCGGTCAAACAGAACAGCATGGCCTGCTCCCGATATCGACCGTTGGGAAAACTTTAATCTGTCTGAATTGACGTAATCGGCGACTACAGTGATATATGCCTACTTGGACACTGCGAGAAAGTTTTATGTATTGCCCGACTGAATAAGCTGTGGATCACAATGCAAATCTCGAGGTTTCTTTCTGAGAATCAGAACAGTTTGTATCAGGAAAACATTGGTCGCTCTGTGCCACAGTGGAATGCTGAAGGCAGGATATCTGCCAAGCTAATCGCGACGAATATGAAAGTTACCTCTGAAACAAGGCGGTTTGAATGTCACTGTGACTCACTCGTATCTTTTATGGATTGACTCGCAAAGCTAACATTGCATACCTGAAGGGGACTGGCAAGCAAACCATAAACCCAGTCGTAAGTACTGCCTGCTGATTCCGAACTTTAAGTTGACTTAGTCTCATTGTTCTTGCACATTAGCTTCCTTTTCAGTAGACGCGAAGCGGTCTAGTGAAACTTACAGTCCATCTACGGACAAGAGTCGCGTCTATAGTCGAGGTATCGTATATAGCAGACAGTAGCCAGGACGTTTCCTCCAAGCCGTAGCAGAGTTGGTTTAAATGGACCACTGAGCAAGAGGTATGGATTTCATCGGCCATCTACGGGCATCTTTACATTCATTCTTGAATCTAGCTTTGCTTACTCACATGTATCCGCCAAACCTAGTGCCTCTTCCGTCAATAGTAATTGGTTACAAGTCATTTGACCTCCATATAGAACGAATTACTGAAAGTGCTTTGGTAACTTCCTATTCTCCAGTGTGTGGTAATTCACTATCAAGGGGTCGGAGATTCTTCTAGAACTTTCCAAGGAGCAGATAAGGCTAAATGCATCTTTGATGATATGCAAATTTGAGACGATTGAAAATTTTGCGGACATCTGGCTTTTCAAGTGGAATATTCAGTATCAGAATCCTCGCAAGATGCGTACTCAATATGCTTGCTCTAGTGTCTAACATCCAATCTATTTGCTAGACAGAAATGGTTGCTCACGTGATATCGCTCTCTCCAAGAAAGCACAAGGAGTCTCTGAAAGCCGTACATCGGCACAATTCTAACGCCAAGCATCCTGAGAGTACAAAAAATCAAGTTTTACCATTAAGTGAAATTCAGTTTGATCATTGTGTATCACGAGCCCTCACCGCCCCACTTTGTCGTTCCAATCATCATGATGCCATATCTTGACCCTTATCAGTCACCTTATCTCACGAGACTACACCGCTATCATCAAAAGCACTCTTTATCTAGAGCATTGACTTCATCCAACGCTTCAAACAACAGGACGCGATATCCGCACTCAGCTGTTCAATTCTCACCTCCCATGGATCACCAACACTATCAACCAATCTGGCCGCTGGTTGAGGGCACATATGACTACACAATGAACCTGGCCGCCGAGCTTTGGACTATGATATGGCCTGCGGGTGAAGCCCACCAAGAAAATGCCAAGAGAGAAGTCGCCTCGAATGCCACAAAGAAAGAGAAGATTGCAGCTCGTCCAGATACAGCAAGTACCGCTGGTGTAAACAATGGTGGTACAAAGACCTGAGAACACTTCGCGAGTCAGACAAAAGCCCGCGCATTACCTGGAGACAAGCAAAAAGAAATTACCGGTATGGCATCACATTCAAAGTCGCCGGATGTGAACTGACGAGACAGTGGGGTATGTCGCACCGGTTTGGACAAGATTATCTACACAAAATATACCGAACATTGATTCCTACGAAGAGCGGGGTATGTTTTTACATAGCAGATGACGACTCATAGTCCATGTACTGACTAGTAGCAAGCAGCGCATCAGTCAAGTGTCCCCCGAACCTAGGACAGCCAGGCAAGTATCATGCGGTTGCAGCGACGACACAGAATGTACGGTATCGGGATTTGGGAATTGTCGGGGAATGAGAAGCAGAGCGTCCAAGTGCCACGGGAAGGGCATACGGGGTCTCATTGATGCTGCAATGGGAAGGCACATGGGTTAGGGGTCGGGTTTGTATGCAAGAGTCAAACATCGGATTTAGTTAAATACCTTTTCAGCAGCCTTGATCAGTGAGTCTACAATTCATTCGAGGGTTAACAAGTTGCTTTACCGAAATTCAATCTGATATAATCGGCGAATGTTTACGCTATGCTTCATTTTTCCATATGTCGCAGCGAAAGCGAAAGAGGCAAATACTATGATTTTGAGTCAACCGCAAGTATATCCTCTTTACCCTATTTATCTAACCACAACTGCGTGGGCGGTCGCCAATCACTCACTTACCCTCTCATCACCTTCACACCAAGTCCTAGACAAAATCTATATAGCAATCACCAGCGTGCTCATCAAGAAAACACGGTAAAGTCAACAAACCCGGCCAATCTACATGTAAGCCTCGACAACGTAAGTCCCAAGTGAGAGCAAAAGAACCTAAATGAGACGCTACCTAAATCATTGTTCATGTAACCTTAACTTTGTTCTTGAAACAGAAAGTCTTTTCGTTTCTTAAGCTTATCTTTTCTTCGATCGTAGCACGTGTGACATCAATGCTTATGGAATGGGATTGTAATGGCCCAGTGCCCTGGGAGAAGGCGATTGGGTTGAGTATTACTCACGATGAAATCTGTACTTTTTTTTCCCCCAAGAAGCTAGGAAGGGAGGTGTTGGAGAGGTTGCCTGAGAGATTTTGGATTCAAAGGAGAGATATGCTGGGGAAGAGGTCAAGAAGCATTGCTGGCAGATGTAAGTATTCGAATTAACGATGTGGTTGGAAATTGTATCGCATTTGTGGAGTAGTTGGTACATGTGGGGCCTTTGCTTGTTGAAGACACATTGTGGTGTACAGAGTGAGTAGGACATGGAGTCGTTCGCTGGATGCACAAGGCGTCAGGTGGGGCAGTCCCGAGTTTATCTCTTGACATGGCTTAGCTTTTCTTGGGTTGATTGGGCATTTTGCGATCTGTTTCAGCAAGATCCTTGTATTTGCGGGGGGTTTGATCGGTGTAAAGGGGCTTGGGCGTGATGGTATTTGTAAATGCCCCGAGTCACTTGCTTGGAAATCCCATGGGACTTGTGAAACAAGTAGCGCTCTATTTTGAAGACGGGTAGGTAAGGATGTGACTTTAGTAACGTTGAAGTTTATTTTTGATTCTTTGATGTGGTACCCAAAGGGCCGAAGAAGAAAGTGTCTTCTGATGCTGATGATGCATGTACGGTATTGAATAGTTTGGCAGTGATACAAAATAAGAACACAGACGTGACATTGCAAGAAGTCCGAGTATTCCGATATATTCTCGTCTACTCTCATCAGATATAGTATACAATTACTAAGAATAGGATCAATCGTAGTGTCCAGAGAGTTTCGGATGCAAACTCCAGGATCCCGATCGTCGTCGGCAGTTACTACATAGTTCTTGTACGCGCGTTGATGTATTTAAACGCTCTGGAAATGAGGCTCACCATGACTAGAGCATGTGCTTGGTATTGGATTTTCATTTACAGCACTAAATGGAACAGGGCCATTGATTGCGCTTGCGCCTAAAGCTTATAGACAGTAAACGGTGGGGCAGCCCCCTCGCACACAACTTAGCCTTAGAGCACGCTGGAACCTTTGTAGACAACAAGCCAACATGTATTCTCCACTTTACAAGTTGCGAACCCTATTTCTATAGCGAGTAATATCCACTTTTATAGCGAATGCAGGGTCCACATTTGCAACGCTACCCGAATCCGTGGGTTTGGATTACAAAGGGCAATGCTCACGTCGCCTCATCTTCGCCATATCACTCCAACATTGAAATCATGTCACTGATCATCATCATTGGACTCTGAAAGATCGCCCCCGATGATCATCGTGTTAGTCCAGGCGGAACTAATTTCGGTCCCGGATCCGTCCCCATCCGGCCCCCCTGGAACCCAGCCCATGGCACATTGTCGCGACAACGGTCCGAGATTTAGCGAGCGAGCACGCAGCTAACGCAAATATAATAAGCAATATCGCTGTTCAGAGAATGCTAGGTATGATTTATCAGCTCAAGATGTCTGGAAACTAGTGTTTGGTATACGCTTCACTAGCTTACCAAGTTCAGCGGGCTAATGTTACGTCAACGCATGTACGAGAATACGAACACAAACCACAGCAAACTTTGCTTACACCACAACAGGTGATGCACTAAGGGTGCTTTTATTAAAGTATGACACGATTTTTCGAACAAGTCGTCCGATTTTGCCTCCATTCAAGAGCATCGTAACAGATATACCGAGGCCGTTAAGGAGTGTGACATTCTCGCGTTCATGGAAAGCAAGTCGAGACAGGGCCTGAACCAATCAGGAATTCGGAGCCGAGTGAAGAGGTTCTGGTGTGGCTTATGGCTACCACCCGCAACCCAAAATGGATACTGAGGCGAAGGCATACATATATTTCGCGGAGCCGCACGCTCAATCCAATCGTAGTGGAAGGAAATTCTTGTCCCCATGCTTGTCCCTACTACCTGGAGACGTTTGCTACATTCCTGCGATTGGCACTGTCTTCGTATCAGCGGAGATATAGCCGAACATGTAAAGTTCCCACTTGACGGCTTTGATAGATGGGCCTGCGTTACGTCAAATCACTTACACACATCGGCCCACTTCCAGGACGCGGACTGCCTTGGCCAGCGGAGATTTTATGGCGACATTTCGACCCTTACGTGGTTCACCTTGGCCACAAACAAAGCCATGCTGCAGTGAGTGGTGTTTGCTCTCATGGTGACTGCTTGTGCACGTGCCACATGTGACTTCCTGTTTGAAACCCGCGCCTTGAGTGTCTCGCTGCCATTTTCTTCCGCCGTATTTCCTCTTTGATTGTCCATCTCCTTGTAATTCTTTTCTTCAAAAGCCCATCGCGGGGCCCGTCCATTGCGGTGGTGCAGCTTTTCGGGCGAGTCCGTGGCCACAGCAGCAACCTCACGCCTATTCGAATACCGGCACACTTTCCCACTAATTTCTTTGCCAAAGCGCGTCAACAAAATCTTCCAAAATGACAAATTCCAAGCAGGCTGCGCAACCTCGCATGTGGAAGAAGCCTCTAGCTGTCTCAAACGCGACCAGCCCGCTCGCAGTGGCACTGACCTTATATCCGGTACTAGAGGTAGGTTCCACCCTGTTACTAATTTTGGCGCTTAACAATTAATAAACAACAGACACTTGTTTCGTACCTTCCGCCATATGACTTGGTCACAGTCACTCAGGTCTGCCAAACGCTTCACAACAACATCCAGATATATGATGCGAGGGTAAAGGCCAATTTACTTTCCAAGACCTTGTGTGCTGGGCTGGGCTCCTATTTGCGGACATTGTTTCATTGTGCGTGCACAGCAAAGAGTTTTCGCCTAGTTATCGGCTGTGCCGGCGATGGGTTTCGAACTGAATCGCGCCCGTGTGTGGAGTGCGGAATCAACACATGCGACGAATGCCGGATACATGTCTTCTACAACCATCTCGTCGAGGACTCTGGGTACGACCAACGTCGCTGGTGGGCAGGTTTCTTCTTCCTGAATACTGCGTCAATTTCCGTCTTTCCACCAAAGCATGGCGATGTGTCCGCCTGGTACCGTCCTATCGAAAAAATGGAGCCTCTCCACGATCGCGGCCGTTTCCACATTCCACTCCACATTCCTGCCATTGGCGATCCAGAGCCCATAGAACGCCTCCTGGATATCAACCTGGGTGAGCACCAGATTATCAGCCCTCTCGGTCGTACTGAACCTCCATATAGCGGCAACGAGATTGTGTCGTTCCTCAACATGATCATCACCCTGCGAAAAGAGCTTGTGTGCTTGGCATGTTTCAAGGAACGGCAGAAGAGAGGCTCATTCCGGTGCTCTTGCACACTACGTAAGCGCTTCCTGGATCGTTGGCTGTGCGTGGGTTGCTATGTGAAAGAAGATCATGCGGACAAAGCCATGTCCAGCCATATTGTTGTCCAAGACGACGGCGGAGGAGGCCACCGTCACCTCTGTGCCTGTGGGGCGAGCTTCGGAGCGGGTCCACAGCCAAAAATTCTTTGTAACTGGTGCAAGGGAGAGGTTGCAGGGGATTGGGTTGACGCCGACGAGATGGAGGACCGAGACGCCGAAGAGCCCGATGAAGACGAGCAACAAGACGAGGAGCATTCAGCTGCTGACTTTGCGCATATGGAGCCGGGTGAGCTTGGTTTTGCCAAAAATCGCGACGAGTCGTTATCAGTCTATGTAGACGGCACTTGCATTCGTGGAGAGCGTTTGGGGCGAGGCATCGTGCGCAAATGGAGGTTAGACGAAGGTCTGCCGGACGAATGCATTTGTTGTCTGTGCGAAGACGGCGATGCCAACCACAACCACAACCACGATGGAAACGACGGTGAGGCGAATGATGACGGAGACGAGTCTGAGACAGACGAGAACAGTACCATGGCCATCGATGACGGTGAGAGTAACTGAGGTTATGCTGATGTGGGAAAGACGCCTCCGAAGTGATAGTATTGGGGTTATAGGAGTAGTTCACAAGCCCGTGCGTTACTACTGATCAGGGGGTCAAAAGCAAAAGGCTATGTATGGATGTCGATGTACTCGAAGCTCGCTAACACGGCCAGCGAACACATAGCTACCCAAACGTCCTAGGGCAAGAAACATCTCCAGTGAATAGAAAGACAGGGAGCCGGTGATGGCGAGTAGCGCCTCCCCGCAGTGTGCACGACCTCATCCCCATCCCCGATGTGGGCCCATACTACGTATAGGATGCGAGTCGGGAAGCTTGGCACTGACAGCGACGCCTCGCCTCACCGGAGGCTCACCACCACCATGCTGAGGTACCATGCACGTTCCTGTCCAATCGACACTCGGACCATCCTATCGCCCGTCTATCACACCGACTTCCTATCGTAAAGTTGAGTTCTGGAAATGTGAATGTAGATCCATAGAGAAGTGCAGCGTGAGGACGCAGTGCATACGCAAACGCCAAAGCAAGCACTGGTATCGAAAGCCAAAAATGCATCACCTGCACCCATCTCTTACCAGGGCTGTGAATATATCGGTGACTTCGCGCTATTGCCTTTGAACTATGCGTTCAACTTACGTAGGAGATAGACAATCTCGACACTGAGTCGCCGTGTCTTATGGTGCGTCGATGCCGCCAAGGCCTCTCGCCCGGCCTCTCGGCTCGTCGGCCAAATGCTCAAGGTACAAACGCATGAGAGTGGATAAGATTTTGCGTAAAGAGCGTGCAGATAGCTGTATGACACGCCAGTATCGGTAACCTCATAATCTGCACAGTTTCCCCATGTTGTTCATAGCCATTGCATCACTCCTGGGATCCTACAGAGCACATGTATATGCTCTAGCCCGACGCTACTTCCTCAAGAACAACTACTATTACGTCCCTTATACGTGCTTGCGCAAGCAGAATATCCTTTTTTTCAATAACTCCCGTCTCTTCTGAGCGCTTCAGTACATTCTCAAGATCTGAACGATGAAACTGTTACCAACCTTTTCCGAGGACCGTAGCACACATACGGAAACATTCAAGAATATCGCCTCCGAAGCTATTGGAGAAACATACATTGAAGAAGATCCATCAGTGGCAGAATGGTTTCGCGAGTTTGTTCCTACATCACATGGCGTGGCTGAGTATTTTCGTCAAGTATTTCCGAGTGCGCGCTGGATCAGAAGGTACAACCTACATTGGCTAGCTGGCGATGCCATTGCTGGAATCACTGTGGGTCTTGTCGTCGTTCCCCAGGGAGTAGCATATGCATTGCTTGCTCGCTTATCACCTGCGTTTGGTCTCTACACTACCTTTACAGGTGCATGTCTATACTGGATATTCGGCACTTCAAGAGACATTGTCATAGGCGTGAGTCAAATTCTCCATCTCAGCATTTCAGTATCTGACCCAAGTGTAGACTACTGCCGTTGGCTCACTCCTAATTGGTAGTGCTGTTAGCAAGGTTGAGACCTCGCATCCGGGAAAGTACAAGCCGGAGGAAGTGGCCCATGCCATAAGCTTCTTAGCTGGTGCCATCTTGCTCGCCTTTGGTTTTCTCCGTCTTGGCTTCATCATTGAATTCATACCTTACATACCTATCTCGGCCTTTATCACATCAGCAAGCATCACTATCATCTCAACTCAGCTGCCGACATTGATGGGCGTGAAGGGCATAAACACGCGCGAGTCTCCATACAAGGTGTACGTCAACTTTTTAAAGAGTTTACCTCGCGCACAACTCGATGCAGCTATCGGCATTACATCTATCATCCTCTTGTATCTCATCAAGAACACTTGCGCTAAGATGGAGGTACGACAGCCACGGAGAAAGAAGATGTGGTCCCTTATATCCTCTTTGCGTCTTGCCTTTACCGTACTGCTCTACACCCTTGTCAGCTGGCTGGTCAACCGAAGAACGCCTACAGGAAAAGAAAAGTTTCGTATTGTCGGCCGCATCGAGAAAGGCTTTAGTCATGCTGGCGTACCGCCAATGAATGGCGAACTTTTCGGGATTGTTGCCTCTGAACTGCCTGCTATGATCATCATCCTCATTGTCGAACACATCGCTATTGCGAAGAGCTTTGGTCGCCAGCACAACTACACCGTCATCCCCTCCCAAGAGATGATTGCACAAGGCGCCGCCAATCTTCTTAGTCCATTTGTCGGTGGCTATGTTTGTACTGGGTCATTTGGTGCTTCTGCTGTGTTGTCCAAAGCAGCAGTGCGAACACCACTCTCTGGAGTCTTCAGCGCATTAGTATTGGTACTAGCACTGTACGCGCTTACTGCAGTCTTCCACTACATCCCTAACGCAGCACTCGCCGGTATCATTATCCACTCTACAGTTGATTTGATCAAAGGCCCAAAGGACTTGCACAAATATTATCAACTATCCCCATTCGAACTCTTCATCTGGGTATGTGGTGTTGTCATCGCCTTCTTCACCAATCTCGAGACAGCCATCTATGTAACCGTCGGTCTTTCCTTCGCCATGCTTCTATTGCGCATGGCAAAGAGCCCAGGCAAGTTCCGCGGCTCAGTCGGAGTGACACGCATTGTGCAAGAAGATCTACCCTGCGATCGAGTATCTTCAGCGGAAACACTTGACGTCCCGGTGGTTAGTCACGTTGAACATGTTGAAGGAATGCGCCAGGTCTACATTCCCTACGACGTGAAAGACAACCACAATCCGAACATCACCATCGAACCCGCATACCCAGGTGTTTTCATCTACCGCTTCAGCGAGAACTTCAATTATATCAATCAGGCCTACCACATCGACTATCTGACCTCTTATATCAAGTCACACACCCGCCGAACGCAAACAGACGACGGCATTAGTGATCATGACCGCCTTTGGTGCGACGCTCCACCTACCGAGAGGCTCATACAAAAGTCTGCTTCACTGCCAGTTCTACGAGCGGTAGTCCTCGACTTTTCCACCGTCAACATCCTCGACATAACCAGCATCGACGGCTTGAAAGGCTTGCGCGATACTCTGGACCGGTATGCAGCACCTGGTTTGGTCGAGTGGCACTTCGCCGGCGTACACAACCGATGGACACGCAAAGCGCTTTCGTTTGCGGGCTTCGGGTTTCCTGCAACCACAAACGTCAACAGCATGAGTAACTGGTGTCCTGCCTATACGGTCACTACAAGTCTGGCTGGTGCGACAGATGAAGAGCGCAAAGAGATGGAGATTGTGCAGAGGAGCGCTAGTGTCCGAGATGAAGAGTCGTGCAAAGAAGTCGTTGAGTCAAGTGAGACACAGATCCATATAAGCAGCTCAGGTAAGAAGAAGCGCTTCGAGCCCATGTACGGTGTTGATAGACCGTTTTTTCATCTTGACCTTCACGACGCCGTTGACGCAGCAGTGAGGGATGCGAAGAAGGCTGATATGCGGGAGGCACGGACAATCTGCTCCCTCAGTGATCGGTCCGCGACTCCTCAAGTAGGTGAAGTGGTGTAGATCACTCATTTTTCTTTTTTTTGTATTCTTTCACTCATGTCATATGCTTCAATAGCTTAGAAATTAGCGGTGGCGTCTGGCATCAATAGGCGTTTTGGTGTTTTTAGTGATAGATTTTTCGCGTCAGTGAGGATTCGTGGAGTACGGAACTCATGCTGGTATGCACTTAGACTCGGCTCTTAAAAAATGATTAATGATGAAAGTAATTTGTTTTTGACTGTTCGCATTGATCTCACTCTGGAGGGGTGTGCGGCACATGATATAGCTTGCTGCCTCAGACTCGATATTGAAGTGAGTGGCTGACCAATCGCGTATCGGGAGCAGTGAGTTACGGATTTGGTACATCTTCAGGATATCGACCAACAACAAAGGACTCTCTGCGCAGTCATTCAAAACTCATACAGAAAACCTAATATAGCTTTCAATGGTACGTAGTTTAAAGACTGTGTTGGTTGTGAGATCGCACATACAGTCCAGTCCCTGTGAAGATAGACTCACCCTCCTGAGCTCACGTGCATGCTTTCTCCAAGTATTTTGATTAACTGTCAAACAGTATATTAGAGTCATACCTAGCTGCCTTCGCTTTGAAATGACGTCAAACGGGTTGGTCTTTGCCGTGATAAGAGATTGCAAACGCGTAGCTATGACTACGCCACGCCACATGCGTGATATTCTGGCGAAAGCAGATACTTACTAAAGTACGGGACAAATATCTACAGTTCGAAGGACATCTGTTCGAATTCCTGGTATGGGTATTCGGCTACTTGAAAAAATGAAGCTTGTATTTCATAGCTCTCGGCTGCAATTATAGAGTGTCCATCTCGCATTCACCACTGTAGGGTTTTAGCGTAGCGTCCTTCGCTTTCACTGCATGGTAAGCAAGTCCGTTTGCAGTCTGTTGTCCTCGCTAAGATCCCCCACACAGTATATATAGAGGTGTTTACACTCTCATTTATACCTTTTCCTCTCCAACACCATCCATCGACCTCTCGCCGCTCGACCTCTCGAGCCTCATTGCAAGGAGCAATGGATGACAAATTGCTGACAGCGATCAGGGAGGGCACTCTAAGCGATAACGAGGCCAAAGGACAACTACTCAAACGCAGATACGCCATCGCAATCGGCAAAGACCTCCCGGCTGACCTTCAAGCCCGAGCCCTTCAAGTATGTGACAAAGCCTTCAAGTCCGGCGTCTTCGAAGCGACCAGCAAGACGCCGCCCTTTGTCACATTCCTTCGCGATGCATTGGAAACAATTGCACTCGTGTATAAGGAAAAGGATGCTCGGCCCACGCCACCACTTCAGACAAAGACAAGCACTCCAGCCGATGCGACGGAGCCCACGCTTGAGCCATCACCAAGTTCCGAGTCTGATCTCGAGCGTCGGCCTGCTGCCTCTGCAAGGGGCCGACGCTCGAGATCAGTGACTTTGGAACGGTCAATGGTCGCGGACGCAGTCGAAGCGAGGCAGCTTCGGAAGCGCCGCGCGCATTTGAACACCGATACACATGGGAGAGATTCGAAGCGTCATTTTCACGGACCCCCCGAGAATGTTCCTGAGACGAAGGAACCAACAGACGCTTCACCCTCCTTGATTGTCAAATTGCGTGTTCCAATTATAGGTGATAGCAACAAGTTGTTAGGCGTATCTGTTCCCATCCCCCGACGATCTTCTTGAACTGTTCAAGGCTAACATACTCAAGACTCGCAGCAGATCCAACAGATCACTTACGACCAGTATAGAGTTACCTTCTACAGACACTCCATCTACCATGGGTTATACAATCGAACAACCAACTCGCAACGCGAAGAGAGTCCATTTCTCAGACGGCTACACTGCCGGCAGTGCCACACCAGTCGACGACTTCTTGTTCAAGAGGGCCAATTGCTCGAACACGTCCAATGCACAGGAGCCATGTGGTACGCAAGCCAGTGTCACCCAATCCAAATCACTCACCAAAGCTGGAGCACCAGGAGTACCTACGCCACCAGCACAAACAAGAGCACCGCGTCTACTCAAGAAGTCTGTGGAACAGGGTAGACGAGACAAGGAAGCAACAGATACAGCATCACTGCCTCCTGCCCCGCCTCCTCCACCACCACCATCGCCTCCACGCCGCGAATCCCAGTTTCTCAGTTCTAATCTTCCCGCTTCAGCAAAAGCAAGGCTTCGAATTCCCAAAGATCTGTTCGTCTCTCCCAACATTCCCGAGTCGATACGACAGTTAGAAAGACTACTTTCAAGCCGCAGTGACCTCGCCATCTCTTCCAACCTTCCTACGTCACTGCCATCGATAGAAGTGCCACCTCCACCCCCAGGAGCCGCATTTCCCAACCGCAGATTTCCTCAGTTGCCAAACCAAGCAGGGGCACCAGGTGTAGCCAACTCTGTGGAAGGAGAAGCCAGGGAGTACATTACACTAGCACCTTTCCGCCCAGAAGCAGCATCATCGTCTCACAACCTTCCCCCGCTGTCAGCCACTGTAGGAGATCTACTTCCACGCCGCCATGTCTCCAATACCAGGCCCAATCTTCCCAAGTTGCCAACGCCAGAACGAGCATCAAGTGTGGCCAGTCAATCAGCAGGGCCCGTAACAAGAAGTCGAGCACTACGTGCAGCCAGTGAACCCGCCCCCATGCGAGGAGGACGAGGACGAGGACGAGGCAGAGGAAGGCCCAGAAAAATACCTTCTCCATCGCCTCTGCGCAACGAAACTATCTTTCCACTGCCAGCACAACCAATAGAGCCGCGTGTAAACATCAGTGTCCCCATCCCCAGCCTCAGTCTTCCTAAGCTTTCAGTACAAGCCAGAGCATCACGTATATTCGCTGAACTCTTCAACCGCGACTCGCATACGGAAGATGTCACATCGGCGCCAGACGAACGAAGAGACCCAGAGGGCGATATAGTCGAGCGACCTGTCACCGCAGACCAACCCCTTCCTTCCCCTCCAACAACCTCTTCTTTACCACCTCCCGCCACGCCGCCACCCCCGCCTCGAGACGCTCCCATCTACATCTCCTCGGGCTCATCTTCCTTCTCTTCCCCCCCTTCATCTCCCAACCCACCCCCACCAACCACAGCTCCTTCCGGTCCCACCATCTCCATCTCACCATCCTCTTCCTCCTCCTCTTCCCCATCGCCATCCCCCTCTCCCACAACACGCGCACTCGCCGCCTTCGCATCCACCCGCCATTCCTCTTCCCACATCCCATCATCCACCGTAGCACAACCAACCCTATCCTTTCCCCGCTTCCCCCGACTAACCCCACGCTCCCTCCCCCTCTTCCACACCGGCGCCGTAATCGCAGTCGAAAACATCCTCGAAGACTATGCTATCACGCCTGATTTCACCCTTCTCGATCTCGTCGATGACTTGCAGGAGAATCGCCCCAAGATATATGATTGGGAGCATGTTACGATTATGCGGGGCGGGAATTGGGTGTATGGGGTGCTGAGGAGGGTTTGCGCAGAGTGGGGTGAGGACGTGGGTGTTGAGGAGGTGGGTGGGCGGTTGATGGAGTGGGTTGAGGGGGAGTTTGAGAGGTTAGGAGGGGGTTAGGAAGTGATTGATCCTTTCTTTTTTTCAGTTTCGTTTTCCTTCGGGCTTGCGGGATGGATGAGGGAGAGGCCAGAGAGTTTTGCAAGGAAGGGGGGGGGATTCATGGTCTTGTTTCTTGTTTTATTTATCGTTTTGATGGGTCGGGGTAACGATGATTGCTACGTTTATCCGGTAGTCGTCGTGTCGTTAAGCATGAGCATTTTCTTATAAGGGAACAGACATATATGATGTATCGATGGTTTGTACGGTATTTGCCGGACGAGAGGGATTGACTCAAGCCAGCTGAGCTAAGTATAAGCACATGTAGAATATCAAAGTCTTCACTTTCACATTCTACATTCCGTCATCTTGTCGTGTATACATGTAGCAATAAGTAGTACAACATGTAGCTCGTCCTCACCAAGACCCTAGCCGCCTCTGAAACAACGCTGCATGTAATATGTGTCGTGATATTAGAGGTGTACCAAGACGTGTCAAAATCCACATGGTCCAGAAACGGTGCCTAAGACGTCCAGGACTGATCACATCCTCGAACCATTACGGCCGTTACCTTGGGTGCCACCGCTAGTATCCTCTTCGCCTCGTTCCGAGTCTGGGTCCGTACATGACTCCCCCTCCTGACTCGTGGTGGACACAAGCTTTTAGTGTCTCCAGACTTACCGAGGTTTTGGCGACGCTTCAAGCCCGATAAACAACGGTGCACGACTCGCGAAGCGACCTTATCTAAGCGAGGTTTCTTCCGGTCACTAGTGACACGTGCCGAAGAACCTCGGAAAGATGTCACAGGGAAAAAATTGAGTTCCCGAATCAATGAATATCTTTCCTAGAAGGTATCGGAGTTGCCCATTCTGAGCAGCTTCAACACGAATTGGCTAGGGGGATCTACAAAACCGACTGGTTAGGGACGATTTGCCAAGACGGATGTAAGTTCATCCACCCAGACCAAGATTGTGCAGATTCCACACGCCTACTCCTGGTAGACGTTGGTATCGCGCTTTTGTTCGTGTTCATAGCCCAGTGGGTCAGGTCTACATGCTCTTCGTAACGCGTAAAATGTGCATGTCGAGTTCATCAACGGTACTTTGTGTTGATTCAATAGTTATGCAGCTGCGGGGGCCGGAAGAGCTGGTGGCTCTGTTCTATCATCATCTCAATGTTCTTGGACTCGTTCATCTCAAAATCGTGCATCAGCTCCATCTGCTGTTGCTGATTCAGTCCCGTCCCTCTAGAGTCTTGGCTCCAGGCTGGGTTAAGATAATCCGCCATTTCGTAGCCCTGATTGGCCGCATACGATTCGTTGTAGAAAGGTGAGGCCATGGGCATGTTGTAGTTGTCTTGAGACGGCATGGTAAAAGTCGGGTTCCATTGGGGTAGCTCGGCAAAGGTTGTAGGTAGCGAATTGAATTGTGTGGTGGGTGGGTGAGTGTAAATGGGGATGGTGGAATCGACCGACGTTTTCGGGCTCATATCATTGTATGCCATGGATGGAGGCTGTTGGGGCGATGAGTGCAAGTCAGTCTGCTGCACACTGGGCGCGCTGGAGAATGGAGCGGGTGCATTCGCCTGTCCATTGCCAAAGTTGAAGAGCGGTTGATTGCTTGGTATGTAGCCGAATGGTGCTGTCACCCTGTCGGACGGTGTGCCCACCGATGCCGTGGACGCTGTTGCTGGGCTTGTAGTTCGTGACCGATTGATACCATCTACGTTGCCATTTGCTACCGAAGCAGTATCGGATGGTGAGCTAGCCGAGATTGGGACGTCGCCGTCTTTGTCGAAGATCTTCATGCATGCACTAATCAGGTTGTGGTACAGGCCAATAGCGGACTCGACGCCGGGCCATCGTTCGGATGCCTGTTTGATCGACTCCATGGCGACTACGAGATGGCCTTCGACCTCTTCCCGACTGTGGTGTTTTCGTACATGGGAGTAAGACAGGGTCCAGAGCATAGTGTTGATGCACATGAAAATGGATTGGGTAAAGATCCAAGTGACGTCTACGCTCTTGGTCTCAATCTGCTTCATGGTCATGTAGATGTTGTACCGGCATGCATCGAAGCAGCGCATGGCAGCATCGACCGACGGCCGAGGGACTTGTGGGGATGGGCGGTACATGAATACGACCATGGTGTTGTATCGTCCAATGAACCTGCATGGTAAGTAAGCATTGGCGTGTATTCCATGTGGAGGGGGGGGTACATACCAAACCTTGTTCAAGCCCGAGCCGCCGTCCATTTCTGGACTCGTGTCTCGCCAGGCTTCAATCTTTGCTTGCATCTGAGCAAACCAGGGGTGCTGGTCATCTTTGGGTTCGGGTTTCTTCTTTTGGTACAACATCTTACGTATTTCAAGCTGTAACAAGCGCATCTTGTAAAAGTGTTGGCCGATCCATTTTTTGAGCGATGCCTGGGGCGCAGGCTTGATTCCTTCTCTAGTAATGTAGCAATCGTCGACAAGCTCTCCAAATTGTACGTCAATGTGTTCGCGCCGCGTGGCAAAGTGAGCGGGTCGGCCTAGACTGTGTGATAGTCCATAGTCCATGGTAAGGATACTCCAGAATAGACGCCTGCGCATGTCGACTTCCAGGGGATCTGCTGAGCGCCCACCCGGACCCATGGAAATGGTCTTCTCTTCGTGCAAGCCCAATGCTTGACACAGCCGCACGCCGAGACCAATGATGTAGTAAACGGCGGTTCTCGTAGGCGTCAGAAGAGAGTAGCCAGCTACAAGACCAAAACACTGCAGCGTCTTAAGATTCATGGGCTTGATGGCGGCTTCAAAGTACTTGAGGGCTGCAAGATAGTAGCTGTCGGCCAGGCCAACCCATTGCGTGTCCATTTTCTGCAGGCTGATGGCAATTACCATGCGCAGGCAGTAGTTCTGATAAGGGTCTGTTGAGCCATTGTAAACATCGTCGACGTCCTTTGTAAACGTGGGCTCGTGGAAGAGGGGGTACATGGGGTGCACTATCAGGAGTTAGCTTATGCAGGCTTGTCAAAAGGAAAGAACAACGTGCCTTTGCAGTAGAAGAGCTCAACAAGCAGGTTGGTGAGTTCCCTGTTGGGCAGCTCCTCTGCCGCTACATCACTAACCATGGGGTATATCTTGGACGTGGGCCGCTGGTCTTCTTGGGTAAAGGTGTCTTTGATGTCCTTTGCGCGCGAGTGTGGTACAATCTCGGAGATGCTCTTGGACTCTGTAAACTGCTTGGCCAGCTGCATAACGAGGCGCGTAATGGTGATGCCGCTCGAGGGGCCTAGAAACTTTGACTCGTCCGAGTCCTGGACGCGCACAGTGGCGGCCCCGCGCATGACATCCTCAGGGTCGGGTTCGGCATCGTCTCGCTCGAGATCAGCCAGCTGCTTCTCGAGTTCACGGACTTTTTGCTGCAAGTGTACAACATAATTGCGGGGTATCTTGCGGCCTTTGGCAGGGTCGTAGTACTCGCAGTGTGAGTTTGTGCGCTCACAGGGCCCGCACCGGGGGAGGCCAGGGTCGCAACGTGTTTTGCGCTGGAGACGTGTCAGCTTGGCACTATGGATTTCACTAGGGAGGAGGCATGCTCACAGTACGGCAGCGACAGCAGGCCGTCAGTGTATGTGCTATACGGGACTGGGAACCAGCGGTGGTGGAGGTGGAGGTGGAGGTGGTGTCTTCGGGCGGGTGCGGGGCGGCTTCGGTGCTTGTCTGTATGGCAGTCGAGGCGGCGTCCATGGCTGCTCTTTCACTCTCACCGTCCGGGCAGACACAGCAGCAGAGAGGGGGCCGGAGGCAAGGATAGCGACGAGGGCGCAGTGTTTATGATTGTTCTTCGGCCTGGCATGTGGGGAGAGGGCGAGCGTGCACGGCCATGGCCGGAGATGGTGCTGCGGCGGCGAGGGTGATGATGTGCTTCCTGTTGTGTTCCAGTGCCAGTGCCTGTGCCTGTGCCAATGCCAATGCCAGGGCCAATAGTAAGTACCAATACCAACGTCGGAGCCAGTGCTTGCAGAAGCAGAAGCAGAAGCAGAACAAGTGCAAGGACGGGCAAAAGGAACCAGGGCTCCGCATGGGGGTGGGTACACAGTGTAGCCTCGTCTACTAGGGAAGGGCAGGCTGCGGCACCGCCACCGGTAGGCCTCGAACCTCACAGCCAGCGCCATCGTGGCCATCCAATCCACGGCCCTCATGTCATCTGTCAGCCCGCAATACCAACTGTCGCAATAGGCGGCTCTTATGCCCCGTCCGGTACAAGCCTGAGCTGCCCGCTGCCCTACCCGTGGCGAGGTCACTGCTCAACACCACGCTATCTCGTCTGAGCACCATACACTGCCCTCACCCCCCCCCCCAGCACCGCATCCCCACCCTTCCCACGCGACACTGGCTCTCCTGCCTCTTCCCTGCGCTAGCCTGTCCGCTTGCATTGGGATTGCACCGAGCCCGCCGCCTGTGCCTGTGCTCACTGCCGTCTCGTCTTGCCCTGTCTCATCACCATCCACACCTCGACCACTCGTGCCCAGTCGGGCCTTGACGTATCGCCCCACGTCCGAGCTAGCCCCTCTCTCTCTCCAACTGACCTCCCTTGCAACCTCTCATGCCCCAACACTGCTGCTTGCCCATTCCACATCTCTGCACCAATGGTCCTTGAGACCCCATTGCTCCGCGTGAGCAGGCCCGTCGCCGCCTGCTCTCGGTGCCGTGCTGCAAAAGTAAAGTGCGACGGCAAATTGCCCGCCTGCACTGCCTGTGAAAAGTCCAATCGCGCCTCGGAATGCTCAAGCACCAACGACCAGTTTGCCAGGGGCAAGGAACGCAGCTATGTCGCTACCCTCGAGTCGAGAGTCGAGAGGTTGGAGAAGAAGATCCAGGAAGCAAGAGCAAGGAGAAAGTCTTCGGTTATCATCATGCAGGACACGTCCGACGACTCCACTCCACGCAGGGCTTCCACCGACACCCTAAAGGCGGCCAAGCCCGTCAGCCAGCGTGCGGCGAGACAGAGAGAGGCTTCCGAGATTGACGATCTGGTGTCCGACTTTGGCCTTCTGTGAGTGCTGCCCATTGAGATGCCCATCCAAAGCCGCTGCTGACTCTCCAACCAGCGCCGTCAATGCTACTGCAAGAGACTTTTATGGCTTCACGACGGAAATGTCGTACGCTCGCCTTATCAGATCTGCCAGCACAAAAGAGCCTTTATCGGGTGACTTGATCAAGCCGCTTCCTCCAAGGTTCGCAGCCACTCCGCTCATCCAACACTATCTCAACAACGTCTTTACCCTTTGGCCCATCTTTGAAGAAGCCACCCTCTATTCGTCTGTCGAGGCCGTCTATCAGCAGGGAAACAACTCCACTCCATGGGACCGATGGTGTGTGCGCATGGTCCTGGCCATTGCCTGTCTCTCCCAATCAGAATCCAGGGGAGACAATCATTACACAGATGCAGTGGGACACATGATTGCTGCACTCGAAAATGCCGAAGATGTTCTCCATCCGGGATACATTGCCAGCATCCAAGCTCTCGTTCTCTGGACCATATACGCCACAATGGACCCTCATCACTTCGACAGCTGGACACTCGTAGGCGCGGCTTCCAGAGCCATGGTCGACCTCGGCATCCACCAGGACCCCTCCAAGAACGTAGCTATATCCCGCACAAAACTAGAACTGCGGCGACGGGTATACTGGTGTGTGTACTCATTAGACAGGTAAACATGCACATGGTCACCCTATATCCTTCATACTGATTTGCATGCAGATCCACTTCACTCGTCCAAACGCGCGCCTTCTCCTTCTCAGATGAGGCAGCAAACGTAGCCTTCCCTTTTTACAGCACGCCCATGTCGCCAAAATACTCGTCTCCCCAGTCGCACCTCTTCCAGCAATCATTCGATGCTGCCATTGATCTATTCAAGATTCGCGAGATCCAGTCAGAGTGGTACATGGACCTGTTCCAGTCCGGACGCGAGCCCTGGCCAGACCCTTATCAGTACATCTGGAAGCAGTACAACAGGATGGCCGACTGGTTCCAAGATATGCCGCAGAGTACATTACCGGCAGTCAAGTCTTTCTTCGAACTAGAGTTGCTCTACAGCTATGTCTACATTCTATCGCCCAACCCGCGTATACCCCATATCCACGAATATGCCCAGCGCCTAATCTTTGAGCATTGCATCGCCTACGCGACCAACCTCCTTGCCGTCTTGGACAAGCCTTCCCACACTGTCAAGCCACCAGTGACATATTACGATGCCATGCGGGCATACATGACCGGTCGCCAATTCGTCGACGTTTTATCGCGAAATCTCGAGGTCATCCTCGATGCGAGACCGGCGGTACCTCCTGCACCGGCAACGGGTACACAAGTGGAGTCGGAAGATCCCCTCGCCCCACCCACGCAGGTCAATGCACCCCCCTTCCCTAGTCCATCTCCGGCAGAAGGACAGTCACTGCCCTTAGACCCGACTACCCGAGCCATCAATGCGCTCAACGATTACACGACGCTACTCTCTAGGTTCGGACTAAGATTTGGTTTCATACACTGGCGCGACCGATTCCAACGCGAATCAGCGTCTCTTTCAGCACAGCTTCATCAGCGCAGCCAGGCAGCGCCAACGACTTACTCTCCGCAATGGGGATCAATGCCATCTCTGTCGCCGCAACCGCCGCAGCTGGTGTATTCCAATCTGCCAGCGACACCGCCCAGTCTCTTTCCTCAGCAGTCCAGTCCCTACACCAGCTCACTTTCATACAATAACTCATATGATGGCTCTGGGCAGAGTCCGCAGCAGCATGGTATGGCATACGATGCCAGCCCAAGCCAACAGACATGGGCGACCCCATCTCCTCAGCCAGTGCCTGAGCTACCACAACCTTCGGGTGGCCAGACAAGAAGGGCAATGGTCTACGGACCCGGTATACCAGTAAATACAAACCGAGGCCGTAGTCCTGTGGCATCCTCGTCGCCTGCGCATGACACGAGTAATGGCTGGGTTCAGCAAGACCAGCAACACTCAGACCCCAATAGTTACTTCCAAGTACCGCCATCTATGCCGCAACAGAACAGCGGCTCCTGGGGCCAGAGCTCACCCGATAACTGGAGCTGAATCGCATAAGACCATTGGGGCGAGCTTATCCAGTAGAAAAAAAACTTATCTAGACTAGTCGACTGCCCTTCATGTAGAGCTTCTGCCGACATAGCATGCATGTGCCTGCTATTTTCGCCGATCAAGACCGACGTTCTCCACGTGTAACTGGCTGGACGGTTCGGCTGTATGGCTAGCGTCTTGCTTGTGCAACTAGTGGGGAAAACGGGAGAGAGGCATGTCACCCGGAGAAAGGAGCGGAGATGAACGCAAGGGATGAGAAAAGAAAAAATTCCCCGCGCGATGGGCCTTCTGCAATGACCCTGGACAATCTCAAGGGTAGTGGACGATGATTTTAGTACGATTGCGTATACATACAAGCATGTGCGTGCCGCAATAGGGGCGCGGCGGACTAAAGTCTGGGACTAGTGTCCGGCGGATGTCACACAGAAGTACATGCCGCAGGAAATAACGGAGCGGGACCGCACGAATAGACGATTTGACGGTGTATGACGTGCGTAACATGTCAGCAATCAATACTGTTTTCCATATTTCCCTTTTTGGGATATATGTTTCTATCTTTAATACCGGATTGCGGGAGCCAACTAGAATCAGATACGATGTTTGCCACGTGGTATATCTCACGAATCTTTAACATGTGATGAAAGGGTTGCATGATACTAGGCTTATTAACAGTGACTAGTATTAGAACAACGTCCATTACTACCAACCAGGAGCGAGATATTTCTTTGCCTTGCATGTGTTGTCGTGTTCAAATAAGATCGACAGGGACCAAAATCGACATCCCCCCCCACTTGAACAAAATCGCGGGGCACATGCACACACACAACCCCACCCCGCGCCGCTATCTCTGCGCGGCTCCCCATTGAACAAATCCCACTCCCGATAACATGGTTTACTACATTCCCGCGTGCACATTTCGATATAGTACACCAGCCACCTCGCTACTCCTACCCGAACCTTCTTGACCCCTCCCTTTCTCCCCAAAACAATACCTGTAAATAAGTCCAACATCCCCGCAATGTCAACACCCTACGACCTCGCGCTCAGCGCCATCGACGCCGGCCACGCCCTCGACCCCAACAAAGTCGACGTGAACGGCGTCTCGACCCCTTACGAACTCCACTACGCCCAAAAATGCACGTCGTACCTCTCCCAACGCGCCCCAAACGCGTCCGAAACCCTGCGTCTCGCAATCCGCGCCCAGCACTTTCGCCGGTGGGAAGTGCCCCGCTCGTCGTACCCGCAAACCCGCCCGGGCTACCACGCCTGGCGCACGTTTCTGAAAAAACGGCAGGCGGAGCTCGTGTCCAAAATCTGCTTGGAGGCAGGGTACAGCGAGGTGGATGCGGAGCGTGTAGGCGCGCTGATACGGAAAGAGGACCTAAAGGAAGACGAGGAGACGCAGGTGCTGGAGGATGTGGCGTGTCTTGTTTTCCTGGATGATCAGTTTGAGGCGTTTGAGCGCGAGCATGATGAGGACAAGATTATTGGGATTCTGAGGAAGACGTGGGGGAAGATGAGCGAGAGGGGGCACGAATTGGCGTTGGGGATGGATATGCCTGGGAGGAGGGGGGAGGTGTTGAAGAAGGCGTTGGGGGGGACGTAGGGGATTGGGGATTGCTTGGTTAGGAGACGATTTGGTTTTAATGAGGGAAATCAGGGAATTTTATTGGTTTAAGAAGGGCGGGTTATGTGCATAGCAATCTTGAGCCGAGAGAAATATTATATATAGGTTGAGGGTTGTTTAAGCTCCGCCTTCGCGCTTTGCGTATTCCTCTTCAATTGCTTCTTCGTAGCGTCGTTCTGCTTCCTTTTCCTCCTCGGTCTTTTGGGCTTGAGTGGCGCTGGCTACGCTTTGTGTTGATGGGTTTTCCACGTTTTGCGCTGTCTCTGCCGTGGTAGAGGAGGAGGTTTGTTGTGTTGTTGAAGGCATGGGGACAGGCATTTTGGTTATTTAGTTGGTTTAGAAGAGGTAGCGATTGTTTTCGGATTTGATTTGTGTGGTTTTTTTAGTGATGAGGATGTAGATGTGGTGTGTTGTAGAGGATGGTGGATGAGAGATGGGTGCAAAAGGTGCCTATATAGATGAGTTGGGCGACGTCATTGTGGCGGTGCAGGTGTGGCTGGAAGCTTCTCGATGGCGGTGATTCGCCACACGTGCTCTGGACTTTTACGTTGTGGCGATTAGGTTGTGGCTTGGCACAGTGTACACTGCTGCAAGCTTGCATGCAACTATGTGGGCTGCTGATTAGTGGAGTCGTTAGAGGGAATTGCAGATGTACGGACCTCAACGGATATGCTAATTATACTGCCATGTGGCTGTTGTGTTGGGGAAGTTGCACTATTCTAAGGTTTGACATTGTAAATTTGCCAGCGTGCTAGTACTTGCTGCTATTATACACCCGAGTATAAGACAAGTGCAACGTTCTCAAAGACGACACAGGAACGTTTGATGATCTGGTATTTTGAGAGATAGATGCGAGGTCTTCGTGTCTGTAACATGGAAAGCAGAGTTAAGCACCAGCGTTGCAAGAAAATTCGGATTCCATCAATCAATATTGATGTACCTGTGTCGATAGCCCGAAGTTTTAGTATCAAGATCAATTTCCCGATTTTAGGCCTCCCGCCTGCCTCTTCCAAGATAAACGAATAAACGAGCGATAATATACATGCAGCAATATCTGTTGAAAGGATCGCTAGCGCTTATATATAATACATGGGTAGTGTAGAGCTTTTCCAGTAACGACACTTGCAACTAGCATCTGATGGGCTGTTTGCCCTGCGACGCCCCGTTATTCAATGCAAGGCTGATCATCCACTCTCACTTCAGGCTGTATGGCCGGATGTCCAAGTCCGTCTCAAATTCGTCTTTTGTGTGTTTGTGAATAAAAACACCGTCACGCTTTTGATATTCCATCTCAATTTTTTTATAAAACTTTACGCATAGCAAGTGCAACCACGTTACGATGTGGATCTTCAATGCTCTTGCCTCTTTCCAGCTGCTGGCAACAAATCTTGTGGCTGCTGTTCCCGTCGATTCACAGCCGGCTTCGACTATCAATATAGATCCGGCAGTTGAACCCCTTGAAGCTCTTGCTCAACTGCAGCAGCATGCCTATGAAACTCTCAAACAGCGCGAGAGTGTCTTCAAAAGAGACTCAAAAGGCTGCTCTTTGGCGACTGCAACCATACGAAAAGGCTGGTAAGTCTTCAATAGACACTTGTGTTCACTCACTAATCTTAAAAAGGGAATATATAAGCAAGAAGGATCGGAAGGCCTACATCGAAGCTGTACGGTGTCTTCGACGCTTGCCACCCAAGTCTGATCCGTTCTGGGCTCCAGCAGCAAAGACTCGCTTCGATGATTTCGTCGCCATCCACGTGAACCAAACCTTGTACATACATGGAAATGGTCCCTTCCTTACCTGGCATCGCTACTTTGTATGGGCTTATGAACAAGCTCTTCGAGACGAATGTGGCTATAAAGGCTACCAACCCGTGAGTCTCAACCTCTCAACTGCCTGCAAGTTCTACACTCTAACCCTCATCCCATTCGTTAGTACTGGGACTGGTTTTCACATGCGGATAATATCTAGGAGTCCCCCGTTTTTGATGGGAGTGATACCAGTTTGGGCGGTGACGGCGAGTTCTTTGCTCACAACGGAAGTCTTGCTGGTGGTCGATTGATACCAATCCCCTCTGGACAAGGGGGTGGGTGTGTTAAGAGCGGTCCTTTCAAAAAGTGAAACCACATTGTGATATGGAAAATTGAAAATAACTAACACTTTTACAGTACGCAAGCAAACATTGGACCCATCTCGCCTGGTATGCAAGGCCTCACCGACCTGGCGACTGGAATCACCGACTACAACCCCCACTGCCTGCGCCGAGATCTCAGTCCCTACATATCCAAGAAGTGGTTCACTACGGAGAATCTACTGAATGTAACCATTGGTGCAGGATCCGTAACGCATCCCATTTTCTGGCAGGAAATTCTGGGTCGGTATACGGATGGGTTCTTAGGGTTACACGCCTCGGGACATTACACTATGGGCGGAGACGCAACGGATCTCTATTCTTCTGTCAATGATCCTGCATTTTACCTCCATCACACAATGCTTGATCGAATCTATTGGATCTGGCAGGTACTCCACCCGGCTGAGGCGAACAAAGTGACTGGTACCTTGACGCTGCAGAACAAGCCTCCAACGCGCAACGCTACCATTGATGAGCCATTGGAGATGGGAATCAACGGCGAGACTTTGAAGATTCGGGATATGTTCGATACGCTAGGTGGTACTCCTCTATGCTACATCTACCTTTAAGTAGGATCAACCAAAAGCTTGGACATTTTGGTCGTGCAGCGTGTTCGTGCGGGAGGGATGGCAAGTTTCAATCATTCTTTGCTTTCGCACTGTCTCGTCTAATGTGCCGAGACACGCAACAAGGACCAGGGCCTTGACACTAATTGGGTGGGTAGTGACTGCCCAAAGTATGAAATGTTCGCTACCATTGACATCACACTTATTTGCGCCATGTTCAGCTCATAATCGCCAAAAAACCCCCAGATCCCATCTCAAACCAGACGCCGCTCATGTATGATGAAGGTCAATAGGCTCCCATAAGGCGACAAACAGCTGTTTGAAACAACAATCTCATATGATGTCAATGTACGATATCCCACCCTCCCCACCTGAACCGGTGCACGTGCGTGTATACCGCGACAGCAAACACAAAAACAAATCACAGCACTTATCTGACTCAACGCGTATCATACCGTCCAAACGGAAACCAGGGGCTTCCTTCGTGAACGAGAAGGCGAAGAAACACTTGACCATTCGGAAAAGACGTCTGCCGGTGCATCAGCTTGCTCTTTTGCGAACTACAACAAGTGATGGGTTGCCCCAGTCGAGTGTAGGAGACTGTCGCAGATGGGAACTTAGTATGACGCTAATGATGCACAATTTAGGATATGGAAGTTACTTTTTTTGATTCTATTGCGGTGGTTGATCCCATAGAGGACAGTCAGCTTGATGGGCCGATTGCGGATCCGTCAGGCGGTCCTGTACGATTCATGTAAACAAGGCTCATACTACTTCTAATGCGAATTTAGATATGCAACATAGTCACATTGAGAAAAGCGCCGCTTCCCCACACGATATGGCACTCAGACATGCGCAGCACACCTATAAAGGGAACTCCAGACAGAGCTTATATAGCCGATGAAACGCCCAAAGGGACGCGTAGCCCCAAACTAAAGCAAATCCCAGGTTTTCGTGTCGCTCATGATGGGCGCATTGATCATGAGCTCCAAACCGCTTCGAAGAGGCAGTCAGATCGTCAAGTCAACTATGTGTCGACAAGAACACGGAGACCTGGCATCGCTCGCACTCTCACACTAGGGAGTGGACCATTGCCATCGCCTGCGGATGCAAGTCCACATATTTCACATGCTATGCAAATGGATAGACAAGAAGTTCCTGGATCGCGAAACCCACATAGGCTTCAAAATCGGTTGGCAGACCCGAAATTGAAGCAATTGATACTCCTCAGCAGTTCGGAGTATTTGCGAAGTTGACCAGTTCTCTCTCCTCCAGTATCCCAGGCAGAACTGGCCCTAGATGGTTCTCCAGTATTTTGACTCCTGTTCAATACTACTCCGATAATCGAGAAGCAAATAGTGAAAAAGAAGCTCTATACTCTAGTCTTTTGATCTCGCATCACGAACCATACCATTGATTACTATGATGATCAAGGGACATCGCAGATTAGGCTGCTAAACTCTGGGGCGGCATGCAATTGCTCCCAGCGTCATCATACCACGTATGAGAATACAAACTGGAAGGATACGAGGGATTGATTTCTGCAAACGACACAGTCAGTGCAGCTAAACATACAGTGGAGCCTCGCGCCATATGCCATTATTGACTGCTTATTTTTAATTCCGAGAGCCGCAGCGGTACGGGAAGGGACGCTGTAAGTCAACTACCCGTGGTAACAGGAACAGCAAATGCTACGCGCTGCCGTGATGTCAGCCAAACTATATTGCCTCGCATACATAGCAACTGCGGGTAGAGTTTCCATAGTATACAACTTGATATTCAATCAATGTTTCGTTCAGAGACCAACAAGTAAAGGCGGTGTTTCATGGCCTTGTTCTCTTTTTTTAACTGCCGTCTCAATAAAGCTTGACAACTGCTGTTCATCAATATGCCTCCATATGGGATGGAGAAGCTCTTGTTCAGCACAACTTTAAAGTGTGATGAGGTGCAATGCTTGGTCAGTATTATTCCGCAAAGAACTATCGTATACTTGAATGATCAAACCAGGGCCAATGGCAATTGCGGGAAGCAAAGATCTACTGTAGATCAACGATGTCATCCCGTGTGGAGATGCTCAGTTCCGGCTAGTGGAGCGGTAGCCCTAAAATAGCGCAATGATCGGTGTTTTGGCCTCGCGGCTCAGACCACAACATCAAACACTACACTGTTTGGACGCATGGACAAGTCACAACTCACATGTTTGACTTCCGTTTTGACACATGCTGGTGCCAGCCTTTCAAGGCTGTCACATTGCAGAATGATGAGTATGATAAACTTTGTGCTCTCCGCACGAAGTTTCTCTCGACTTTCCGACCGCCAACTCACCCCTTAAGTGCTGGCGCTTCACGCACTCCGGCGCTCTCGCTGACCCCAGTTTTCCTTCAATACTACCAAAGGTGATTTGCAGGACAAGAGCACAATGGTACCGCAGAGCGGCATGCCTTCGCCAATGGTAAGCAACAACATTCCATTCAAGGCATCGTCCAAGATTATAGTAACCAATGGCTAACTTGGAAGCAGGCAGCACGAAGTCCTCCATACGCCCCCACAGTATGGGCGTTGGGTGGGTCTCCAGTAAGAAGCGTCGATCTTCCAATGCAATCGATCTTTTTGGTCTTGTTCGTGATGGGAGCAGCTGTACATATGAGAATCTTTCGACAGAACAAATCTAGGGGTCACAAGTTTCTACCAAACATTTTCATGTTCGGTAAGTGCCTAGGCCTTATAAAACTGGAATGCCCGACGCTGATATCTTAGCTAGGCTTCTGTATGGAGCGCATCTTGACATCGATAGTACGGCTAGCATCAGCGTCAAATCCGACAAGCACCTCGCTCGCGATAGCTGCACAAATGTTCGTTGCAGCCGGTGTAGTCATCTTGTTCGTCATTAATATCGTTTTCGCAATGCGCCTCGTCCGCTCCATACATCCGTCGGTCGGCTGGCATCCTGCTTTCGGCATTGCATTCAAGGTCATTTGTGCACTGCTTGTGTTCACCATCATCACAGTCATTTGTGCTTCAGTCCAAAGTTTCTTTACTCTCAACACAAATATCCAAGCTACTACTCGAGGCCTCCAACGATACGGTGCAACATTTCTCGCCATTATCGCCACGCTACCGTTACCCATGGTTTTCGCTACAATCACCGCACCCTATTCCTCAATTGACAAGTTTGGCGTCGGCCGGCTCCGCACAAGAGTTTTCACTTTGCTCATCAGCACAACACTTCTAGCCCTTGGTGCATGGTATCGCTGTGGTGTCATTCTGCAAGCACCCACGCCGCGATCGGAACCTCTACCCGGGTATCTTGGAAAAGGAGCATTCTATTTCTTCAACTTCTTCGTGGAAATACAAACGATTTTCATGTACGCTATTTTTCGCGTAGACCTTCGGTGGTATATACCCAACGGTGCCAGGGGAAAAGGGAGCTATTCTCAGCCGCGAGTTCAGCGAGACGTGGAGAAGCAAGAATCTCGATCAGCGTCCTCAGACAAAACACGATACGACAGTCAGTCTCTCAGGACGATAAAAGAAGATGACGAGGAGGACAGAGAAGTGATCAGCGAGAAACCCACCTGGCCACTTGGACCACCCAGAATCATAGAAATCGATCTCGGAAACGCATCAAGCAACTCTCTCACACCGCCACCACCAATAGTCCTAGACACGAGGCGAAGCTCAGGACGCAGTTCATACGCCCGTCCAAAAACAGCAGACAGATCCGTGCGCAGCTCCATCCTCTCGGAACGCTTCTCCGTCCTCATGGCCAAATCCACAAGTACCCTCTCAGTCTTCGCCTCCGCCGAGCAAAAAAAGCGATGGCGCGAAAGCGAAGAAGCAAGAATCGTTCGACGCCTCGGCGGTCCCTGGCAACAACTTACAAGTCCCACCGACACATCGTTTAGCTACTCAACCCGCAGTCCAACACGAAGCGGGTTTCGTCCTAGCACAGCTGGAAGCCATGCTTTTGAGCCTCCGAGTCCAGTCCATTTCCGAAGCACTTCCGATGCGCCGACGCTTCCGGATGTGGTGTCTGCGGGCGGCTGGACACCGAGAATCGATTGGGAATTCAAGAGTCCGCAGCGCTTCTTGAGTTTGAAGAGGAAAACATTATTGGGCTTGAATATTACCACTGCATGAACCCAGCCTAGCCCTCTCCTAGCCGATCGATTAACCATTTTGCAAGCCGAACAAGTCGACTACATATGACTTGCGATGGCGTCTCTTCTTTTTTTCTTCCTCTTTTTTTCTCTTTATGATTTCGGACGAGGTATCCGTTATACTAATCCACTGCTGGCCAGCAATATCCATTCGCTCACTCTTTTTTTTAAAAAAAACTTTTCATTTCTGTTTAATCGACATACCCAGGTTCATCGGCTTTTCCTCTTATAAAAGCAAACGCGCTGTAACATTATTATTTGAATCCTGCACACGGGTGTGTAATGTAGAAGTAGAATATATCAATCAAATGTGCAGTTTCTTCAGATATCTTTTGCGTGAGTCTTTAAAATGGTGAAGTTGTGGGTGTTTGTGCTGTGCTGTGCTGTGCTGTCGGCCTTAAACCTCAGGTGTCGGCGGGTGCCAAAGGGCTCAGACCAATGTGTCAAAAGGGAAAAAAAAGAAAAGAACCAGGCTTGGATCCAGGGTCTGTAGGGCGGAGCGGGGAGAGAGGGTTTGGCTGTGTCAAGTGTCAGATGTTTCGAAGTTTTGGTGACGTATGACCGCGTTTCGAATATCAAAAAAGAAAGATGGTTAAAAAAAATTCGTAATGGGGTTGTCGCAAAGGGCTATCTCAGACATGGGAATTGTATCAAGAAACGCATCGGATTTCACGTTTCGAGAATCTAACAGGAAGAAAAAAAGGAAGAAAAGGAAAAAGAAAAGCTGTAACGTCTCAAACGTCTATAACCCAGCGTTTCAAACACCCAATCACACTTTCACCCTAGGCAAAAAAAGAAAGCAACAAAAATTGCGCATCGCGCATCTCTCATATCTACAAAGGAATCCTCCTCATCTCGTCCAAACTCCAGTACTTCCTCATGTTCTCCGCGCCCAACTGCTCAACCTCATCATCAAGATGCTGCCACAGGACCTCACCAAACGAATCCAGAATCTCCTTCATCTCAGCCATCCTCAGCTCTCTCTCCCCAGACTCGCATTCTTGGAGGTACTTCTCGGCCCTGTCGATGCCGACATGGATCTGCTTGTGCTGGGAGATGAGGTCGAGTTCTTTTTTGAAGGCGGGCATGCGCTTGGCGAGGATGGGGAAGACGTGTTGTTCTTCGATTGTGTGGTGGAAGGTTAGACCTTCTTTGGAGAGAGAGATGGGAGTGTTAGTGGTTCTTTGTTTAATTCATTTGGGGGCAGGGTGGGGATGGTTGGGGGGGGGGATGTTCAGTATCCGTCATTTTGAATATTGGGTTGGGGAATAAAAGGTACATGATGGATGAAAAAGTAGTCTTACGGCAGAATTGCTTGCATGTACTGATGAATTGACGAATAGACATGTTTTCGGGCCTTTTCCCAGCTTCACATGCTGAATAGACGACTTTCCACATTGCGCGGAAGTGTTCATGGTAGCGGTTCATTTCCACGGCCATTCTGTTGTATTGCCGGAATTCAGAAGGCGTGAGTTTGGGCAGGGGCTTTTCTTCTTTAGAAGAGGGCTTAACGGCGGCGTCGTTGTCTACTGGAGGTACGGGCGCAGTTGCGCCGTTGTCGCCTGGGACGGTAGACATGGTTCCTGGAGGGGGCACGGGGTATTGGAGAGTAGCCTTGGTTACAAAACACTGCCTTGGAACTCTAGTGTGGTATGTCCGTGTAGGTCTAGTGAGTAGTCTCAAAAATTGGACTCGCTTCATAAGCTAGGTAAAGAGTTACACCGAAGGAAAATACGAAATGGCAAGTTTGGTTATCTCGGTGGCGCACATGAATGTTAACGCGGGGGTGTAGTACTAGCCAGTCACAGCTTATCAATTTTGCATTACAGAATATTACCAAGCCGCTAGTCGCGGCTGTCGGACGCCGATAGACGCGCTCTTGACACGATCACGTGACAAAGACATCACCACCCAGCACAACAATAAGAATGGTCTATTTGTTTCTCGTCTTGGCAAATTTTTCATGCCATTTGCGCGCCGATGGCTTTAGAGCTGTCGTTCCGTTGTCCACCACCGGGGCCGATGCAGCCTTGCCCTTAGCCTTGATGGTTGTATCTGAAGGAAATTCATAAAAGCCTTCGATGGCTGTAAGCTTAGCATCTTTGCGCCATACTTCTGGTAGGCGATCCTCCCACGTGTCAGTGAAGTCAGCAATCAAAAAGTCAGCACCACGCCTGGCATCTAGCAGGGTTGTCCCGGTGAAGGCGACTGTCTTTGCTCGGTCGAGACAGGACCACGGTCCGCTCCTGTCAGTGTCATCCGTTGCCAAGTACGCAAGCACGGCTTGTGTGAGAGAAGCGGGGTGCCCTTCTTCAGCTACGGCCGTTGCAATGTCGCTGGTCATGAACTGCTTGTCGAGGGGGATACCCTCTGCCAATGCAGCAGCAATGATGGATCTCCAAACATGGGAGAGGGCGCTCGGAGATGGCTGATACGAGCCCTCATTTGTGTCAAAGGCCATGAGCTGCGTCCACCCTGCCTGGCACTCTCCATCAGACAGGGGCATGTCGTTGAATATACCAGCCTTGGTCATGCCGTTAGGAGTGGCGTCAACGTCGCCAGAAACAATGTCGTACACAGGGAGCACTTCCCTCAACAAGGCAATGGCAGAGGCAAAAGAGGCATGGAGCTCGAGTGTGGAGCTGCACAGAGCAATTGCGCGTGTGACAGGGATGGGGATCTCGTTGCCATGGGCTTCGAGGGCTGGCTGGGTCACGAAGAGCGAGTTGGACGTCTGGACCTGGCGCACCTGGAACGACTTGTCCGGGGTGCAGAGTACGGCATATGCGGGCTTTGCGTTATGCGTGCCAGTAGCAGCGGAAAAAGCTTGCGATTTGATGGATAGTCTGGCACGCGTAGTGAGAAAAGGGAGTCGGCATTCCATGCGACACGACGGCAGACATACAACGGAGGATTTGGCTTGTCTATCAACTCAACGATTTCCGGGGGCAGCTCGAGCAGGCGGAAATGCTGTTGTTGGTGTGCTATGGAGACGGGCAGCCCGCCCTGGTGCTGCGTGGCCATGGCTGGAGCAGGGCACTCTACCAGCCCAGATGCGCGATGAAACGTGCCGTGGGAGATTTTCGCATATGAAGCCAGCCGCGACCGTGAGCTGCTATGACGACGATGTTTTGATATTCGTCGGCACTGCGGGGTGGGTTGATGCGCAACTAGCTCGCAGGCGGGTCGGAGGGATGGATGGAGCAAAAGTAGGCTGCAGGGCCATGTATTCGCACCAAAAATACCTGGCACTGCGGTGATGAGGACCGGGACCCCCCCATGCGTCTCCTTGTCGCCCTGATTGCACGTTGGCAATTCGCCGTCTAGTCTCCCGCTCGCGCTTGGTCGCTGCTGCACGACCGCCTTGATTCGGGCTTCAACAGATCGCTGCCAGCTTGTTGTTGTGTTGTTGTTGTCTGGACTGGACTCGACTCGACACGCGCCTGCTGCCCTTGTCCTGTATGGCTACCCGACTACTACGACGACAGCACCTCCACCTCCACCTCCACCACCGCTGCCACGACCACGACCATCACCGCCGCCTCGCCTGCCACGACCACCATTGTCCGTCCCCACGCGGCTGCGCCATGCAAGCGATGCACTAACCTAATTGCTGCCCTGGTCACCTGCTTCGCTGTACCTATCCGGCCTCGTCACTCGTTTCCACGCCCTCGACACCATGGGCGTCGTAATTAACCCCGAGCCCGCGGCCCTCTCCGCAGACGACCTGTCGCTTTTCTACACCACCGACGAGTTGCTTTCCAATTCTCCCGTCCTGATCTTCTACGGCCCGACCGCAACTTCCACCCAGGCCACGCACTCGCGCATCCAAGCCCATGTCTTTACGCCCGCCGGCCTGCAGAACTTCGCCCGCCTGATTATATCCCCGACAGCTACCTTCTACAATGCCGTAACATGCCTGCCTCGCGAGGAACAGGGCGACGAGATATGCCGCGGCCTCGCCTTCAGTCTCTACAAATACTTCCTCGAGCTGCCTACCGAGATCAAGAGCGCATGGAGCCGGCGTTATGGCTCGTCGGAGAGCCTACACTCGGCGCCCAGGCTGTTCTCAGAGTCGCATGCTGCCATCATCGCTGCCAAAATGGTCAAGGTCGAGAATGTCATGGATGTCATAGTAGACGTGCGGCACGCCTTGGGTGAGCAAACGCTCTCGTGGATAGACCTCGATGTTGTCCTGCCGCAGGGAAGCATCCGCAAGCTCAATCCGAGAGAGTCGGCCCAGTTTGACGACACCGAAGAAGACCCGACCCAGCAAAAGTATGAGGAATTCGCACCTCTCATTAAGCTATTTGGAGAATCGGCATTCCTGCCCACTGCCAAGCTCCGCCGTGCGCCCTCAAAACCAACGGCCCTCAACCGATCCCAGAATTTCTCGAGAAAGCAAAAAGAGACGCTCCGGCGCGAGATGTGCGAATTGCTGGACACGGAAGAAAACTACGTGAACAAGCTGGACGAATTGATTCATACAGTCGCTGTTGAGTTTCGTGAAAAGGCAAAATCAAAGTCAAGTTCCAGTGGTAGCCCAACAGAGCAAGCACTCCAGGGTCTGTTTCCTCCCAGTCTGGACAAGATATTGGAAGTTAACTCGCAATTCCTGGAAGCCCTGCGGGTTGTGTTGGAAGAATCGGAGAATGGAGCAATTGAAGACATTGAAACTGCCGCAGATGACGTCTATATTGCTCCTTTGCGAGGACAAAAAGATGCTCCCGACGTCACGGGAGCGGCTGCAGTCGCAAGGACCCTTCTTGAGTGGCTGCCGCAGTTCTCTGATTGCTACACTGATTACATGGCGGCACATGGCGACTTCTCGCAACTGTTAAAGCACTTTACCAAGGACTCAGCCTCCAGTTTCTCCAAACGTGTTTACGAGACAGGTGAACAGCGACTCACGTCCATGTTGATTGAGCCCGTACAACGCCTTCCCCGATACAACCTCTATATTGATAATATTCTGAAACAGTTGCCAGTTCGGCACCCAGCAATCAAACTATTCCTCAAGGCGAGAGATATGATATCAGACATTTGCACAAGAGAGGGCCCGACCGCACAAAAATTCAGAATATCTGGCCGTCTGCGCAAGATGGTCTCGTCATGGCCGTCTGGATGTAACCCACAAGGACGACTTATCACAGCAGTTGATTGTGTAGAGCTATCTCCACCGTATCACGGCGAACTGTCTGGGCCAGCCACTGTATCTGGAATCATGGTGCTCTTTACTGACTTTCTGATACTTCTTCAAAAGTCCGAGTATGGCTCAATGAGCGCCCGTGGTTTGCTTGCTGAACTCGACAACCCAAAGTTTGCCGAGTCATTTGACGGTAACACCGAGCTCACATTCCATCAGCATCTGAGTCTGAGCGACGTTTTCATCAGCGAGCATTCAGAAGGCAACATCCTCCAAGTCCTATCCCCGGTGCCATCAGCTAACCCTTCGTCGCGGTCACGGCATCGAGAACAACCACAGAGGCTTGGAATCCGCATGTTTTATCTTCAGGGCTCGTATGAGGGTAAAGGGCAAAAATTCACGGAGGAGTTCACTAAAGCTCGGGTTGAGGGCAGGTTTTCCGAAGCGGAGCGAGAAGGCGACAAATGGGAAGTCCGGGCCTTACCAGGCGACCTGAGTCTATTCTCGTCTGTCACGGAGGAAACAGGTGGCAAGCAGATTGAGGGCCGGAAAGATCCTGCTAAAATACAGATTCTCATTGAAGGATCCAAGTTCTCCCAACCTATTCAAGTCGGCGACAGTGGTATCGAGCTTACCATCACAATCTCGAGCCTTGGAGATGAATTGTATCACCTGGAAACCAACGGAACCAATGGATACACGGCACGAGACAAACTAACGAGCCAGGAGTTCCTGCCTGTCCTGACGAAGCGCATGACCAACTACTTCCAGCTGCGCAACAGTGTGAAGAATTTTGCACTGACTGAGGCCTATCTACGTCGAAATCACCAGATACTCAAGTCGCTTGCTCTTGAAATGTACGAAATGGAACAAGAACGAGGCAGCAAGAGTCGTCCACATTCTCCTGTCAAGATGTTATCGAGCTTCTTTGGTGGAAGTGTGAGCAATCTCAGTGGCACTATCGGCAGGGAGGGAGGCGGTTCACGCAAACTACAGCGTAATGCCCATACTATGGGCGATATACCACGGATACCGCCACCTCTACAATCTACGCCTGCCCGCGCCCAAAGCCGCGACGGTGAATCGTCACGCCCCAACTCATCGAGCACCAACAAGAGCGCCTCGTTCAACGGCATGCTAACTGATCCCATTACGAAATTGGAAGAGACTCTTGCAAATCTTACGCTGGCTCTGCTCGCACGCAAAGGCAACATTGTCGGACGCTCTGTTCGTGCAAGGACTGTTGCTGATGAACTCGTTGTCAACGAACTCTACAACACACTTCTTGAGAATCCCGGAAATCTTGATTTGGCCAGTCAATCATCAGTCGACGTACTGTTTGCAGTGTTTGAAAAGTTCCTGAGCATTGGTTGGAGAGAGCGTATGGGCCCTGTGCTATCTCATGCTACACTAGTCTCGTTACAGATGCGATCAGACACGATGCCGCCCGACGAATTCGAGGAGTTTTTCAGAAACATGCTTGAACAGTTTGCACCTCCAAATCAGCGAGCATTCCGAGCGGTTATTAATCTGTTGGCCGAACTGTTGGACGGTACTAGCAACGATGGGGACCGTGGCATTCTCACTGCAGCGTTTGCTGAGATGCTAGTTCCAGCTGGTAATTCGCACGATTTCATATCGTTGATGGATCGCCTAGTGGAAGATATCGATGTACTTTTCCCAATCCAGACGCCCGGCCTTAGCACGCCGATCTATGGATCTATGGATTCGAAGGGTCGCTATGCGGCCGCTGGCTCGATGAACCCGAACACGTCTCTCAGGAGACGATTTGGCTTTGGCACGCTGAGCCGGGAGAACAGCAAATCTGAGAACGATTCAAAAGTAGGAGCAATCTGGCGTTCGCTGAGTAAAAACAGTCATGGAGGGTCAGAGGCGCAGTCACCAAGCATGTCAAGAAACGGAGTCGGGCCCCTTGCTCGCTCAAACTCGACAGACGCCGCAGCACGTCTGTCGCCCAAGCGCCCATCGTCTCGCGATCGTCCGACGGTGCTGGGCGCGTTCAACTTTGAGCCGCCGAGTACTAGCAACCGTCCTTATAGTGGTGTTCTCGGAACTATTGGAGAGGTACCGCCCGCTGCCGGGCCTCCCCGCAAAAAGCGGCGCTCTTCACTGAGCGACCTCAAGACATTACAAGATGCTGACGATGTGCCTGAGTGGTCCCCGCAGACTCCTCGCAAAACGGATTCGGTGCTTCGTCATGAAAATCGGCAGATCAGCGATTCGCCGCGTCCAGAACCGCGTCCAGAATCACGTCCAGAAACGCCATCAAGTGCGGCGTTGCTCAACAAGCATGCGTCATCAATACCCACACCTGCACGACTTGGATCTCCGATGCGATTGGAGAAGAAGGAGAATGTAGCGACGAGCGGGTCGGAACGTCCAGGGCACTCTCGGTCAAAGTCGATTACGCCGAAGCTAGAGATCAAGGATGAGGTTACCATCAAATCGCTCAGCCCTACGAAGAAGCGAAGCGAGACGATTTCGGGGATTCCAAGTCTCCGACCGACGGGATCTGGGTTGCACGAGCGGACTGGATCTGGAAATACGGTCAAGCTTCCGCCTTCAACGCCACGGTCGCCGACCAAGATGGGGATTGGTTCTACGGGTACGCCAAAGAGGCTCAAGATGCAGTCGCCACAAAAGCTGCGGGAGCGACTGCAGCAGCAAGAACAAGACATTGACGATGCGTCGAATGCGCTGCAGAATGAGCTGAGTGCCATTGGACAGGAACTGAGCACCAAGGGTACACCGCGTCTGACGACTCAGAGCTCTGCGCCGTCATTGTCGCTTACCAACGGAGCACGATCAGCAGAGGCACGGATTGCAGTTTTGGAGAAGCAACTCAAGGCAACATTGGAACTCTTGTCGTCACGCACATCGGGCATAGCGAGCGATGTAGCGACGTCTCTGCAAGTATCTGAGGCGCGGTGCAAGCATCTGGACCAGCTGTATCGTGACGTGAATGCAGAGAACGAGGCACTGTATGCACGGTTCAACGAAGAGTTGGAGAAGGTGACGAGCAGTGCGCGAAAGGGCCGGGCTAGCGAGGAGGTGGAGCGACGACTCAAGGCCAGCGAAGAAGAGGCAGCGCGTCTGCGAAAGGAAAACGCGCGTCTGAAGAGGGAGGTGGCAGGGCTGAAGGCGCAAATCAGGGAGTAAAGGGTGGGCATGACGTGTGCTCTGTGCTGATTGCTTACTCTGCTCCTTTTTTTTGAGATATTTTCCCAGAGCGAGAGAGTTTACTGATTGTGGATGAAATTCTACAAATTGCGGCAGGCAACTGATACGACGTGGGGCCTTGTAAGTTTTGTGCGCCAACGGGTCAGTCTTTTTTTTTCAAGGGGAAGAGAAGTGGATTATGAAGGCATATGACAAGGCGTTGTGTAGGGATCCTAAGAGCAATATACCAAGTGCATGTTTTAGTGCGTATATTGTTAGGTACGTACGTACGTAAGTAGGTAGGTAGCTGTGTACTTGGGCACATGTGTATGTTAATATGTATGTACTTGTGTCAGTACTTGTGTGTGTGTACACAGTAGAATAGACGCGCAATCGGGGGCGCGGACCATGTGGTGGCAGGGTATCGGATACGGCCAAGGGTCCTTGTGTGTATGTGTGTAGACATACCGGGAGGCTCAAGCACAACCCCGCTAGTTTATGCATGTGTTGGCATGGCACCTCGGCCGGCAGCCTATCACTGCACACTACACACACACAGTAAGTAAGTATCTTGTGCCGCGGCTATCGACATCCACCCTCTCTATCGCCATGCATGCACATGGTGCATTCCAGCCCCGCCCCCGTACTGCAATTGTGAGGCTGCAAGCACCGGACGAGGTTGGTGGTGGTACTGCACCCCGTCATTGCACGGCACTGCACCACACTGCACGGCACCGCCCTGCACGTCCACAATACGAGGCTTGCTTTGCTGATGCCAACTTTACTTATCGCTGCACTGCTGAGTAGGGCCGAGGGCAGGGCGAGCAGGGCGAGCAGCACACCTGTTTCAACACGGGGAAATTGGTCGCTATTTCGGGCTCGGATGGCCTACAAGGCCGCGCTAATACCGCAGCAGCAAAGCACAACGTTTCGCCTTCGGAAACGGGTCCTCTTGGTCCATGACGATCGCCCAGCAATGCCATCCCACTCCATCAAGCCCACGGCTCGTCGCCCGGCTTCTTCACCACCCAGCATCCGCGACAGACGCACATGCAGACGCGCAGCCCCCCCCGTCCTGCCCGCCTGCCCGCCTCCCCGTCACCATTACCGCCTGCTTGCGCCCTGTCGTGTGCCTGTACCTGTACCTACCTGTGTCCTTGACAAGCGGCAGACGCTGACTTGTCCTGACTTGTCGATTGTGAGCTGAGAACCCTGATCCTCCTTCCTATTACTCCCTCGTACCCGCCGCCAGCCGCATCCGTGCGCCGTCCTCACCTTAAACCTACTAGACGAAACCGCCGCTGCAAGTCCGCAATTGACTCTGTCGCGTGCTGAAGAAGGCTCCATGAAGGAGAGCGGCAATGACTCTCCATGCTGCATCGCCGTCTGAAAGCTCCCCCCATCTACGTCGTCTCTCGCTCGGCAGGCCTGCGTCGCAGCGCCCATCCGAAACCCGTCGAGTTCCAACCACCTCGTCCACACCTCTTCTCCTTCTCTGAGCTGGCTCATATTTCACCCCCCTCTACACCATGGCCTGGTTCATGAGAGGCGTGCAGAGCGCTCTCTTCCACTACGCCTCATGCGCCCCCTGTACCGGCTACAGCGACGGCAGAAAAAGACGCAAAGCAGCAAAAGAGGCCCGTAAGCTGAGAGAGAAGCTGGAGCTGGAGCAGCCCGGCGCATACTACCATCCTGAACCCACTGGCACAAATGCCTACTGGAGCGAGGAAATCGCAATGGGCCCTGGCCCACCACCCCGGAGATCGAGGAAGACCAACACGACACAAAGGACCGGCTCGAGGGGACTGCCCACCCGCGGCACCCAAAGCTCAACCCTGAGCAAAGGCGGAAGCAGCCTCGATGTCGACCATACAGCTGAAAACCGCCTCAGCGACGACACGCTCGACGACGACAACGACGACGAGACCTGGAACCACAAGCGCTACCAGCGAGAAGACGAGGATCTGTGGGGTTACGATGATCACTCAACAGCCCTCGAACATACAATGACAGGCTCATCTGTTGGCGGTGGCGGCTACCAATTGCAAAGGCCAAATGTGTCTAGGGCTGGAAGCTATTATGTCGCGCGCGTCCCTCCGGTCAATGAGCTGCACCCACCCGTCGTTAGCCTCCCGTCGCCGGATCCTTCGGAAAACAGGTGGATGCTCCAACCCCCGCCCAAAGCTAGTGTCATGGCAGGCAAAGAGCGAGCAAAGAACCGAAGCCGCAGTGGCAGTGGTGCAAGCAGTCGCGTAGAACTGAGTCTGGGTCGACAGGTGAGCACGCGACAACTGATGCAAAAGATCGAACGCGGACAGACACCCGATCGCCTCACAAACTCTCCAAATGGCTCCTACTCGAATCTTGCACACGGCCGCTGCAAGACACCGCAAGCCCGGCCCCCGTCTGCCACTAGTAGCTCACCCAACAGGAAAAGACGGGACACCGCCATGGCCCGCGACCTGGCCATTGCACGCACAGACACCGCCAGCACCCAGCATTCTTCTCTAGACCCCAGCGACATTACTCTACGTGGCAGTTCCACTCTGAGTGTCGTCGATGTTCAAGTACTCCGCACCCGACCTGTTCTCTCGACTGTGGCCTCCAGCAACTCAGGCCAAGACGAGAATACTCTCCCCGAAAAACCCAAACCCGTATACCGCAGTTCCACCACCTCTGACCTCACCTCCCTCAGCTGTCTCCAAGATCTCGTCTCGCCCCAAGCCTTGCTAAACTCGCGCTTCGTCTCTGCACCCCTGGTCGAAGCCAAGATCCGCCTTCCCCCTTCAGAAGAAGACATGGCTACTCGAGCGCGAAAAGACAAGGTTTCCACCAACAAGGAAGACGATGACGAGGTAGACGCTATTGTCAATGTGCCTTTTGATCGTGAATCTGGACCCCCAGAGAAGGATCCCGCGTTTCGATGGAGTGTCGATTTTTGAGATCCATCAATCGTTACTAACGTAACTCGCATTTGACATTGGTCTGGAGTATTCGACTCACAACTTTCTTCCTTTTTTTTTCTCTCTTCCTTTTCTTTTCTTTCAACTCGTACAGCATGACCGGACTGCATCAGTACGAGTATGGTGCCAACAACGCAACCCACCCTTTTTTACACGCATCTTCGAAATTGCCTGGCATCGCTTGGTGTCCATTCATCGCGAATTTTCTTGAGAGAGCATGCTCCTATCCTCCTTTTCTTCTTCTTCTTCTTCTTCTTCTTCTTCTTCTTCTTCTCCGACTCTTTTTTTTGCATCCAGGACTTTTTTTTTCGTCTCCGTTGCTGTTTGCGCGTCATCGTTTTGCCTTTCTCTCTCTCTCTCTCTTCCCTTGTTCCACAATGAGCGTTTTTTTTCCTGCAGCGAGAGCGGAGAGAGCAAAAAATCTTTTGCATTTTTTGAGGTCTTTTTCGCTTGGAATATAGATACGACTGATATGACCTGCTTTGCAACTCACTGGCGGCGTTTTGTGTTTTGTTTTGTTGGATTGTTTGCTGTTTTGTTTCTGGGTCTGGGGTACTAAGGGGCATTTTGAGCATTTTTCTGCTTTTCTTTTCTCTTCCGTCTTTCTCTTCTCCTTACTTTTTCTTTCCCCTTTGTTGTTGTTGTTGTTGCTGGTTGGTTGATTGATTGGTCCTCATTTCACAAGGTATATATCATTGCGTGAGTAGAGCATTAGCTTCAGGTAGTTTGTTGCTGTTGTATGTTGTAGGTCCTCTCTGCAAACAGAATGTAATCCACACAAGACTTTTTTTTCTGGAGTCTAGTTGCAAGCATCGTTTTGATTTGTCAAGTACTCAATTTGAAGTGAAATCAACGAGAGTGACTGCGCTGATAACCACCAAACATAACCTCGCCGTTTTAATCGAATTTTGCAAATCGCTCTCGTCCATGATGTTATTTTTCAAATCGGGTCAATTCGCACACGACAAAAACACCTCAAATCAAACGAATTCACCCAATATTCCAACCCCCATGGCAACTCGGAGAAAGAATCAGAAACAACTCGTACATAATATTTGACTCTCTGTCTCTCTCTCTCTCTCTCTCTCTCTCTCTCTCTCGCTCGCTCTCTCTCGCTCTCCTCCCACGATCCAACATCTAGACCACAAAGCACCACATAACAACCCTCCCTCCTCCCTCCCCTCTGAAAAGAAAAGAAAAGAAACACCAAGCTCTATCTCCTCCCCCTTATTTTCCTTTTCTTTCAAGGTATACCCCAGATTGGAAACCCTGTCGATCCCTCCCTCCCTCCTCTTACTCTTACTCTTTCTTCCCACAGCCACGGCCACGGCTACTCCTGCCCGCTTCCCCGCGCTATATAGACAGTGTGTCTTGGTATCAGCGTACTAAAAACGTCTGTGTCTCTGTGCGTTGGAAACTCTGTTGGTAGGTTGGCGGTGGTGGTGGCGATGACTAGGGAATTAAGTATAATAATTGCTAAGGAAGAGGTTGGATTTGCATTTTCTTCTTTTGGGTGTAGATGTGTGTGGGGGGGGGATGGGTTTGGAGAGTGTGGTGGGTTGGAGAGAGAGAGAGAGAGAGAAGGAAGGAAGGAAGGAAAGAGGTAGCGTTGATTGTCTCCCGTGGGACTTTTACTTTTCCATTTAGTGTGTGTGTGTTGGGCACCTGTTTTGAGGGTGTGGTTGGGAGACAACGAGATTGCCGTGTTGGCCACATTATGTTCCTTTTTCTTATCCTATTTCCTCCTTGCAGAAGGGGGATAGTGTGGATGTTGATTTGCCATGTTACTGTATTGGTTCAACAGACCATGTGCATGCCACTGTCACAACTGGCATGTGTAAGCGTACGGGATAGAGGGCCAGAAGAAGAAAAAAAAGTAGCCGGGAAGAAAAAAGCAGAGGCGAAAAGAAAGTACAAGTTGCATCGCCAGGTGGTACTTCTAGTTGAACTAGACAAAACGTACACACGGCCATAGTCGGTGTTGGTATATTGCAAGGCCAGCTCCCCACTCATCTCCGATCCTTCCAACGATTACACGATATATACGCCATCACCATCTTACATCCGCATCCGAAGAAAGAAAAAAAGAAAAAAAGACCCTCTGGCTTACGCCTTCGGAGATTGAGTTCCCACTAGTTACGCCTTCATTACGCGCCTTCTGTCCTACCACGCCTTAGAACAAGATCGTCATTTACGAAAAGCTTACTCCGACATACGAGTCATTTTTGGGCTGAGACTTCGGGCCCCCACGTACACGTTGACAACGATCGATCATGATCAAGGATCGGGCACCGACGTTCGTCATGGTTGGAGCCTTGCTGGCTATCCTACCCATCGGCCTCAGTATACTTGCGGCATGTCTACACAAAAGGTGGAGAGTGAGGCAGAGGAGGAAGAGAGATGCGCTGGCTGTTAGTGGAGAGGGACTGGCGAGTGGAGACGCGGGGAAAGAAACGGCGGAAGGTGACAGGGTACAAGGCAGTGCGGCTGTGATGGAGAAGGGACAGTGTTTTGAGGGGGAGCAACGAAGTAGTAGCCGCGATCTGGTCCCTGAATCGACGACGGAGATTAGGTAGGGTTTCCTTGGGGGAGCTTCGTTAAGCGGAGGGCGAAACAGGCCGATGAAACGGCTTGCTTGAGTGACTACAACTACACCTAGGGTTGGATCAAAGATTATTTTGTTGCTTTGTCTTCCTGCCTGTGCCTTGTTTGTTATTACCATCATCATCTGCAAATTGGGCATCGTCTTCGCCCTTCTCATGATGCCTGAACAATACCGATAATGCTTGGACTATATGCGTGTAGTCGTCGTATTGACATTGAATCACAATCAAATAATGCATTTGGATGCGACGTTGCCTTCCTACCCGGTAATCTCCGCCTTTTGTTCTTGGACCGATATGCGTATGACGAGGCAAGGGGCGCTGATCGTGTATGGCATTGTGCGCATGGAAAGGATAGCCTGGGATGATTTTCGGCTGCTCCCGGTTCTAGGAGGCAGTGGCATGGCATGTGCTTTTAATCCTCCGGTCGGCAGTTTCCTTGGCATACGTGGTTGCTTATGGCAGGCGGCATCGGGGAGCACATTTTTATGAAGAAGACGGACAGGAGCAGAAGAAACGGCTATCTACGGCCAAGAGGGGCGCCAGGGGTCTTGTAAAAAAACCAATATTTGGCGGGGTCCTAGGTGGTAGGCGTGAAAAACACGAGTTCAGGGGTGACGCGTGCTTGAATGACGGCAGATGAAGAGTCGAGTAGTGCAATGTCCCCTGAGGCTCGGTGTGGCGTATGTGAGACGAGAGACAGGTCAATTAAGGCGTGTTTGTGTGCATTTCACGATGTGAGACGGGGTCAGGCCCAAGAGGCAGACGTTGGCGGGGGGTTGGGGGGGCAGTCTTAGACATAGGAGAAGGAGGGGGAGGGGGAGGAGGAGGAGGTAAGGTTCGCCAATCTCCCAAAGAGGACTAGCGCGTGGCCTCTGCCATCGCACCCTTGAGGCGACGGTGAAGACACCCTGAAGACTGAGAGGACCGTGGGCACGTCTTATTCGCCTCAAGGCGCCCATGTGTAATTTAACATCGGACGCCGTCTCCTCCCCCCCTCTGGGCCTATTGATTCTTGCAGCCTCTTCCCAGCGAGGGCATCTTTTGCCATCCACGTAGTCGGCGGCGGCGCGTGTCCAAGTACTTGTACAGCAGCACCAGCACCAGCACCAGCGCAGCAACGCGCCCCGGACCCTTTGCATGCCGATCATGCACTGATCGCCCTCACCTGCAGTTGGTTCCATGTGAAAAGCCGTGCCCTTCCTGTGGTCTTTTTCTACTCTAGACTTGCCTTGTCTTGACAAAACCATAGCCGTCTGGGTCCGATCCAGTGTCACCTGCACGCGGCCGCTATGGACGCACACGACGCGCTGCGCTCGCCCGCCGCCAATGAAGCAGCGAACCAGACTTTAAGGTCGCGACGGCGCAACTCCCTTCCGCTGTCCATCAAGACATCCGACCCCCGCCCTGCGCAACGCTCCTCGCACTACATCCGCAACGCTGCCACCTCGCCCCAGATCATCTCCTCGCTCATCGACCAGCTGTCCGCCATTTCCATCCCTGCAAACAACCACTTCGAGAACCTGCTCGTGGGCTACGACAGCGCCCCTGCCCCCTCTGCTGCCCCTAGCCCGCGCGCCCATTCGCACTCGGACAAGACCTCCATCGCCACGGGATACGATGGCGCTTCGGCCGACCACGCCTCACTAAGAAATCAAAACCACATCGACTCGGACGACGCATGCGAGCCCCCCGTTATCCGCACCTCCAAGCCCCCCTCGGGCAAGTCGCCCCTGACCGCACCCAAGAAGGCCAGTAAGCCGCACTCGCTCAGCAACTACCTCGCCCGGAGCGGCAGCAGCTCCTGCTCCCTCCAGTCCATACACTCGAACCGCTCCGCAAGCAGTTTTGGCAACATTAGCATTGAGGCGGGGCCGACGCGCCAAGTCTCCATCGGCAGCAACAGATCCTCCGTCGAGAGCAAGCGCAGTGTCAAGGCCCACAAGAGCTTGATGTACATGAGCTCGCGCGAGCGACTGCGGCAAAAGGAAACTGAACGAAAACGCGCAACTGTGCACGGCTTTGACGATATCTCGACTACCGACTCTCCAAGGAAGAATACAACCCATCTTTTCCCATACGAAGATACGATCAAGGAGGAGCCATTATCCGCAAGAGACGACCTCGACCTCGATGACCTCGACGACGATCCCTCTCGCTTTGTCCCGCGATACCCAAGTACACGCCGAGTCCGCTTGAATCTAGTAGATGGTCCATACGGCGAGAGTCCAGCGGAGAAAGGTCTGATCCCCAAACGTGGCTCATCCTTGAGGCACACAGCTAGTCCAACACGCAAATCTAGGAAGCATCGCTCCGAAGAAAACAGCCGGCCCAAGTCCAGTGGTAAAGCCGAGCACGCGGCCGAACCATCCAAGAAAATGGCATCAGAAGAGAAACTTGACCCAGAGGCGCAGAAACAGAAAAAGATTCTGGACGAGCTGGAACAAGAAGAAAATGAAGTTGCTCGAAGGATTCGACAGCTGCGAGAGCGCAAAATGCAGAGGGATAAATTGGCCGGAGTTTTGCCGTCAGAAATGGATGCAGGGGCAACACCACCCAGGTTGCCTTGTGTTTCATCTACTTCAAGCCCTCTGTGCTCCCCCACTACAACTGTGTCAAGTGTGTCAGATGATGGAAGGAGAATTAGTGACCCCACAAAGGCACACAAAGTTCTTGGTATCTTGCAGGATCCAGGAGATAGGCCTGTTGACAGAGAATACGCGGATAGGCACGATCCTTCAGCACCGAATCGAGCACGAAGCATGCGGCCTAGACCCCGGAGTCTAACGCTAAACGATAGCGATGGTGTGAACCAGCTCCCCATAGACTACACGCTTGCCCTCGAAAGCCTCAGCCAACTCTCCCCAATGTTTGCTCCAAACACACGGCCATCAAAACCGCCTGCTGCCCCTAGCATCGCTTCCAGATCCACAATGACAAGCTCCGAGTCCTCTGCGCTCAGGCGCTCCAACTCGCTCGTCGTCGGAGGGAGGTCCGCAGTCGCGCGGCGAGCAGCCACCACTGCCGTCATCGTCACCAAACCTTCCGGACACAAGCACTCTTCTAGTGTCACTGATGAATCAAGTTCCAGGTTGACCCTGCCTTCACGGGCGGCCAGCGAAGAGCCCATCACCCGCCACCGCTCCATGCTTATATCGCCCATGCCGGATTCCCATAGCGCGCAGCTCCATCGCAAGCGCACGGGCGCCAAGAAAAGGTGGTCTCACCCCGACTTGCCAGCCAAAGCAGAGAAAGCGCATAACGACAGAATAGAACGAAAAGAGGAGAGCGCACGAGCGGCGGCCGTGCAAACTCCACCACAGCCGATAATTGAAGAGCGGCCTGCGAGCCGCGACTCCATTGATCTGGATGTGAATAAATACCTGGATTCGGAGCGCTTGTCGCAAAAAATCCGGCATCCCCAGACTGGCAGGATTATATCCTTTTCCGAAGTTGGCGATCCCCAAGGCTTTGCTGTCTTTGTCTGTGTTGGCATGGGTCTCACGAGATATGTCATGGCCTTTTACGATCAGCTCGCTGCTACACTAAAGCTGCGACTGATTACGCCGGACCGCCCTGGTATTGGAGCAAGTCAAGTTGATCCCAATGGGACCCCCCTTAGTTGGCCTGGTAAGTAAACGGATCAGCCGCCAGCTCCTTTCGTCGTGTACTGACATCGACCTAGATGACGTCCTCATCATATGTCAGGCCTTGAAGATTAACAAGTTCTCCATACTAGCACATTCAGCGGGAGCCGTCTACGCTCTTGCAACATCGCTGCGAATGCCACAACACATACGTGGCAAAGTGCACTTACTTGCGCCTTGGATACCCCCGTCGCAAATGGCGCCTATCGGTATTAGCCAGGACAGCCCACCAACACAGCAACTTCCGAGATCGCAACGCTTCCTCCGCGCTCTACCTCCATCGCTTCTCAAGGTAGCAAATTCAACCTTCCTGAGTGCTACGAGTGCCAGTCTCCAACGCACCGGACCCAAGACCGCGCCTAAGACAAGGCGGAAAAGCATCGTACCTTCGCCAGTGCCAAGCCAGACTGCCACAAGGCCACCACTAAAAGATACGCACCGACACTCCATGATGATGATGGACCAGGTTTTGCCGAATGCCAGTACCTTGACTCTGGCAAATTCGCCGTGTCAGAATGACGAAGAGGTGCAGCGCATGCAGGAAATGCTCAGTATAGCTGAACGCGAACGTCAGCGTGCTTTCGATGAGCGTCTTACTTTTGCAATCTGGGACCGTGCAACGGCGAACGCCAATCCCGCCACTGATCTCATCGTCTGTCTGGAAACTAAGCAAAGTATTGGTTTCCGATACGAAGACATCAATCGCCCAGTGGTCATCCACCATGGATCCAAGGACTCACGCGTACCAGTCGACAATGTGCGATGGCTAGGCAAGCTAATGCGAAAATGCGAGGTCCGCATCTTGGAAGGCGAGCAGCACGGACTCATGGCTAGCGCGCAGGTCATGGGCAATGTGCTCACGGAGATGGCGAGTGATTGGGAGGACTGGAACAACGCCACACGATATTCGAGCGACCGTACCGTCTCAAGGAGACGGACAACCGAAAAGCTGAAGACACAAGTAAGCTTCACTAATTAGGGCCAGACGTACCATGCACACCACGTAGGTACGGGAATCCTTCCATGCCGATTCAAACACCCCGAATGACTTTTGACACGGTCTAAAATCTTTATTCTACTACGGAAGCGAGCGAGCGCGCAACCGCCTATTTTTATTTCCTTGCCTATTTCTATCTTATTTCCTTGCCTACATTTCCTTGGGAACGATCGGACGAATACCCCTTTTAGCAATTTTGTTCATTGCCATTAATACCTCTGTATTTCTTGTTCGTTGTGTCTTAGTTCGATCAGCTGTTCCAATTCTGTCCTTTTCGGCACACTATACCCTTTTGTCTGGATGAGTAGTACTTGGGTACGCGGGGATGCTTGTCTTATTTGTTTTGCTTCGCTTTTCTTTAGTCGTATTCATAGAGGAAGGAAGGAAGGAAGAAAAGGATGGATTTAGGGGAAGGGTGGCTGGCACGGTAGAATGGGGCGGTGTTCTTCTGACTCTACAGGAGTAGAAGGAGCCGTGTTCAGATGTATATGTTTCAGCATATTCGCATCGCACCTCATAGTGGGGCTTTTTTTAGGCACGGCCATATAGATATGAATAGCTATAATGACCTGCTTGCAATTTTACACCTCGACGGCTGCATCTGATACCTTTCTGTGTGCCAAGTCGTCCGCCTAGAGAGAGAGAGAAAAAATGAGGAAGTCTCTCCGACAGTACAATGTCAGATCACTGTGCTACATATTGTGCATACATCCGTATCCTAAAACAACACCCGCTCTTTACAAGGTATACGCCTCAGCCCCCTTGCCAAACAGCAAATGCGGTTTCCTCTGCGCCAAATCCAAGATGGTCTGCGCAAACACCGAATTCGCCCACGCAAACCAACTCCGCGTAAACGACGACGCCTGATCCACATTGATACTCTCATGCACCAGTCCCAACTTCGACACCTTCTTAACAGACTCCAGACACTTCTTAATCTCCTCATCATCCTCGCTCGTCATAGCCTGCACAAGGACAGCCATGGGCCATGCCGACCTCAGCCCAACATGCGGTCCACCGATACCATTAAACGACGAGCCAACAAGGTAGTACGGGTTCCCCTTCTTCTCTAAAATCATCTTGCGCGTATTCTTGTAAACCTCGTTATTCGCATTCGTGAACCCTAGCAAGGGGAGCGCAAGTAGCGAAGGCAGATTTGCATCATCCATGAGAATAGACGAGCCGTATCCATCTACCTCAAACGCAAAGACTTTGCCGTACTTCTTATGCGTCACAACGCCATGTTCCCAGACGCCCTTTTCGATTTTGTCGCCCCATTCCTTGAGTTTGGCCGCGATGATTTTCTTGCTTGCTTTCTCCAGGATGACGGCTGTGCGCTGGAGTTCCGTTGCCATCATCGCGTTAGATGGGATCAAGAAACCGAGGATCGTAGCGTCGTCGCTGGGGCGGAAGGCGCTGCGGACGAGGCTTGTACCGCCGTTGAGTGGGTTGCCCAGGCCGCTGAGGCCGAGGGTTTCGGTACCGCTGTCGGTGTGGCGCTGCCATCTGTATTCGTTGCCGAGATAGGTGCCAGTAGTTTCGTCGAAAGTGGGTTTGGACTGCTCTTTGAGCACTTCGAGGAGGGTGTCGAGGGCGAGGAGCCAGCGGGCGTTGATGAATTCCGTGGATGAGGTGTGGTTGTGGAATTGGTTGGAGAGGGAGAGGAAGTGGGCGAGGGAGTCGAGCTCGTATTTGCATTCAAAGACGAAGGATTGCTCGTAGATTGGGTGGACAGTGTCGCCGTCGCCTTGGAAGGTGGGTTTCAGTCCGCTTGGTGGGGGTGGTTGGAACGCGTTGCAGTATGGAGATCCGATGATGTATTCGGCTTGGGTATTGATGGCTCCTAGGATGAGTTGGTGGATTTCCTTGTCCTTTTTTGCAAGGAGCTGGTATTGTGCTAGCTGGTTCGTCGAGTCACGTAGCCATTCGGCATTGATGTCGCCAGTGACGATGAAACTTTGTGCTCCTTTCCAAGCGGCAGGATCCCAGCTCTTCTTCGACAGCTTGGGCTTTGAGGTCCCATCCACATGCCATCTCACAGTAGTATCTAGTGTGTTTGGAAAGGCGTTTTCAAAGAGACGAGCGAGGTCTTTATCAACCATCTTCTCGCTCATATCGTCAATTACTTTTTCCACAAGAGGCGATTCAAACGTTCGACAGTACTTGGAGGGTCGTTGGAAGGGCAGTGATAGGGGACCGGAGCTATATGGTGGACTGGCAAATCCATTAGCACATGTTATTCTGAACACAATGCTCTGCATACTGTGGTCGCTTGGCATAGTTTGCGTAGTCTGGACATGCTGCGCGGTACTTGAGTGGGTCGATATCGGCTCTCAGAGGCTCCTGGTCGTGGATATTGTTCAACCCTGCAGACACGGGTTGAAGAGTGAGAAAGGATCCCAGAGATAGTGCGGCTAAATGCGACTTCATGACGCTGGAGATGCAGGTACAGCAATGTCCGGCAGAAGTGGTGTTGCACGACGATAGTGGACAGCGAGGAACGGATAAATGGATGTAGGAGTAGGTGTATTTAGGTGAGGTTAATCGGCATAGCTTGGCCAAAACACAAAGTATCCAAAGATTACTGAGTGTAAGATAGGTGAACAAGATTCAATCGATGTTTGAGATTGTCCATGTTGAGCTCACGAGGTGGCTGTCAGACGCGGAGCACGCCAACACCTCCGCCAATCAGCAACCGTCAAGTCCGCAGGGCCCGTGCTGCAGCTCGAATGTCGTGCGGGATGTGACCTACACCATGCTCTTCCTTTCCTCTTACATACGCAAGCTCACCGTTACATTTGCAGAATTCTCTTCTAGGTTCATACTAACCTTAAGAAAACTAATGTGTCCCTAGCGATTCGAGTCCGATCTCCTTTGCCCCCTGCGCCAGTCGAGTCGAGTCGAGTCGAGCCAAGCGCATACAACGACAGCCATCCACACTTGAAACAACGTCTTGATTGATCGCGCTCAGTACACAACCAACATGATTTCTTTACCAGGTCTCAATCTATCCTCACAACCCATCGAACCACAAAATACACCGACGTCGGTAGCTACACGGACCCAAGAACTCTCAGCCAACACCGAGTACCGCTTCGAAGTCTCTTTCTCCCGCACCCTCACAGTCAAATTGCAATCGGGAACAGCTGAATTCTTCGGGACTGAACTCGCGCCCTCGACTATCTACTCGTTTTCAGGCACAAAAGGCGCCATCTTCACATGGCACGGCTGCAAGCTCGATATCGGCGGAGAGGTAGAGTCGGACTACATTGCCGAAGAAACACCCATGATGAGCGTTGCAAACTTACACTTTGCACTAGAGAACCTGCGCGACAAGAGCGTTTCCAGCGGCAGTGTAGAGATGGGTCCAAGAGTACTTGTGGTGGGGCCCGAGAACTCTGGCAAAACATCTCTCGTCAAGACACTGACGTCCTATGCCGTCAAGACAGACAGGCAGCCAATGGTGGTGAATCTTGATCCACGCCAGGGCATGCTCAGTGTGCCTGGATCCTTCTCCGCCGCCGCTTTCTCGTCAATAGTAGACATTGAAGAGGGCTGGGGCAGCAGCCCCATCTCGGGACCCAGTCCGATTCCCGTGAAGATGCCGCTGGTATATCACTACGGGCTGAGAGACCCCGAAGAAGGCAGGGTGTTCAAGCCGTTGGTCACACGCATGGCTCTTGCTGTTACTAGTAGACTGGAAGAGGACAAGCTGAGCAAGCAGGCTGGCTTCATCATCGATAGCTCGGGCGCAATCAGCCATGGAAAGAATGGCGTCTACGACAACATAGAGCATATTGTTTCTGAGTTTTCTGGTGCGTGTGATGTCTTGACATATATCTTTTCTTTCTCCCTGTCCACCCAGCAAGCACATTCTTACAATCCACTGCGATGCTGCCAACTTCCACATACCCGTATCCATCCACATAAACACACCCAGGTACCGCCCCAAACACTTGCTCGATGCAATAACTAATCCCCCGCTTTCCCCTCCTCAGTCAACATCATCATAACCCTCGGCTCCGAACGCCTCTACTCGGACCTCCTCCGCAAATTCTCCGCCCGCCCATCCACCACCACCGACCCCTCGGAATCCGTCACCGTCATCCGCCTCGACAAATCCGGCGGCTGCGTCGACCGCACAGAAACCTACATGCGAGCTCTCCGCCACGCCCAAATCAAAGAGTACTTCTTCGGCCACGCCGACGAAACCCTCGCGCCCAGCAGCCAAACCGCTGATGCCGCTGATTTGCATATTTTCCGCATCGTCGGCGGCGGCGGTAGCGGCGGTGACGCCGACGAGTCCAACGGAAACGAAGCGGCGGGTTTCGATGACTACGGTATGCCTCTAGCTTCTTCGGGAGCGGGGTTGTTGTTTGAGAAAGCGGTGCCGGGAGATGGGATGGTCAATCATCTGCTTGCGATTACGACGGCGAGTCCGAATGAGGGGCATGCGGTAATTAGGGATAGTAGTGTGAGGGGGTATGTGTATGTGGCGGATGTGGATGAGGCGAAGAAGAAGGTGAAGCTTTTGAGTCCGTTGCCGGGGCAGACGCCGGGGAGTGCGTTGATTTTGGGGAGTTGGCCGGAGCCGGTGGAGGGGCTTGTGGGTTAAGTTTGGAGGAGGGATGGGATTGAGAATGTTGTTTTTTTTTGGGG